GTAAACAAACCTGCCCGGACCTGCCCCCCAGATCTCCGCGAGGAACACACCCACTGCTCTTGAGAAGGCCAACACATGGCGAAAGCGTTGTCCAGCCAGCCAGTCAGGCGACCAAGTGCCAGTACCAGTACCAGTGCCAGACGTCTGCTCGTCAAGCCAAATGGAAGCCAAAGCCGGTCTAATGCATTTTGTAGCCCATTTTCAATTAAATTTTTGCACATTTTCGTTTTCGGCCAAGGTTAATTGATTGAATTTGCGATGATGGCTTTCAATTGTGAATTTGAAGTTGTAAATGCACTTCAGTCGACTGTTGATTTCAATTAAGATAGATCCAAACGAATGCAGCACAAATGCATTTCCATGAACTGTTTATCCCGAGACGGTGCTGTCATAAGACGGATTTAATTTGGCGCGTGGGGGATGTGGGATTCACCGGATGACCAGAGTTTACCATTCGAATGGTGGACTAAGCATTTTTCCAGGGAAGACCATAGAAAATGATTTTATGGCCCTGTTTTTCGCCGGCTGTTTACCGGGGTTTTTGTTTTCGTTTTGCCATCAGTTTTTTCCCGAATTTCAAGGACCACGACGTATCGCGGTTCCCCTTGTCAATTCACGATAGGAAATTGGGAAAAACATTTCCACGAAATGATCGGCTGCACATTTAAAATATTTACAAATACTTTCCCCGCTCCTGACCAATCTAATTCAACGTAATTCCTGTGTTTTCAAATAATTGCCTGACTGCAATTTTCTCCAGAATATTTTGCCATCGTTAAGTTGCATACAACAGATCAACATTTGTATCTTAAATTATACCAGACTTTGATTGCGACTAATTGTTAATACTCTAATTTTGGTGGTAACATTATTTTACAATGTAGACTACAGAAATGTCTATCAAGCAAAAGAATTTAATTATTTTTGATAGAAATGAAGAAATTTGCCTGCTTAAATTATAACGTTTTTGATTTCGTTTAAGGCAGGCACGTATCGCGCATGCATATCGGCCCCAAAAAGCGCACGCCCATAAAGTGTACAAGTTTATTTATCATTCGCCAGCAGGCACTGTAAACACACGCGCCCCAAATTCTACCAAGTGGAAAAGTTTTGCCAAAGTTTCTTACAAAGTAGGAATGCCAAAATGCATGTTGCAAATAGCATATAAGGTCAGATTGGCTGGGATTTAAATAATTGTAGGAGGAGCGCGAAAATGTAATTGAAATCAATCGTCGGATGCTGCGGAACTATCGAATTCGCTGGCACTGTGATTTACTCCAAATATGCGGCTGCAAATGTGATAATTTGCAGTTGCGGTTATTTTCGTTTCCATTTGCGGATCACGCTGCGCATGCGCAAATGCCAATTACATCAAGTATACGGCGCGTTGGCCAAAAGCGGCACAGGGCGCCAGTTTAGTCGGCCAGCACTGCAATTAAGTCATTAAATACAAATTAACAGCAAACAATTGCTGGCCGAGCGGCAATCTGGGGGATCGGGCATTGGGCATTGGGCATTGGGCATCGACCGTCGGTCATAGCCGTGTAATTAAGCATACGCCGCGTTGTCTGGCCAGACGGGCCACGCATTCGTCGGTTAACACCTCCGATTCCATCGGCCGGAGGTGGTTTACACGAGGCATCCAATGAGCGGCCTTCACGGGGACAGACTGAACGGCGACGACCGCAGCTCTGCAGACTGTGTGTCGGCCACGGAGCATAAATTATGGCACTCGGCAATATAAAGCAATCGACTGACACACAAATCGCTTGTTTGTTTCCATTCCCAGTCAAGTGTAAACAGGTTTGGCTTGGCCAAGATGTTTCTGTTTCTGTTTCTGCCCCTTCATCTTCATCTTCATGTTGCTGTTGCTGTTGCTGTTGCTGTTGCTGTTACTGCCACTGCCGATCCATCGAACTGGTCAATTAGTCCGAGCGGAGTAATAAAAAAAAAGTCCCGTGTAAATGAACCATCCGAAAATACGCAGAATATACAATACAATGCCAGCCCTAAAATAAAGAACGGCACAGGCATCTGCCGGCCACTTAACCAGGCGACGCTTCGCTGATAAAAGAGAAGAGGGCACGCAGTGCATTTGCATATTCATAAGGCATCTCGAAACAAGTTAATAAGCAGCTCCCCCAGCGCATGCATAACTAACCAGTGAGAGATAAGGCCGAGATCGGCCGAATGGGGCTTTAATTAAGTACATAAAGAGCCGGCGATCCAATGGATATCTTTGGGGCATCGCGGCATGCCCGATTTGCATTGCAAATTGTGCACAGGCATTTAAGTATTGGATGAGGTTTATGATAAGCCTCACACCCACAGATCCAGATTCTAGTCGGCGGATTCTTCGCTGCGCCAAGCCATCGATCTTCTCGCAGAACAACTTGACCGATAAAATCGGATCAGGGTAACCCGGGCAATTCGTTGATAGCCCGGTCCATTAATCAACTTGTTGATTATGTTTGGGGCTCAGTGAATGATTCGGTAATAAGTACTTAAGCGCAAAGTTTAATGAACTGGAGTAACATAAAATTAATTAAATGAATTTCGAAAGAATGTCTATAATAATGGGGATAATTTATAGGGATCTAAGAACAATAGCGCTCAAAAGTAGGCAATACAGCTGGCAGTTATCTAATTATCTGGTCATAACAAGACTTTTTTCTAAGACGGTTAATTGGCCAACCACTTAGCCATTCAGAACTGCTATCTGGGATAATCACTTTTCGATCGTTAAACGGCCTTTTAATTGGGCAAAGGGCGCCGACTCTGAACCTAATGAGAATTTTATGGCCCAAAGTTCTAAGCTATTTGCAAAAACCATTAATTTGTAACTTTCGGTGACGCTGTCCAAGGTCAATAACAATTAACAATTTCAAGGACAAGTTTTACGTCTTTTTGCTCAAAATGTGCTCAATTATAGTCTATATAAGTTTTGAAAATAGTTTCCCCCTTTTGCGGTTACCAATTCTCATCAGTGCGAGAACCGCAAAAGTGCTTCATTATACGCCGGAAATGTGATCACCCGCACCTCCAACGCACTATGGGGAATTTGCCCGATTTTTTGGAATAAATTAATAACTCGCGAACTATGTAACATATTTAAGTGAGGTTTTTTTTATAGTGTTCTACATACCTATACACACCTGTTGGAAAAGTGAAAGTATACCCCCCCCCAAACCCAATTTTTTATAACAAATTTAGCTCTATATGCTCTTAATTTTTAATTTCAAAAAATCATAGTCGTTTTCTTTTCATAATTATCAACATCTAGAGACTCGTCTCCAGGTTCATATTCGCATAATTACAATTAAATGACTTTTGGTGAAAGAGCAAGCAGCTCATGTTTTCGGACGCGCTTCTTCAAATTCATTGATGAAATGATGGGGTCTGAAGTAACCACGGCTCTCTGAAAAACATCTGTAAAGTTGGAGATTCGACTGTGGGATCAACTTGCTTGCTAACAAAAGTGAATTCGCCATTTTTTTTTTCTCGAAGACCCTTTTGCTTATGCAAAACTTCCAGCAGGGCTGCGTTTTTGATCAAGAGATTGGTTTCTAAAAAATGAAATTACGCGAAAAGTCGCACTAAGCGCACAATGAGACAATATGTTCTGAATTCGCAATTAATCACTCTACAACATGGATAAAGACACTTACTGAACAAAGTTAAACATTTTTGTAAAACTCTATTGAAAGTTTAACTTTCTTTCCAAAACCCAAACGAAAACATCACCTGCTACATTTACAAATTGTTAAAATTGGACGCACATATTAAGCAATGTATAAGTATTTTTACACAGAACATACATTGAGAATTGGTAATAATTTCAAATTTGACTGTCTTACGTCATTTTGTTGCAGAGATAATGATTTGAAAGTGAGCTTCAAAGTTAAGCAAAATGTAAACAAACCATGTGCGCTTGCAACAGCTGACTTTAACAGTTGGTATTTAAATACTAGACTTTTAAGTTAACATTTGCGGTATGTTACCAAACAGCTTGATGTTTTCTTAATACATTAAAAAAAAAAAAAAGAAATCGGCACACTTTTAAAAAATACATTTATTCCAAAAAATCGGGCAAATTCCCCATAGTGCAACGGAATCACACGGCACGCCAGATTGGTTATTCTGCAGAATTCATAATCCACAGACTTTTTGGCAGCCCATTGCAGTCGCTGTTCAGGCGACAATATGGCCAATGAGCATAACGAATGTGTCGGCGGTGGCAGAGTTCACATAGCTGCCATAAAATTATGTAAAACAGCTCATCATTTAGCGGCATTAATTCGCTAATTTCGTGGGGGAATTTTAATTTATTTGCGCTGATGTATGAATTGGCTAAAACAATTTCGACGGAGGTGCAAAACAAAGAGCTCTCACATAAATCTACAAATTAGAGGCATTAAAATGTTTTTTTGCCCGGCTGGGTACTGAATCTTTTTATTCGAATTTTTTTTTTTTTGTTGGCTTGACTTCGCTTTTGTTATATCTATTGAGCACAAATTGCCGTTGGCACACTTTACACCTCAGCGTTTAAGCATTTATTTTAAACAAAATGTGCAAAAATTCGCGGTGCGAGGAAGTGATTTCAACAGCTTCTCCTATGGTCTGGCTGCAGCCAAAGGCCATCGCCGCCGGGCAATCGCCTCCGCCTCCGTTTTCGCCAACGCCCCCGCCCTCGCCTTCCCCTCATCTTGGCCCCTGCATCCGAGTGATCCGCCTGTTCCGCCGAGCATCTCACAGGTGGTCAAGGTATCTGGCCGCCGGTGGCAGTTCATCAATAATTCTTTCGAAAGTCAATCACACACATCGGCCGTTGGGGAATGTGGAACGTGCCCAAGTACTTATCTGGCGAGCTTTCCAGCCGCCCCCCCCTGCCCCCTTCCCCAATCGAAATCCGCACTCAAGGTGTGAGAGAATGCCGGACTGCCCTTTAATCTGCGTAGAACACAAGCAGCTAACCTGCCGATCCCCTTTCTCCATTGCAGCTCGTGCTGAAGAAGAGGTGTGAATGGTGGTTCTACAAGTACAAGTGCAGCCAAAAGATGTCCACCCACTGGCGGCAGCACGCCCGTCTGTATGCCTGCGGCCTCGGCTTCGCCATGTTGCTGTTGATCATGTTCTTCCACGGATTTCCGAGTGCCCATAAAGCGGCGCGGCTGGAGCTGCCCCAGAGCAGCCAGAACCAAAACCAAAACCACAACCACAAGCTGCCCCACCCCACTGTCATCAGCATGCCTGCCCCACCAGTCACGCTTCATCCCAGAAATTTCGATAACGACACCCAGGCGGATGGGTTGAAGGACCTGAACGAGGAGGAGCACAGCACCTACGCCATGCCCACCAAGGTCTACAACTACAGCCTCAGCGAAGGCGATCTGCTCTACGAGTCGAAGCGAAACAGCGACCTCAACAGTTTTCTAAAAGGTGAGCTCTTGAACAAATATAACATAAAGTTATGCCCATATCCATTTAAGACATATCCTTACAATTAGGACATATCTTTACACACTAACAACAGTACTAAATTGTCAACTCAGATAAAGGTTAGGAATACATCTAATACATATTACCATTTCTTTTAATCGCAATCTTTAAGATATCAAAAACAAATAAATCAACTGAGAAATCAGACTGTATAAGAAGATCTTAATTAAAAAATACATTGCAACAAAACTTTGACAAATAAACCATTACAAGTGGAATAAAACATTGGTTGTTTTAATATCTAGTCTTCCAGTCAATCATTTAATTTTCAGATAACTCCCATCTCTATATAGACTTTTCCACAAATTATAAGTGGAAAAAAACATTGGTGGCTTTAATATCTATTCACATTCCTTTAGTAAATCAATACATTTTTGGGCAACTCCCATCTCCATATAGATTCCTCCACGGCCTTTATCAAGACGGGAACGTACCGCAACAGGACCAACAAGATCTGGGACCCGCATCCGGAGTACAACCTGAATGTGTTCGGCCACCAGTTGCACTTGGTGCTGCGCCAGGACTCCTCGTTCGTCCAGAACCACACGCTGCAGCTGGACCAGGATGGGGAGCAGGACCAGGAGCTGGATTCGGAGCCGGAGCAGCACCACCTGGGATGCCACTACACCGGCAACGTGGAGGGCGATCCCCAGTCAATGGTGGCAGTCTCGCTCTGCGGCGGCATGGTAAGGCCAACAAGTGACTCCGTTTGACCTTCGCTCAGATTTCAGCCATTTGCATCGCATTTACATTTCGCAAATTATGCTTATCAATATGCCGCCGAATATGACTACTAATAAGCGCTCCCATGCGTTCCGTTTCCCCCGTTCTCGGCTGCAGACTGGTTTAATCAAAACCAGTTTCGGCGCGCTCCTCATCCAGCCATACAACCGGACCAGCAGCGATGAGGTTCTGCACCGGGTCTGGCGGAAATCGCACCGCAATGCCAGACAGGCTGTCTCCAGTCTCGAGCTGGGCCTGGACGCCCTGGTGAGCCAGATGGAGCGGGAGCTGGAGCGCCACAGACCCGAGTCCCGTACACTCAGCCGATCGAAGAGGCACTACGCCGACACGGACAACCAGCTGTACACCGTGGAGGTGCTCATTGCCGTGGACTCCAGCATGGTGCGCTTCCACGGCGACGACCTGAAGCCCTACATCCTCATCCTGCTCTCGATCGTGTCCAGCATCTTTGGGGACGCCAGCATCGGCAATTCCATCCGGATCTCGCTGGTGAAACTACTTGTGCTGCCCCAGACCAACGATCAGCACAAGTCCAGCAACGATATGCTGAGGCGTTTCTGCACCTACATCAACCAGTACGGCTACCAAAGGGACACTGCCATGCTGATCACCCGGTGAGTGGATGTTTGAAGTGGGGTTATTACTCGAGGGTATCCTAATGGAATCTATGTTCTCAAAACCCCAGCGAAAACATCTGCGGCAGTGTGCCGGGCAAGATCTGCCACATGCTGGGCCTGGCCGAGTTGGGCACCGTCTGCAGCGAGAGGTCCTGCTCCATTGTCCAGGACACGGGACTGCCCACCGCCTTCACCATGGCCCACGAGCTGGGACACATGTAAGTTAACGAAGGGGCAATGATCTAGGGACTGCTATTAGTCCAGCGTATACTTCATTTGTATTTAACCCTGTTTATCTTATTTTAAAAGTGTCAATATACTTTTCCTTATAAGAAAGTCTTATATTTCAAATTCAATATTCCAGTTATTTTGTTCTCTTCAACTTATAATATATAGTTTTTATAAGGAGGAGTAATAATAAGCCTTGATAAAGTGTACAGGCGAAAGAAAGTCTTATATTTAAAATTAAATATTCGAGTTATTTTATTTACTTCAACCTATAATACATAGTTTTTATAAGAAGGAGTAATAATAAGCCATGATAAAGTGTACAGGCCATGGTGCCTTTTATACTAAGAAACTTGAATAGGGTAAATCACTTTAAATTACAAAATATAAGTGGAGTGCAGCTAAAAGTGTTTTGTATTGAAAACGACGTAGTTCTATTTTTTTTAAATTAGCATTCTTGTTCATTACAATTAGTGCACTCAAGAGAAGAATCAAGCTAATCACCCTAGATATTTTCGACTAATATTGACCATGTGTTCTTGATTCCGAATACTTTAGACTTAGCATGAACCACGACGATGACGACAAGTGTGCGCCGTACATCACGAGGCCCAACAACAACAACAACAACAAGCAGCTGCACATCATGTCCAGCATGATGGGCATCCACATGCACCCGTGGTCATGGTCGAAGTGCTCCCGCCACTTTGTGTCCGAGTTTCTCGAGTGAGTGCCCCCTTGAACAGCCCTCCAAGTAAGCCCACCAAGTAACCCGACCACCTTTCTATCCGCAGGAAAACGGATAAGAGCTGCCTGGAGACCTCCGTGGGTGAGCACATACCCTACGGCACCAAGCGGCTGCCCGGGGAGATCTACTCGCTGGACAACCAGTGCCAGCTGAGCTTCGGCAACGAGTTCGGCTACTGCCCCTCGGACGAGGAGTGCCGGCGGCTGTGGTGCAAGCCGACGCCGGGCAGCCCCAACGACCAGTGCAGCTCCAGCAATCTGCCGTGGGCGGATGGGACGCCCTGCGGCACCAGTGGCCACTGGTGCCAGAAGGGCAGGTGCGTGTCCAACAAGCATGGCTACGGACGCAAGGTGAACGGCGGCTGGGGTCCATGGACGCCCTTCACGCCCTGCAGCCTCACCTGCGGGGGCGGGGTGCAGGAGTCGCGGCGGGAGTGCAACCACCCGGTGCCGGAGCACGATGGCAAGTACTGCACGGGCAGCCGGAAGAAGTACCGCTCCTGCAACACCCACCAGTGTCCGGAGGGCAGCATGGACTCGCGCGAACAGCAGTGCTACGACATGAACGGACGGGACATGAACATTCCGGGTGTCAATTCGGCCACAAAGTGGGTGCCCAAATACCAAAGTGAGTGCGGATTGAGGTCTTGCAATGAGTGTCCAGATGTTAATGGTGGACTTTCTTTATTTGACCCCCAGAGGATGCGTGCAAGTTGTTCTGCCGCATCGACCAGAAGGTGACCTACTTCATGCTCAAGAGCAAGGTCATCGACGGCACCTCCTGCGCGGTGGACAGCTTCGACAAGTGCGTCAACGGCATCTGCCGGCCGGCGGGATGCGACAACGAGCTCAACTCGATAGCCAAGCTGGGTAAAGAATTCCGAATTCTCTAACTCAAATCATCAGCCCCCCTCATCGCCTTTAAATCACTGCTAAAAATAGCGATTACTAATCGATTTCCGCTTTTTGCAGACAAGTGCGGCGTGTGCGAGGGTCGCAATGACACATGCCACGAAATTACCGGAAATCTGCGCGTCTCCAATCTCCTGGGGCTGAATGACGGGAATGACCCAAACAAGACAACCTACTATGTGACGACAATACCAAAAGGTGTGTGTGCATGGCTCAAGTGCTTGTCTAACTACATTTCTTTAATTAATTGTTGTCATAATAATTTCCTCAATGAATGCTAATGGTATCTGTTTGTGCCTTTCGGGCTTAATGGGTGAATTGCTTACCTACGTGTGAGTTGAGTGGTCTGTGGGCCACCATGTTTGTGGCCGGATCGGAGCTCGTGACTCGGGAACGGGGTGATGGCGATAGAGATGTCGCCGGATGAGCAGGTACCGGCGCCAGGTGAATGCACCCCACCGCCTCACGTACGCCAAGATTGCACTCTTTCCGATTCCACGGCTAATCAGTCGACTTACTCGGGTCGCCTCGATCCATTAACAATATTCCAATCGGTGCTCCTTATCTGCTTCTGGCGCCACCCATTATCTCGAACATTCCAGCCCTTGTGTAAAGACACTCGAAATCTATTGGATCATCACTGATTTTAAATTTGCATTAATAACGATCTCCTTTTTCACATGGCATTGCCTTGCAATTTCTTATCTGCCCTGATGGCAATATTGTTAATCCAATGCATTTTAAGTGCATTTTAATGTTTTTCAATTATTTTTCAATTCCTCTCCACACACAAACTTATTTGCCCAATAATTCTAAAGATGACTCGATTTCTAATGCAATAGGCTATTATATGACCGATGCCAATATACCGACTCTGACCTTTTCAAGTTTTTTGGTATTTTATAGAAATATATCTGATTATCCAGATTAAATGCCACATTTTTTTTATTTTGAATGTACCTTATTCATGTAATTGGCAAAACCTCGGGGCGGTTAGTTTTGAATTTCATTTTGAATAAATTTTTAATTTTGTGCTAAGTCGCAAAGTTAACAAATTTCAATGTAAAAGCTCAAATAAACTAATTTATAAAAACAAAAACATACATAACTTTTTCTAACCATTCGTCTGAGAACAAAATATAACAAATTATTTAAGAAGGTGTGCCAAAACTCAAAAATATTAATATTAAATATTAATATTCTCAATCGGACGAAATAACGATAACCATCAGCATCACTTTCAAAAAAATTATTTACAAGTATTTTTAAAGACCCTTCTAATTGACTGTTAAACTAGAGGTTTATACTTTAATATTGTGTGATAAATCCAGAACTATGGATAAGAAAAATAAATCGATTATTTTCTTAATTTATAAACAAGGTATTTAAATCTTCTATGTTTATATTTAAAGGTGCCTCCAACATAATGATCAAGCAACCTGGCTATTCGGAGCAAAATTTCATTGTGCTAAGCGATGACAGGCGGAAAAACCTTCTCAATGGCGATTTGGTGAAGACATATCCATGGAGTTTTGTATATGCCGGGGTAACGATGCACTACAGCGGCTCCAGCAATCCGGTGGAGCAGGTGAACACGACCTACTCATGGAAGTTGTCACGTGATCTAATAGTTCAGGTACTACTACAATGACCAGCTCGACTAGCAGATGGCAAGTGATACCCTATCTTCTTCTTTGGCAGATCATCTCCCTCGATGTGAGCCCTGCTGTGCAACAAGACACCGTACTAATGTCCTACTCCTACACCATCGACAAGCCACCGAGTCTGGAGGCGGAGGTTGAGATCTACCGCTGGGAAATGCAGGCCCCCAGCAACTGCGATTCGCTCTGCGAGGGCAGAAGCCATCGGCAGCCGGCCTGCATCAGCACCACCCAGGGTCTGAAGGTCGCCCCCCAGTTCTGCGACAAGTCCGCCATGCCCAAGGTCGAGGATCGGGCCTGCAACACGGAATGCCGCCTCAAGTGGGTTTAGTTTAATTTGTATACAAAGAATCAAATGCTAAACATACATCTTCTCATGCACTTTCAGTCTCACGGTCACGAGCATTTCAGAGTGCTCCGCCGCCTGTGGAGAATTGGGTACCCGCGAGAAGACCTTCCAGTGCATTCAGACATTCCCAAATATGCAGCGTTCCAATATTGTGGATATGTCCTATTGCAAGCTGAAGTTTGACGTGGCTCATCACGAGGAGTGTCGTGAGGGGTGCTGGCTCCTATCAGACTGGTCATCGGTGAGTTCAGATTTCATCTGGATAATCTGAATGATCTTAACTTCATATACATGTTACAGTGCTCCAAGTCCTGTGGCACCGGTTCCCGGCAACGTGAGGCTCATTGCTATCTACACAATGCACGAGTCAGCGAAGATAGATGTAATCCCCGAACCAAGCCCCATTTGAGCACTCTGATCGATTACTGCAACACGGATCCCTGCCCCACATACACCGAATCTCCTGTAAGTCCTGTGGACTCTCCTTTAGATATTTAGATGACTTACTTTATCCCTAATTATTACCCGTAACATTTAGAATGCCGTGGCGGCTAGTAACTGGGTGATTGGAGAGTGGGGCGAGTGCGATGATTGGTGCGAGAAGAGTCGCTCTGTGAGCTGTTCAAATCCCTATGGAATCGGCTGCGATAGCCGGAAGCCCAAGGAAGTACGCAAGTGCTGCCACATCAAGTACACTAGCGAATGGACCCAGGTAGGCCTTAAATTTGACCTAATGGAATTTAGTTATATAAAATATTATCTCCAACAGTGTTCGGTGCAATGTGGCGAGGGGCAAAAGTGGAAGAAACAACGCTGCACGCGAGTCTACAAGCCAGAAGTTCCGGGCACTCCAAAGCGCCGCGTTTACATCGATGAATCCTACTGCGTGAGCCGCAACATAAGGCGACCCAAGCTGCGCACCACCACCAAGACCTGCAAGATCAACTGCAAGTGGAATGCCTCGGACTGGTCGCGATGTCCTGCGGACTGCTCGGAGGACTACCAGACGCGCTACGTGCGCTGCGAGTCCTGGCAGGGCGACAGTGTGGAGGAGGGCCACTGCGATCCCAAGAAGCGCCCCTCCAAGCGCCGCATCTGCAGCAGCTGCATGCGCCGCCAGTCGAAGGTCATCGCCCAGGTGAGTGGGTCACTTTATTATTATGGGGAACAATAAATCAGTATCAGTAAATTATTTATAATATACAGTTATTTACCATATACAGCTGCCAAAAATAAATGCACTGTAATAATCTTGTTAGCCTCCAAAAGCAATGCAATACACCTCGTAAAATACATGTCAAGTAAAGTATATTTTACAACCATTATACAAACATTTTTATCACTTTAAATATTCTTTGATTTGAAGTTTTAAAACATTTTATTTTTAAATATATTACATAGTTTTTGCTAACGTAGTTTTTATAACAAATTCGTTGGTTAGGATAAATATTTTAAATTTTCAAGAATCAAATAAAACACATTTTTGTAGTAATAATTTTTAGTTATGAGGATTAATGTCTTATACCAAATGTCAAATTTATTTTCTGTAATCTTAAAGCTTTACACGATGATGAGTTAAATGCTTTAGCTTTAATGTTTAATAAAGAAAGAATTGGTTTAGTGTTTAGTGTGTAAAACTTGTTATAAAATTTGCCTTTGAACAATTTAATAATTTTTTTCTATTATTTTTTGATTTAATTTATATGTCTTAAATTACATATTTACATTTTTGAATCTGTTTCCTTACCTAGTGCAACTGCGATGGAGTCGAGAAACGGAAAGACATCTGCTACAACTCGCACAAGGGTCGCATCGCCTGTCCAACACGCTCCAAGGTGGAGCGGCACCGCTGTACTCCGCCGCCGCAATGCCGGAGGAGGAGTGCCATCGGGAGCAGCATCAGCAGCAGACCCAGTAATAGCAACAGTATCAGTAGCAGCAGGATCAGCAGCAGCAGGATCAGCAGCAGCAGCAGTAGCAGCAGCAGCAGGAGCTTGAATGCGATTAGCGGGCCAAGGGGTCAGGAGAGACCCAGGAGCTGTGCGGATCTGCAGAGGATGCACGGCTACAACACGGACGGCGACTACCAGCTGGAGGTGCGGTCTCGGATTGTGCGCCTCTACTGCCACCAGATGAACAGGGGGACACCGCGCGAGTACGTAAACGTGGATCCGCAGGAGAACTATTCCATCTACTATGAGTTCAGGACGAAGCAGACCAACAGTTGTCCGCCGGAGTCGCGACACCACGAGTACTACAACGACCAGAACTCGGGGCGGACGCACTTCAGCAAGCTGCGCCTGAACATCACCGATCTGCGGATCCTGGACAACGACTTCGAGTTCGCCGACTCGCGGGGTCAGCCGCAGAAGCTCGGATCGGCGGGCGATTGCTACAACCGCAATGGTCAGTGTCCGCAGGGCGACTTCTCCATCAACCTCAAGAACACGGACTTCACCATTCGCCCGGGCACCGTGTGGACGAAGCATGGCCGGTTCTCGGTCATGAAGCGCGTCAGTGAGGTGGGTTCCTAAATGTTTAAATAAATACCATTAACCCATAAGGTCAATTCAATCTTCCTGCTTAATTAAATCAAATAATCATTATCCAAATAGATTACTGATTAGCTGCGAAGTGTTCTTTAACTTTGGACATATTTAAGTATATTCGTCAACTGTTATTTTTATTTTAAAAGTGAACAACTGGTAATTGTAATACTACCTATGAAACATTTATTAATTATTAGAAACTTGGCTACCAGTGATTTATTTCGATACTTTCTTACGTTTTGTACAATATTAATTTATATAAATAATGTGTCACACCTTTTTCCTAATCAAATCTCTCCCTTTTTCAGTTTGATAACACCTCGGAGATGCGGAGAGGCTTCTGCGGTGGATACTGCGGGGGTTGCTATATAGCGCCTGATTCTGGTCTGTACCTGGACGTATTCCAACGGTATCCTGACCTTCCCACGGTAATCGGGTCTACGTCCCGGGAAGGACCAAGGGCTAACCCCCAGCATCGTCATCTTCGAGGGTTATCCCAGCCAAGAATTACCAAGCAGCAAACAAAAACACTGAATGGCGATGGTTAAAAGTATTCTCGAATATTAGTTAGGATATGTATACCTAAGGAATCGTATCGAAGTAGCCCGAACAAAAGCGAAATTTGTGTACATATAACATATAACTATATTTCAACCGAAATTAGAAACTAGATATTATTGCCATGTAATGTATTAAGCATTGTAAATATCAGAGGACTCGAGCCTTTTATAAAGCGAATAAGTATAATTGACCAAAATACAATCCATAAGTCGGACGGTAACCGTTAGGTAATTAAGGCCGCTCAGTTAAACCCGTATTTATGCTAACGATATACAGTGATGATTAGGTAAAGTAAACACCTATGAACTTTTTTCTTGACAAAGGAATGCATTTTTAATAAATTGTGTATTGGCTTATTTTTTGCCGATTTTAAAATATACGATTTTTAGGCTAACATATATCTACACTTTCCGTTTACCCATACCCTATTCTTATATTCCTTTTACCCTATCTAAGCATATTGATGCACTATTATTATTCTACCTATTATGATAATAAAGGTGGTAACTTTCCATCACTAAAGATTTCCGAAAACAAAGAGCTCGACTAAACTAGTGCAATGCCGGTCTGTACAATAATTGTATTAGCTAAGCTTCGCAATTAATTAGTTAAGAGGATATTTCGGAGATATTGTATGTGTAACTAAACGAATACTCATATTATTTAGGACACCCCCGACCGCACAAGCCAAAACCAAACTATTCATCTAATTAACACTGCTGAAGGAACATTTTCGACTAAAACAGTCACTGCCAGACTTTTAATGTTCAATCCATCATGTCCCTAATAGCCTAAGTCCCGGTACCAAGTATCCTCGCCGTATTTTCATTTAACTAGCTAGGCTAATGCAAAACCAATGTTAACAATTAATTTAATGTCAATTAAAGGAATTTAAAGCTGTTACCAACCAACATTCGTTTGTACCTTCAGGGCTTTTCAGGACACGAGTACACGGGTAATAGAAAAAGTGTATTTATTTAAAGTATTTAATATTTTTAATGGAAGATATATTTGGCTTTCAATTCACTGACTGGGGTTAAAAGCTCTTCATATACATTTGATGTTGCTATTCGACATGGAGGCACAGTCGCCACTCTTACAACTAGTTGTTCAAAGTAAAAATGCCCTGTGCCGCTGCCGATGATGTGGCCATGAAGGATGAGCTCCGACAACCGGAGGTTGCCTCTTGTGTTGTTCGATTGTGAATCTGAGTTGGATGATAATAGTTGTGCGATGGGTACGCTGCTTTTGTCTATCACTGTGCGAGCCGAGGTTGTTGAGAAGCTCGCTGGGTTGTTGGTCGCTGCTGGTTGTTGCCTTTGAAGAGCTTTCGCAACGGGCGAAAGACTTAAAAGCACTTGCGGTGGACGATTCCAGGGCCGGACTCATCGTACTCCTGCTTCGAGATCCACATCTGCTGGAAGGTGGACAGCGAGGCCAAGATGGAGCCACCGATCCAGACGGAGTACTTCCTCTCGGGTGGCGCAATGATCTTGATCTTGATGGTCGACGGGGCCAGGGCAGTGATCTCCTTCTGCATGCGATCAGCAATACCTGTTTGGATAACAAAGGAGTTAGACTGTGATCTCTAAAAGACTGGACCTTCAGCTCACCTGGGTACATGGTGGTACCGCCGGACAGCACAGAGTTGGCGTACAGGTCCTTGCGGATGTCCACGTCGCACTTCATGATCGAGTTGTAGACGGTCTCGTGGATGCCGCAGGACTCCATGCCCAAGAACGAGGGCTGGAACAGGGCCTCGGGGCAGCGGAAGCGCTCGTTGCCGATGGTGATCACCTGTCCGTCGGGCAGCTCGTACGACTTCTCCAGCGAAGTGGAGGCGGCGGCGGTGGCCATCTCCTGCTCGAAGTCCAAAGCCACATAGCACAGCTTCTCCTTGATGTCGCGCACAATCTCACGCTCGGCGGTGGTGGTGAAGGAGTAACCGCGTTCGGTCAGGATCTTCATCAGGTAGTCGGTCAAGTCGCGACCGGCCAGATCCAGACGCAGGATGGCATGGGGCAGGGCGAAGCCCTCATAGATGGGCACGGTGTGGGAGACACCGTCACCGGAGTCCAGCACAATACCGGTGGTACGGCCGGAGGCGTACAGCGAGAGCACGGCCTGGATGGCCACGTACATGGCCGGCGAGTTGAAGGTCTCGAACATGATCTGGGTCATCTTCTCGCGATTGGCCTTGGGGTTTAGGGGGCCTCGGTCAATAATACTGGATGCTCCTCGGGGGCCACGCGCAGCTCGTTGTAGAAGGTGTGATGCCAGATCTTCTCCATGTCGTCCCAGTTCGTGATGATGCCGTGCTCGATGGGGTACTTCAGCGTGAGGATACCGCGCTTGCTCTGGGCCTCATCACCCACGTACGAGTCCTTCTGACCCATGCCCACCATCACACCCTGGTGGCGTGGGCGACCCACAATCGAGGGGAAGACAGCGCGGGGGGCGTCATCACCGGCGAAGCCGGCTTTGCACATGCCCGATCCGTTGTCGATAACTAATGCACCCGCATCATCGTCACACATCTTGGCAGTTGATTATCTGGAGGGAATAGAGTGGGGTACTCTGTCAGTTTATCCTGTTCATTGGTTCGAAAGATACAAAAGCCCTATCCCCTAAAAAGTATCACATTTTGTATATAAATTTGCATCCCAATGGATTGATACCCATCAAAATAGATAGTTATTTTACGTTCTCTGTTAAATTGATACAAAAATGTAATATCTATATTACCAAAATAGGACATATGAACATTACTTTATTACAAACTGTTTAACCCTTTTAAATTGGTTTATTTTTCATCTTTTCATTATCCCCTAAATTATTATTAAGCTTTGTTGACTGTCTTTATTACTTTAGATATGATTCTGATACAAATTAGGAATCAGAAAATAACATTTTTTTTAAGTAAAGATTGTTTTCCGGCTTAATGGATCTGATGCTTAAAATATATGTTCTATTTACTTATATGGCGTGCTATTAAATTATTCACTTGATCTTAAACGCTCTAAAAATATCCCAAAGAAACGGTTCATGGAACCCAAATTAATCAGATCAAATTAAGCAGAAATTCATTGCTATTCGATTAGTCTTCACTTTAAAAATAGAAATTGAACTTTAGAAAAAGGGTGGATTGTAGGAAAATCCATTGGCACAATAGTTAAAAGTCGAAGTATTTAAGAGCTGTATTGTTATCCTTATGTTTTATGGTCTCCGTGATAATCCTTGATTCCCTCGACATTGGGGTCGCACGCACACACACACACCTTTTAGGTCAACGAAAGGAGGTAATTTGGATAAGCTCGCACGTTCGAGTCTTGTTGACGGCTAGACTCAACAACAAATGGCACGCCGAGCGGTCCGTACCGCCTTTATATCAGGGCTCTCGCACGAAGCGATTTGAGTTAGGTGCCTGGGCGGCACTGAGAGAAAGAGATGAGCGAAAGTAGTGCGAAGCAATCAACTCGAATCGATCCATATAAGCCGTTTTCTTTGTTCTGGTTGAGCAATACAGAAGTTTGGCTGATAAAATATACGAATGCGACACATCATTGCGCTGCACTACCATTAAAATTAAAATACATGAAACATGAACATAAGAATCAGAACACAATAATATACAGTTTTATCACTGATTTAAAAAAATGATAAACTATAAAATACAAGTTGTATAAAGAATTTATAATAATATTTGGGTATCACGGCAATATCAATCAAGTAAAAATATAAGTCAAAATAGTTGATAATTTGTATATACCACACTAAGTTCTTCGTCATTTGTTTATTTATAATATTGTTAATTTATTGTTATTTATAATAACGATATTGTTTTAATAACCAATTATCATAAGTATGTTAAAATACAGCGAGGCTGTATGTACTCATAGATCCATATCATAAATAACTCCTTGATTTTCATCCTGGAAACATAATTTGCACTTGTTTTTTTACAGATTCATATTATGGATGAAAAGGAAATGGGTGAAGTTAGTCATAGTTCTTAGGATACGCCTAATTCATTGTAGAGATCGTCCCGAGAGAAAGCTTGAGTAAGATAAGAGAATGGATATGTGCGAGTGATTAGCAGATGTGCGTGACAGTCGGAGAATCGGCCACCCCGGCGGCAATCAGTGCTCTCGAGCGGGCAATTAGTCCCCGTTCCCAGCCCCGATCCTCCTGCCGACCCACTGCATCAGAAGACGACTCACTCGCCGCGCAGAGAGATCAGAAAATAGAAACGGACCTTAGAAGGACCGACGCAAGACAATTGGCATCCGCGACAGGGACTGGGAGGATGAGGATGAGGATGGGGATCGAGATGGGGATGGGGATGGGAATGGGACATCTCAACGGGCACGCAGCGAGGCAAAACCGAAATAGACGGGCCAAGCAGAGCGACACCTATAAATCAACATCAAGGTTGATCGAGATCTTCGCGCGCGGCGCTCGAGGAAGCTGCCTTTGCTGCATTTAAATTAGCGGCGCCGATGCAGCCCCGAAGTTGCGAAATCACCGTGCCCACCATTTATCAGAGCAATTAACCATAGCCAGCCAGACCGACGGAGAATGCATCTTCGCTCGGTATTTTTGGTTTTCTCAATTGACTTGTATTTATCCTTTTATGTAGATTTCATTATTTTTTAGTTCTTTCTATTTACATTTTTATTGCTTGGCTGCATGTATATTCGAATGTGGTATAGCTAAAAATAATCCCTGATAGTTCGGAAGTGAATAAGTGGCATTCCCAAAGTTTTTTATTCGGTAATTGCTTTGCTTGTCATCGGATGTTGAGCAAGAGGTTAGTGGCTATGGGGAGAATAGTAGACATTTCAATTATTACCTTTGGATTTTTCATTTAATGATTATATAATTTAGTTTATAACTCAGCAATTGTCTGGACTTTTTGAATTTAAAACTAATGCCTTACCACAACGAATGTTTTGAGTATACAAAATAATAATAATAATAAGGGTATAAGCAAATAAACTTTTGTTTTACTACATTAATTACAATGGTACTCTTCCATTTGTTTAAAACAAATTATGATAAATTTTTGGTAAAAATGGTTATTTTAACCAATTTAGGCCCTTGACTAAGATGCAAGTTTTCGGTGCGCTCCTTTCTTGTAATTTTAGCCAACAAATGTTTTCTAGGTTTTAATGCCAATCATTGTTCTTTTAACCTAATCTATTACTCCCTCACATTTATTAAAAAATAGCATTTTAATACGAAGTTTTATACTAGGGTTATTAACAGATATACATAAAATTGCCTGTTTTGACATAACTAGTTTTTTATGTTCAAAAACTATCGTTCATTTTAATTTTTACGTTGGTTGACCTAATTGGAACAAAGAGGCTTCGATCAGAGATTTGATAATTATTTGTCTTGAACTTCATAAAATAAAATATTGTTTTGTTGGCAATAAAACATAAATCCTTAACAATATTTTTATTTTAAAAGGCATTTTAATTTTGTTGCTATGTATGAATTTATGTTATTAGTGGAGACAAGAACCATTTAACGGGTAACAAAGAAAAAAGCATACTTTTCGGCTGCCAACAAAGTTAGTACCGCAACTGACCACAGCGAATTTATAGGTGGCGCTGATAAGTTTCACAAAATGTTTTAATTGTGTTGACCAGTTTTAAATGTTTAAGTGATATTTTATTTTATAAAATTGCTGGATAGAAAGGTATTTTTAATCTTTCATCAAAAAAATATTGAAATACTTTGGCACCCAAAAGCTCGGCAGAGCCCGTTTCCGCTGGCAGCAAGTCGGTGAAAGAGCGCAAAGCGAAAGCCAAGCGAAAGAAACGTGCTCCCTGGCCAAAACGAAAGACTTAAGACCCGAACTTGAAGCAGCAGCAGAAGTAGAAGCAGAATAAAAAAAAGCAAAACCAAGCCGAGCTCGAAAAAGAAAGTGCAAGTGGACGCGGATGCTTAAGTATTCCGTCAGCGGAGTCGGGTTTATTTTGTTATTTCGCTTTACACTTTTTGTTCTTCGCGCCTGTGTTGGTTTCACGGGCAGAGCGCACCGCTGGAGACCAAGACAAAGACCGAGACCCAGACCCAGACCCACAGCCACAGCCACTCCACCACCACAGTCACCAGCACCAGCGCCATCACCATCACCATTACCACCACAGGCAAAGTTTTAAAGGCAAAACCTGAGCCACGAGCGCGTTGGCGATGACGACGCCGACTGAGGCTGCGACTGCGCAGTGACTGCGCTGCTTGACCCACTTTTGTGGCCATACAATCAGAATGTTTCATGTTTCGATTTTATTATTTTATTTTCTGTTTCTCTTTTCGTGTATCTTTTCGATTTGCTGGTCAGCTATAAGTGTGTGTAAAGTTACTTTTTCTTTTCTTGCGGCTTTGCTGCTCTCATTGTTCATGCTGCTGGCCGTTGTAGGCCTATGCGAGATACGTGTATAGATACGAGAACCATTTATTTCGTGGCATGACTTTCGAAAAATTGTTTTATATTTCACTCGCCTGTTGCTGTGCGGGAGAAAAATCCACTACAGATATTACTTTCAGATTTTTTTTTATACTTCTTACTCATTAAAGAAGTAACGGAAAATCAATCTGGATTGACAATTACAGGAACGCACCATCTGCTTAACCATGGCTGTCGGATTTTCGACTGCATGTTGCTGTTGCTTCTGATGTTGCTGCTGCTGCTGTTGGTGTTGCTGTTGGTGTTGCTGTTGCTGCTGCGTTGCTGCCGGCAGCATGACATAAACTTTCGATTGTCTGCCCGTCACATAACTGTTACTCGTCTTGTGCCTCAGTTTCCCCACATTTCCATTTCCATCTCCTTCTTCTCGTTCTTTGGGCCATTTCATCGCTACCACATCAATTTGGACTTTGGGCTTAAATGGGTAATTGGGTCAGGCCCCGCTGGCCGCTTTCGGGAAATGCTTTTCAAACTCATTTCACTTAAAATTCTTTGGCTTATATTTAGTCTCCGCACTGCCGAGCTGTTAGTCATGCGGCAGCTGGCTCTTGTTCTTTACGAGACTTTATGAAATTCAGAAATCTCTCCTCTCCTCGGATTTTACCACTTTCATGGCTTATTCTTTTCGTTGGCTGACTTTTTGTGGCTGGGCGCTTAATGCGTTTGGCATCGTTTTCGGCTTCTTCGCTGGTTCTGCCTCGCCCTCTGCACAGCTTCTTCTTTTGCCGTCTTGTTAATAATTTTATGTTAATTATTAAAAAGTGAAAATACGATTTTGGCTTTTGGGGTCTCGGCTTTTGGCTGCATTAATCATTTGGCCGCGATACATCTTTTCTCGTTTCTTTTTCCCCAGCAGTGCAAACGGTTCTGGCCCGGCCGAGATTTATATAACGAACCTGCCATCCAATTAAATCCATTAGCTCTCCTATTGACGAAGCTCATCGTTTGGCAATAAAATGCGTTTTCGTTTTCAGCAGAAACAAAATATTCCGTTGCTCATTAGCATGTAAATATAAATTCGGGCCTATCAGTTGGTCGAAAGTCGTAGGTTTGCGACTCATGATTGAGCACTGCATGACTAAACGGATCTGAATCCCTTTTCCCTGTGGAATATTGAACACTCACAGTGCCCGCAATGGAGAGATGATTTACATCTCTATAATATAGCGTCTATATGTAACAGTCGGTGGCTTTATCAGGCAACTTTCACCCGGCTGGGCGATGGTAAAAGAATCGATCAATCGGCAACGGTGTGAACTGGCATGCATAGAGTTCTGCTTTTACAAGTTTACAACATTGAAATTCTCGCCGACAATTTATCAAGCTTGGGAAAATCTCGAAAGAAAGAAAAAGCTGACAAACGGCGAGTAAATAGAGGCCTACTACTGTGCGGGCAGGGGGGCCAAAAGGCAATTCAATCCAACTACAATGGGCAGCGGGATGGGGACTGCTGGTGCTGCAGACATCTTCTACATTAGAAAGTTTTCTACAACTACCAGGAAAGCATCGAGCGTAAGACAAAAGAAACAGTTGTAAGTGCAGAGAGCCCGAGCCCCCTAAAAGCACCCAAAACCCCGAGCAAGCTACTCCGAATGGAGCCTGCTGAAGGCAGAGCTTGCAACGCTCAGTGCGCACGGCTTAAAGACCAGTGGAAACACCAGCAACAATGAGAAATGCAGCGGTGAAAGATTTCCAAATGCAACTAGCCGCCGTTGCTGCAGCCAAGCAGCCAAGATGGTCCAAGTTAATTTCTACCCGGCTCGCTGGGTGCTGCTCTCCACATTATTTCTCCGCTGGCAATTAAACTATAATTAAGAATCTAATGGAGTTTCACTCTCCTTGTGCGTAATTAGCCGTGCGGTTTATGCAAAGAAAAGTAAAAACGTCGGCAACAATGGAAAAGCAAGCGGAATAAGATTGCCAGCGAAACCGGGGGCCAAAAATGTGCGACAAGAAGAAAAAAGTTTAAATTATATAATTATAAAAAAATCTTGACAAAAATAGACGAAAGTTGTAATTTGCAGTGGCGGGCAAGAAAGAGGAGAGGGAAAAGCTGAGCACTGCCAACCCGAAGCGGGCTCAGAAGGCAGCGATGAAAGTTAAAGTTATAAAAGCAGTTTGGGAACGCACTGGAATCGAAACGATGGTAAGCCGTAAATAATTAATCGTCGTCGTCTTTCTTCGTCTGTGTGCGAGAGTGGGCACCCAAGGCGAAACTCTTACTCGGAGCACATGGCAAACAAACTGCGGACCAAAACAAAAGACTTCAACGAAGAACCAAACTTGAACGGTGGACCCTGCGCTGGTGTGAGTGCGCCAATACGTATACGTATAGCGGAGAGAAAGAAATGGTAAAAGCACTCCTGAGCCGAAGAACCAACGGCTGAGCTTCCACTTGTTCAGTGTGTGAGTGCGGCAAGCGAAAGCGTCGCTGCCGCCGAGAAACGAAATGGAATGGCATGAAATTTCTTAGCGATCTTTGAGGATAAGCGCTGGTTTCACTGCGCGCTGCCGCACAGACGTCTACCGCGTTTCGAGGCAGACGTTACGTTCCAACGTTCGGCGCGCAAGAATCGCCAGCCAGCCCGTAGAAAGTCGCGCCTGCGCAGAAACCACAAATAAAAAAAAAAAAACAGATAGAAAAAAAAAAGAGAAATAAAAACAAGATCATAACAAAAGTGTGGAAAACCGAGTGCAGCAAATATCCAGCCCACAGCATCATGCTGCCCAAGTGCAATCAAAATGTTGTCTTCTTTTGACTCTGCGGTTGGAATTTGAGTTTCTCCCCCCTTCCGTTTTTCGAAGACCACGAATCCGTTTTTATTAACTGCCTTGTGTTCTCTGCATATCAAAACGCAAAAGTGAAAGTGAATTTTCGGTGTTTCGGTGCGTGAGTGCCTCTTGAATGACAAATATTGATATGGTACAATGAAAACCAGGCAATTCCAGCCAACCAAATAAGCATCGAGAGAAACTATAAAAGAAATACATTTATTTTTGTGCCCATTGGATTACGGAAAGTTGGCGACCAGCTCAAGGATACCCTGTGGTATTGGAATACACCCAGCACACAGCGCTATTATCAACAGACTATTCTATTTGGATATGGCTGCCAACGAGATTATGACACCCACAGTCAATGCGAATTGTCAATACTCGACCAGATATTGTTGTAAGTTTGGCTTGAACTTGACGCACCTACTAACCAGGAGTTGGGATATGAAGTCGATCTTTCCAAATACTATCTACTATTTGAAAGTTCGACTGTACTATACTACATACTATCTTCTATGAAGAAAAGCTTCTTGTAACCCTTTCTTTTAAGTCTCATCCTCCACATTTCCAACTCCTCTGCCTACTAACCAATCATGTTCTAGCAATTAGAGTTGACTTAACTCCAATCGCCCCCACAAAAGGGGTTTTGGTTCCCATTCCTCCATCGAAGTGCAGAATGCCTAGCGAAAGCAACAAACAAACAAGCCGTGCATTCGGGCAACCTGCGCAGCAAGAAAGAAATTTTCAAAACAAAAAGCAAAAGCTGCTTTTTTATAGAAAGTTTCCCCAGGAAGGGGCCCCAAGTTGCTGGAGTTGCAGCCAGTTTGGAGTCGCCCAGACCAGCACTGTGCGATGTGTTGCCGTCGTCGAGCATCGGCGGCGACTAGCAGTCGTTGTCGTTGCTTCTGCTTCTACAGTATCTGTATCTTCGCGACTGGCGATACATCTGTATCTGTATCTCTGGCCGTCTCTGTCTTTTGGCCTGGCTTTAGCTTTGGCTTTGGCTTTGGCTTGGCAGCTCGCTTCTGCCGCTGCTACGACACGAATATTAATAGGTGAAAGTTGTTGCTTCGTTTCTTCGTTTTTCTTTCTCGTTGACGCCGCAGTCGCAGTCGCAGTTGCTGCCTCTGCCTCTGCCGACGTCGCTGCCACTTCTACTGCCGCAAAAAAAAAAAAACAAAAAACAAAGATCCCTTTTCGGGTGCAGAATTTATGTTTCCTTAGAGTCGTCCAGTAATTTCTCTGCACTGCTAGTGAAGTCAGTCTGTTGGCCAATAATAGTAAAGATTACCTGCAAAGAAAATAAAGTACCGAGTTCAAATCCACTGGCATAGCAAAGAATTTTACATTTCTTTAAGGTTGATATTATTTTATTGTAATATTTTAAACTAACATTTGCAAATGTCTATTCTTGTGAGATACTCATATCAAAATCTACAAATTAATTACCATATCATATTACAAATTTCTTTCACTGTGGGTGAATGTTTCTGGTTGGCTTTGGAGTCCTGTCATAAATTGACCCACTTTTTGGCACATTTCATTGCCATGCAAATGGATTTGATCGCAGAAACCAGAAATGAATATCCCTACTGCTAGCGCAGCCTTCAAGCTTGTTTACCATTACCATTACCAACCCATTCCCATACCCAATCCCAGTTGCTTGCTGTCGTTTTGGCATTTTCATTTCCATTATAATTAAGCGCTTACATAACCCAGGTTTGTTTACAAACTCGGCTGGGCAGGTTCGCGTTTCGAGTTCAATGTCCCAGCGTTGGGTCCGCGGATTGCAACAGTTCCTGCGCGACGCGTGTGGATCTCTCTCGAAGCGTATACGCAATATTGCTGGCTTCTGCTCTAGGGCCAGCTCGATTTCAGTTTCGATTTCTGCTCTGCACACACATATATTTATTTATGAATAGTTAGTTTCATAAATATTTATTATGGCTGGCTCTCTGGCACGCGCAATTATCGGGAATGACGCATCGGATTTTCTGTTGGCCAAAAATCGATGCCAAAACACTGGTGCTTGAAGTACATAACAAGAAAATAGTTTAAATGCTGGCGTTGGCGAGCAAAGTGTTGGAGTGGAATTGGAATTGGAATTGGGCAGAGCGGAGTGGATTGGAGTGGAGGTTGCCCAATAATGCCGTTAGATGATAAACCGCTACAAATTATTTTACCCACAGACATACATCAATTTCTTTAGTGTTATTTCTTCGATTTTTGTTTCTATTTTTTCTGTTTTCTATTTTCGTTTCGTATGATATTATGCAATGCGCCAGCTTGTATCTTGTATCTTGTCATTCGTCTCGAAGCTTGACGAAAGTCACAGATGCGATGGGTAGCATAAGATCACAAGATCGGCAGATGATCAGATCGGCCCAATGCCATATCTTGAAAGTGAAAACACGGTGGCCTCAGTGCCCAATGCTATAAAAATAAATGGCTTTCTACTCTGAACCTGCGTGAATTTCTCACATTTTTCTGCCCTGTCTAGTTTGCTTCCTAGTCCGACACGTAGCCGCCGTTATGCAATTGCTTATTAATTCTTTTATAATGCTTGCGTTGTGGGTTAGTGCTGTTTTTCGGCCGCCGTTTAATTGGCCATCCGACGTGTTGGCAGAAGTGCTGCTGGAAGCCAGGAAACGCTTCAGATGTGCGAGCATTTGAATGCGAGTAGCTGGAGGCGGATTGTCTTTATGCAATCTGGGGAAAAGACTCTTGGCTCGGTCGCTTGGCAACCAGAAAAAAACCAAACTGCCCAGGGGCTCGCAAACCGAAAGCCAATGATCGATGGTACACAAAATGTAGATACATTTCTCCGCCGGAGTTGCAATTAATTTGAAATTACCTGTGGAAACGGCCCATGATAGAATCGCGCCCGCCGCAGACATTATTGTTCGCCAAAAAGAAAAGATATATAAATGAACCATTTGTATTTCGCACGAACACAAGACTGGCAAAAAAAAGGCAGTGAAAGAAATGCTTAATTTTATTTTTACATCCTCCATTCATCTGGTGTTTCGCACCGCATCTTGCCTTTCTTTCTTGCACTCGCCGTCGGACTACCGCAATAGTTGGGGCCCTCTCTTTCGCTCCTGGTTGCATATTTTGATTAGAACTTTCACTTTAGGTCCGCTTCAATTGGGGCCTCTTTTGTATCGTTTTTCTTTTTGGCTGGAATTGAATAATAGGTGGCGAGGAAGAGGTGACCCAGAAATGATGGTGAAGATGCCGAGATGTCCAATCAGTGCTGATGAGTAATAGTGTTCCGACACAAAGTGGGCTGTCTTGGGCACTCAATAGAAAGTTACCAAACTAAATTCGCAGCGCCACTAAGGCACAACCACAAGTCATCACATTTGGAGTGGATAATTGCAAGTGAGGGCGCAGAAATGATCAAGAAACTGCGTATAGCAAATAAATCATAGGGAAAAAAAAAACATTTTGGCTATCGTGTGGGGAAGGTTAAGTTTTTATGTAAGATGCCACAATTTAATTTGATTTTTATTTTCTTGGCTGGCTGGCGGACAAGACATCTTGAGGTTCGCCAAACATCTCAACACAATAGTTTTAATAAATGATTTGTTGTTTGAATATTATTCGGGTTTTTTTTTTCGCAGCCGCTTTGAAGCTTTGTTTCAATATCTGCCCTGATGTATCGGCAGCACGTAATGCCATGCGTATATACGTATACTATGTGTGCCACATGTAGGTGTGTATGTTGGCTCTTACCGCTATTTACATTAACATTAGAGCTTTAGGTTTACGGCTCTGTGGCTGTTGCTCGTTTTTTTGTTTTTCTTTATGCTGCCGCCGCTTCTGACAGCGCAAAGTGAAAGTTTTTCGACTGTTACTGGAGCCAACTGAAGCTAAGCCGACGAATCGTGCGAACGCACCGAAATCAGGTGGCTATATCTGTCCACAGCGATTGGCCAGCCTCGATAAGAATATTAATGCGAGGGACTGAAATCAAAAGTGATTTTCTCGGTGACACATTTGCCTTGCAGTCTGGCGACGGCTTCTCGCTTTCAAATATAATGCCCGACTCATTAGCCAGGCGTTAAATCATAGCGGCAATTACTTGGAAAACGCAAGCATGCTAATGGTAAATGTTTGCAGTTAGCCTCGCCACACAGACTCTGCCAGAAATCGCTCAGCCGCCGTGTTGCACTTTCGAAAAATAAGAGACTCGATAGAAAATATGCAGCAGCACTCCAAGTGCATGACAAACAGCGCAATTGGGAGAGGCGGAGAGAAAAATCTTTTGTAAAAGTTCATAAACCTTCTCGCAAACAATGAGATTACAACGACTACAAAGGCGAATTTTGGCTTCTGCAAATGCTGGCTGGCTGGCTGGCTGACTTGCTGGATGGCAGCTGGAAAAGCAGCGAACTGCATACATGAAAAGTTAAACAAAATTTTCCCAAAAGCAACGGCAGAGAAATGCACAAAGCGGGCGCATAAAAAATATTTTTCCTAAATTACTTCTGACGATGTCGAGGATAATGATAATTGCCACGATGATCGTAATGCCGATGATGATGTTGCTGGTCATGATTATATGTAGTGCGGAATTTCCACAGTTGGTTAGCGTACATTCAACTGCAAAATGGAAAAGCAGAAAGCACAAAGAGAAAAGCCCGCTGGCGATAGATAGAAAATTCCCCGCAACAAGTTGCCTCGCTTGGTTCCACGACTCCGTCAGTTTCGGTTTATATCATCCGAGGCTTTCCCGCTTTTCCAGCCTATTAGCAACTGCGACTCTCGTCTGTCGTCTTTCGTCTTTCGCCTTTGTTTGGCTTTGACTTTCTTCTAGGTTTTCGCTGGAAAAATCATAACAAACAAGAGTGTTTCTTTTACCGTTCGCCCGGTTGTTACTGCTATCTCCAGACTCATTTGTGCATCATTTGGGAGAAAGTAAAAGCCAAGAATTAAATGCCACTAGCCGTTGGCTGGAGCTGAAGCTAAAGCTGTAGCTGTAGCTGTAGCAGGAGCCTGGTCGATGACTTACACGGTAAGTGTGGCCACAACCGCCTGGCACACGGGGCGTATGCGCATTATAGCCGCTGGTCGCTGCTCGCTGGCGTGCGGAGAAAACACCGAAAGAAATGCAGCGGCAGAAGAAAAGCGAACCGAAACTGCATCTGATGGAAAGCCACATGATGGTCGGCTGCAATTTCATCGCAATCGGATTCAAATTCGGAGTCTGGTTACCATGGCTTTTGCCCAAGTTGAGACCCATACGAATTCTTGCATTCGTTTGGTCATTGCAATCGAATCGAAGTGGTATGCCATTTTCAAGTGGCGGCAAGGTGCAGCACTTTGAAGTTCAGGGTGAACTTTGCAAAGAATCAGCGAAAGGAAAAATATATTTATAATTTAAGTAAGGAGGAAATGCAAATGAAAGACATTTATTTGGTTTCACAAATTTTTATAAAGCATTTATAGGCTTTTCGATATTGTTTTGAAATTTTATGTCAAGCAGTATTGGAACACCATCGGTTCACTCTATTGTCCATTCTTATTGGTCTTTGGAATTGTAAATTAGAGGTATTCCGGAGCTATTAAGAATCGTACTCTGTCAATCCAGCTTCCATCAATCAATGTCGCACAACAGACCTTATCTTTGCCCAATCTGGCGTAGAGTGCCATTCCATTAATCCAATCCAATCTAGTTCTATTCTCCGGCCTCTGCGATCTTCCTATCACTTTCAGTACGGCTATCGGGAGTAGGGCACGTCAAATGCTTCATTAATTCCCGCTTGCAGTCGGGTCGATGGAAAATAGAAAGAAATACGTACACAAATCCAAATCCTGACCCAATTAGAAATTCTCACGCAAAGAGGAGACTGAAAGCGAAGAAACTGTGGACACACAGAGGCCAAGAAGTAGAAAAAAAAAAAACGAAACGAAACGTCACGGTTAACAATTCCACGTTTAATCAAACAAACAAAGAATTAAGCAAGAAGAAAACTTGCCATCGCCTTCACATTTCTGCCTGTGTGTGTGGCAGAGTGGCTGTTGGTGAAAGAAAAAGAAAAGTGCAGGAAGCCAAATAAGCGTGGCAAAAAGAAAGCAAGCGAAACGAAACGAACGCGGCTCAGCACAATGGAACCGGCCCAAAAGAAGCTTACCAACTATCTGGCGAACAACACTGGCAGCCATTCTAAGTAGCCATAGTCCGTGGCAATAAAAATTCGAATTCGAAGTAGCAGCCAATTATAAAGGCAACGTGATTGGACCCCCAAAACATGCCCGAAAACGAAAGAATCATAAAGATACCAGAAAGAAATGAAAAGACCCAAGAGTCATACAAAACATGCACAGAAAGAAACGCCAATGTTTTCCTAGTTTAATTCTTTTTATTGTATTGGCAGTATATCAAAAAATTAAGAAACATTTGATTTGCATACCAGATTTGCTAAATAATGACATTTAGTCACTTTTTTCAATATAAAGATAATAATCAAATTACTATCAAATTACTTAACTTCTTAATTACAATGAAATATTTATTCATTTGGAAATTTTATATTTCATAATGAGGTCTAAAATGATATTATTTTTTCTGTGTTTTATGGCTAAAACTTCTTTAGTTATACTGCAATAAAATTATCTTAAGTATTGTTGACATTCTAAAAATTATCTTAAATATTAGATGGTCTTTATTAAATATAATCTTAAAAAGTATTCCTAACCTTTGTTAAATATTTATATTGAAGGGCTTAACATTATATTAACTAGCCTGTGCCCATATAATAGTACTGTTCTTGTAATCGAAAATCTAGATATTATAACATTAATTCTAAAGTGATCTTGTGGCATTCTATTTTCGCTGTGTATCATGCTTATGAGATACGATGGGCCTGCATTTCCGAGCTTTAGAACCGGTCCTCGACCCACGAAAGTGCTCCAAACGGAAGTGAAGCTCGGCCAGCATAGCGATGGTGATGGAGAGAGGCAGATAAAGAACCGTCATCGGGGCGAGAAGACTCGGCCTGAAGACTCGACTTCGGCTTATGGCTTCGTCCCAAAATATAGGCCAAAAGAGAAACTAACGGTAAACGTTGTTTCTTCGGCTGCTTCGGCAAGCGAATTGGATTGTCTGCGCAAGAAGCGACCGCAGCATCAGTTTCAGCATCCGAGGATTTGGGTTACATAAAAGGGCGCAAACGGAAAGTAGAAACCGTAAGAAGCGAGAAGTGAGAAGTGAGCCCAAAGGCCCCATAAAGTGGCCAAACACCAATACATTCAAGCACTCAAGCACTACTCTCACACGTACGCACACATACGATCAACGCATAAAACTTGTTGCGAAGAAAGTGAAACTTTTGTGAGCCAGAGCTGTCTTCTGTTTTCTGTCCCCTGCCCCTTGGCCCCTGTCCCTGCCTCTCCACCTCCCCCTCCCCCGAGAAACCCCCTGGATATACGAGTATCCATACGATCCATTGTGAGCGGTCTGCGAAAGGGGATCGTGGAACTTGAGCGTGTCACGATCAAGCGCGTAGAGCAACGCAGAAGGTTGAGGTTGTTTTCGCAAGCTGACGCTGCCTGCGAATTTTTTTTTATTTCGACTTGTTATGTTTACTTATTTGGCTGGCCCCAACAATTTTTGTCCGTATTTCTCTCGCCTCTGACGCAGAGATTTCTTAACGAGCGATCTTTTGGGTTGGGCTAGGTTATAAATGCTGTTTGTGCTGTTCGCTGCTCGCCAAACCATTAAACGAATCGAATGGGGGCTTGGGAATTGCTCAACCATCAGCAGACTGATGTCGATCTAATACCCTTGCCTTGACACAGAGCAGGCCGGTGAGTAATAGAGTTTCACAAAGCCAGACCCCGGGAGACCCAAAATTAGAAAGTTCACCAATGCATTGCCTGGGCATTCTTGCCATCGAATCAAAGGAAAAACCAAATAATTTTCGATTACACATGGACAAAAATATATGTTAAACTGTTAACAATATGAATTTGAAATTTACCAAATTTATGATTTAGAAAGGAAATTTTTTTTATTTAAAATCAATAAAAACTCAAAAGTAACTTGTAAAAGCGAGTTTTAAAATATAACAAATGAATAAAATTTATAACATAACATTTGCAAAAGGCAAACATTTTTCCAAAAATATTAAATTATTGCATATGAAAGTTTGTTGAGAATGAGTTGTGATCTTGCGGAGTGCCTGTTATTTTTTCCGGTGTATTCTGCAGAATCCAGTGACCAAACTTTACTCAAGTTGCTCCCAGCCAAATCAAAGCAGCCGCCGAGTGAGCTTTTTCTTAGATCCGGCTTCGACTGCTCGACGCTGCATCGGCAAACAATTTTCTCTCGGGGAAAAACACGTTGAAAGCCCAGCAAGGCTGAAAAACTGAAAAGCGGCGCTTGTGCGACTTCTTGGACGCAGTGCAGCCACAAAACAAGAAACCAACCGCAGCCAAAGTCAAGAAACGTTGGGTGAGAAATACCAAGAGCCGAAAGCCAAGAAACGAAAGACGAAAGCCGACAGCAGACAGCCAAAGCCAAAGCCGAAAACTTGGCCCGAAGGGGCCAGTGGAAAAAGTGAACGAGTAGAAATTACGGTAAATAAATAAAGAAAGACGGCCAAGAGAAATAAGCGAACGCAAACGCGAACGTCGTCGTCATGAGCGAAAGTGAAATCTGCTAATGAATTCTTCAACGTTGAATAGTTTTCAGTCATTATGGACAACGTACAGCCGTTGTATGTGGCGTATACTTGATGGGTACTCGAGTGTGTGTGCCTGAGAGCCATGTAACCGGGCAGAGGCAGCCATTCCTCCACTCCAGCGATCACTTGGCGGACCTGCGCATCTGCAGCTGGAAACGGAGATGGGAATGGCTGTGCAGAGAGAAAAATTGCATGATCAATTTTAATTAAATATTATATATTTTTGTATTATTTTGGACCAGAATACCAGGATATTCAAAAATATATCAAAAATCAATTGTATATAACTACAACAAATTTAACCATATCCGTGGAAATCAGTAAGATTTTAATCTGAGTTTTAGTTGACATAGATAAACACTCTAGATCCCAGACATTATTCCACTTTTGGTAAAGTAAAAATTAAAATTCGTTTGTTCCGATTTAAGCTCAAAATTGCTAAAAATAAATATAAAATTTTATGATATCTACAGGCCTCGAATATTCCGTCACATTTATACTGTCATAATTGTTCGAATTGAAACAATTTCTGATGCCTAAAAGATTATACATAAGATGTAAATATATTTTTGGCAAAACTTGCCTTTACTAAATAGATAGATATCGAGCATTTTATTTCTCTGTGTGGCAGCCAAAAGTTACTGCCGCGATTTTGGCTCTAACTTGGGATGCAGCTTGGATGATTTGGCTCTGGTCTGCGGGCTCAGCGGGTAAAAGTTGCTAGATTCGTTATAGCAATTAACCACAAGGCACACAGTCGTAAATGGCCGAGCAGGCATCGATGCCGATCCGCTGCCAGATGATTGCAGTGATTACCCGATTCCGACTGCAAGTCCGACTCCCGACTCGGGTTCATTGAAACCTGGTGCAGTTTTCTATAATTCGCCACTGCTGCCGCCGTTATGGCCAGAGGTCTTTATCGATGGAGCGCGGCTTAAACTTGAATTGCATTTGGCAGGTGGAAAGTGGCTGCCAGCCCGAGCAATGCCCCTCGATTTGTCTCCCTAATTGCAATGCGCCAATCCATCACCGATTCTTGCTTAATGCCCTAGTCGAATCCATACTGATTTGTATTGTTTCCCTCTTTTTTTTTACTTGCAGGGGAGGCGGAAAAAGTCAAATCTTTGATCAGATTGCGGGCGGAACTATCGCCTCTGTTCACGGGCAAGCGAAATGCCTCCAAATATGCCTGGGCGTAAGTAGCAATGCGATCAGCAGAGCCATTGCATAACATTCAATAACTCTCGATTTCTAATCCCTAGCGTGGTGGAGCGGGAACTCAATGTGCCGCTGCCGCTGTCGAAGATCATCAAGAAGTGGAACAATCTGCTGCAGGAGTACAAGGCCATCAAGATGTCCGAGGAGCCCAAGCGGCGAGAATGGCCCTTCTTCACCCTGATGGACGTGTACTTCAGCGACCAGGTGAACGATCCCTCGCTGCGTCTCTTCTCGTCCACGAAGACCCTGAAGGAGACCCTGGATGACAGCGTGTTCGAGGACGATCCAATCATAGCCTCGGCCATTGCGGCGGCCACCAGTGGAGCCTACATGGACATTGACGAGCTGATCCGGCGGCAGAAGGAGCGGGCCGCCCTGGCCGCCGAGCGGAAGTTGGCCGCCGCCGCCAGCGGAGCCAGCGGCGACTACAAGTTCGAGCTGAAGCCCATGCTCTCGAACAGCAAGTTCAACAGCAACAGCGACATGGCCAAGCTGTCCAAGAGCGTCGACGATCTCTCCATGCAGCAGTACAAGCTGAAGCAGGAGCTGATGCGCCAGCGGGAGCAGGAGCAGCAGGAGAACATGGTCAAGATCAAGCAGCATGCGCGCCAGCAGCAACAGCAGCAGCAGCAGCAACATCAGCAGCAGCAGCAACACCACCAGGCCCAGCAGCAGCGATTCCTGGGCCACCAGCCGGCCCTATCGCCGCATCCACACCGCCTGTCGTCCTCGTCGACGCCGCCGGCTTTGCAGCACGCCCTGCAGCAGCAGCAGCAGCACATGTTGCAGCAGCAACACCTGCAGCAACAGCTGCAACAGCAGCAGCAGCAACACCAGCAGCAGCAGCAGCACCTGCAGCACCACCAGCTCGCACATCCCCACCAGCCGCCCACTCCGCGCCCCAGTTCGCCGCCCACCACGGCGCAGCAGATCCATATCACGGCCACCCAGCACCAGGCCGCCCAGCAGCAGCTCCACCAGCAGCAGCAGCAGCCCCACAAGCAACAGCAATCCTACACAGATCCCAACACCATCGACCAGTACCTGCTGTCGTGGAACAACTTCCATGGGAACATGTGCCGCGGCTTCCACTCCCTGCAGAAGGACGAGAAGATGGTGGATGTGACCATCGCCGCCGGCGGAAAGATATTCAAGGCCCACAAACTGGTAAACTAGCGGCTCAGCGCCCGGAACTCCCACACTCATGCCCCACATCCTTCTTTGCTCTTTGTCGTTGCAGGTCTTGTCCGTCTGCAGTCCCTACTTCCAGCAGATCTTCCTGGAGAACCCATCGAGTCACCCCATCCTGCTGATGGCCGACGTGGAGGCCAGTCACATGGCCGGCCTGCTGGACTTCATGTACAGTGGCCAGGTGAACGTCAAGTACGAGGATCTGCCCGTCTTCCTGAAGGTCGCCGAGGCCATGAAAATCAAGGGGCTGCACACAGAGGTGGGTCTTTGTAGTTTAATAGAATAGAATAGAATAGAAAGGGATACAAAAGGAAGGGGGATTAATTGCAATTAAATTTAAACCTTGTGGAGTTCAAAAGTAGTAATTCTGGGAAGATATACAATTTAAAAATAAATGGAGCTACAACTTTTCCATATTTAAAACTGAAGAAACTAAATTCACAAACATTTTATTGGTACAGAAGAGAAGGTCGAAAACACAGTTTATCAAAGCTATGAAGGTCATCATTTAGACAAAAATTTAAAATAGTTTAGACAACAGTTTTGACTTGAATGTTTTAAAACTGGTTTTCTACCTAAATTGTAAAATTTGCAAAAATGGGGAGAGATTTGTAACTTTAAATTTATTACCAAAAGTTGTGTGAATATTTTTTCTGAGTGCTATCATTGACTCTCACTTTCGCAGAAGAACCTGGACAGCGATGCCAGCGACATCAGTTCGCCGCACGAGAGCGACGGCACCGAGTGCCGTTACGAGCGCGGCACGCACAGTGTGAACATCACGAGCGGACATGCCGCCGGCTACGGCGGAGTACCGCCCCCGCAGCAACCGTCCCCGTCGCCCTCGCTCAACAACGGACCCAACCGCTGCCCCACGCCCCTCTCCAGTGGAGGCGGTGGCTCCGGCGGCAATCCCAACTACGCCGGCTTCCGGGAGCACATCAAGTCGAAGGCCACGCTGGCCGAGACCTTTATGAAGAATCTCAATAGGAACAACAACAACAACAACAGCAGCAGCAACAACAACTACAATCACTTGGGCGGCAGCAATGGCAGTCTGAATCTGACGGAGGCGGAGAGCAACTCCTTTGCGATCCTGCAGGCGAACAGCAAGAAGATGCTGGACTCGGCCAGGAAACAGCACAAGTATCTGGCCAAGCGCAAGATCCTGATGCACTACAACACCGAACTGGGTGGCGAGAAGCGGCTGAAGGAGATGGACCGGGATCGGTATCCGAGTGCCGAGCAGCATGATGACGCCTTGAACAACAACCATAGCCACGCCCAGGACAACATTATGGAGCCGATTATCACGACAATTGTGCCACAGACGCCGCCACCATCCACGCACAACAACAACTTCAAGATCCGCCTGGTGGAGAGCCATCACCTGACCAACAACAGCCAGAATCAGAATCAGAACCAGAGCAACAACAACAGCAACAGTAGTCCGCATTCGGGAAGCAACAATTGCCACAATGACAACGATGAGGAGGCACTGAATCTGGTGCAGATTCCCAATGCCAACGGGAGCAGGGCAAGGGAACAGACCCCCGCCCCTGCCACGCCCACGCCCGACATCCAGCTGATCAAGCGGGAGGTGGAGCAGGATTCGCCGCCGGCAGAGAGTGTCCACAATAAAAATGGACACGACGAGGAGCTGGCTGCGGCAGGATATGATCGCAAGTATGACGATAATAACAACAACCGCGGATTGGACATGGAAACGGACTCGAACAACAACAACAGCAAGCCGGGAACGGACAACAATGGGATAGCACTGGCGCTGGGCAAGCACAAGTTGCTGAGTGCGATCAATAGGAGTCTGGAGCAGGAGCAGGACCAGGATCAGCAGGACCAGGAGGCGGATCATGGCGGCAACAATTGCAGCAGCGACGACAACAACAACAATCACAGCCAACACCTGGACCTGAGCACCATCAAGAACATAGCCACGGCGGAGATCCTGTGCGGATTGAAGAGCAAGGTGCTCAAACTGGAGGAGGAGCAGCGCGAGCGGGAGCGGGAAAGGGAGCGGGAACGGGAAGCCTGCCGCAGCCACAGCGAGATCAAGAATGCCGAGTGATCCCCCAAATCCCTGGTGGGTGCAACCCACACTGCCCAGACAATTATGCATTTGATTTAACTTAACGTAGAGAGGGAGCGTATCTATGTTTGCTAATTATAGTTATTTATTATACCACTTAATATCGTTAATGTAATTGTAATGACCTGACCCCACATGAACATTGGTTAGTTTGGTAGGCCTAGCATTCTCCCAGCACACCATTTAGAATCCCTAGCATCTAAGACTCACCACGAATCATTAACGTATCGTATCGTATCGCATCGCATCGCTGATCAAATTACAAATTTAATATTAGCACTTTGGAAATTGGCCCTGTTGCAATACGAGTTAAGACAATGTTAAAAATATTGATATCGTTTAATTATGTATGTGTAGAGCAGTATGTTATAGAATAATACGCCCCAGCCGCACTTTCGATTTTCAGCGAACGCTAACCGTTCTTACATTATTTATACATACGCATATCGTACTACGAATGTATCTCAACACGAATCACGCCTGCATATAAACACCACCCTCCCCCCCCACATACATACATTGCACCATATACCCACGAGTATAGTAATGACATCGGCCCCGTTCAGACCATGTAACACTGGAACGGGCCACCTACAAAGGATCAAAAAGAAAGGAACAATATATGTATCTCGTTTTTAGTTTTAACTTGCCAGACCTTTTGAATGAGCACTCAGACAAGTCGGTTGCATGCGATCGTATTTAACTCGGCGCGCGTAACTTTCACCCTGAAGCGGTTCCGGATCTTGTTAATTGTTGTACATGCCCGTGTGCCTGGAACCCAGCCCCGAAACACACGACATCCATCCACTGAGAAGGTATCGATCGATTTGGGACCACGATCGCTCAACTGCAGACCAACCAGAACCAACAATGCACAGTGTAACTCGTACAATATTTATTCAACTTCTTTACATTTTAAAAAAATTGTGTAATGTTTTTGCTGTTGAACATTTTTTTATTGTAAAAGAATTAACGAATGAATAAAGAACCCAACACATTCAAACGCTTTTTTATAATTTCAGTCAAAAGTTTTATCAATTTCAGAAATACTGCTTTAGTTTCATAAAAACCGGACGACTGTTTCATATGGCTGCCATAGGAACAATCTGTAAATAAAATTATTTTCGAAATCGGATGTATGTAAGAAAAGTTATGGGCTGAGAAGTGCAGGTTTTAGGACACTTTTCTGCAAAGCCATTTTTCGAAAATTTGGAAAGGGGTACCACCATTAAAATAACGAAATATCGACCACAAAATTCAAACCAAGATTTAAACGCAGATTTTTAGAGAATTTAACCATAATCATTTAGAAATATGCCACTTTGAAATCGGATGTCTGTAAAAAGGGTGAAAAAGTTAGGACACTTTTCTACAAAGCCATTTTCGAAAATTTGGAAAGGGTAACACCATTAAAATAACGAAAAACGGCCCCAAAATTTAAAAAATTTAAACGCAGATTTTATAAAAATTAAACCACAATCATTTAGAAGTATGCCACTTTGAAATCGGATGTCTGTAAGAAAAGTTATGGGCTGAGAAGTACAGGTTTTAGGACACTTTTCTACAAAGCCATTTTTCGAAAATTTGGAAAGGGGTAACACCATTAAAATAACGAAAAATCGGCCCCAAAATTTAAACCAAGATTTAAACGCAGATTTTTAGAGAATTTAACTACAATCATTTAGAAATATGCCACTTTGAAATCGGATGTCTGTAAGAAAAGTTATGGGCTGAGAAGTGCAGGTTTTAGGACACTTTTCTGCAAAGCCATTTTTCGAAAATTTGGAAAGAGGTACCACCATTAAAATAAGGAAAAATCGACCCCAAAATTCAAAACAAGATTTAAACGCAGATTTTTAGAGAATTCAACCACAATCATTTAGAAATATGCCACTTTGAAATCGGATGTCTGTAAGAAAAGTTATGGGCTGAGAAGTGCAGGTTTTAGGACACTTTTCTACAAAGCCATTTTTTCGAAAATTTGGAAAGGGGTACCACCATTAAAATAACGAAAAATCGACCCCAAAATTCAAACCAAGATTTAAACGCAGATTTTTAGAGAATTAAACCACAATCATTTAGAAGTATGCCACTTTGAAATCGGATGTCTGTAAGAAAAGTTATGGGCTGAGAAGTGCAGGTTTTAGGACACTTTTCTACAAAGCCATTTTTTCGAAAATTTGGAAAGGGGTACCACCATTAAAATAACGAAAAATCGACCCAAAAATTCAAACCAAGATTTAAACGCAGATTTTTAGAGAATTAAACCACAATCATTTAGAAGTATGCCACTTTGAAATCGGATGTCTGTAAGAAAAGTTATGGGCTGAGAAGTGCAGGTTTTAGGACACTTTTCTGCAATGCCATTTTTCGAAAATTTGGAAAGGGGTAACCCCATTAAAAAAACGAAAAATCGACCCCAAAATTAAAACCAAGATTTAAACGCAGATTTTAGAGAATTAAACCACAATCATTTAGAAGTATGCCACTTTGAAATCGGATGTATGTAAGAAAAGTTATGGGCTGAGAAGTGCAGGTTTTAGGACACTTTTCTGCAATGCCATTTTTCGAAAATTTGGAAAGGGGTAACACCATTAAAATAACGAAAAATCGACCCCAAAATTCAAACCAAGATTTAAACGCAGATTTTTAGAGAATTTAACCACAATCATTTAGAAGTATGCCACTTTGAAATCGGATGTATATAAGAAAAGTTATGAGCTTAAACGTAAAAGGGATAACATTACACAAATTACGAAAACGACCAAAAAATAAAAATTTTCGAAAAATAGCTTCGCAGAAAAGTTGACCAAAAATGCATGTGTGTTATTCAACCATCTGAACTTTTTTTAAGAACCCATCTATTCCTTGTTTAAGGGGCAAGTTCAATGACCTTGATAAATTGGAAAAGCAAACCAAAAATAAAAAATAAAAAACCCAAGGTACACTGACAAAAATATCCTGCGCCAGAGTTCGATTAGTAGTTAAGACCCTCCTGTACAGCTCACCCATACACTGACACACCCAGAACTCGGGTGCACACACTTTCTCTCTCTCTCTGTTTCTCGGGCGTACATCCCTGCCGCAAGAGAGCCAGAGAAAGAGAGTATTTTAGGGAGAGTGGTTGGACGCGCTCTCGTTGCGTCGACGCAGAGCCGTCGAAAGTGAAAAGGAAGAAACAAGGACGAAACTCATTTTGTGTATTTTCGGCGGTCGACGGGTGGGGGCGCACTGTTTTTTTGCCCTTTTTTCGCGCGCGCACCCATCGGCCCGTTGTTGTAATTGAAAACTACACCGCGGCACGAAGGCGGCCCGAAGTGCTGCCCAAATCTCACACTCTCCCATACGCGCACTAGGATACACACATATACACACGCACACCGGCACGAAGGAGAACGCGGACGAGCGAAAGGACGAAAGGCAAGCCGAAAAGCAAACGAGGACCGCCGCCGCGGCAGTTCTCTGTTCTCCGCTCTGTGTGTGGTTGTAAAAAGGCGAAAACGTCACGAGAAAAACCGGTTAATAAATTATTGCTAATCGAATGGTAAAATGCACAATAAATAAATAAATGCGAATGCAAAAAATCGAACAAACTGCACGGCCCCGAAAAGTGTGCATGAAAATGTCGTAAGAAACGGCCAAGGCAGTGAAAAACCCAAGTGAAAGCCAAGCGGTGAAAATTTCCCGAAACCATCGTACGCTCGCTGGCGTTTTTTTTTTCGTAGTCATTGTTTTGCGGCCATTTAGAAACTGCGCAAAAGGCACAGGATACGTGTAGCGGATGTGAAAAGTTGCTATGCTGCCAAACTACAGGCGATACGCTTGTGCTCACAGGATATAGACGATGCCGGAGTGGATATAGATGCTACAGGAGCCAGGTTTAAGAAGGAGCCCTGTTTGTCTATATATGGTGTCCAGAGGAGCACCCTGGAAGCACCCGGTAGAGTCCCCATCGAGTCCCTTAATTAAAAGCACATTAAGTACATCTCGCCGTTGGGCGGACCTCCCAAAAAAAAAGGATATGCTTCTGAAGGTGAAGACAACGACAGCGGCGGCGTCGGCGGCCGTCGCCCTGAAACAGGAACAAAGCCGAAGGATCAAGGAGCGGGAGTGGCTGAACAACAACAATCAGCCCTGGCCATAAATGAATTTTACGTATTTCGGTATACACACGACAAACGCCGACTAGCGCCAGGACCAAAGCCCCAGGACGATGGCAATACGGATGGGTTTGAGTTTGAGTTTGTGCTCGAGGATGACGATGATGATGATGATGTTAATGATGAGGAAAAGGCAGAGGAAAAGGCACAGGGAAATGGGAATGGAAAGGAATAGGAAATGGAAATGGAAATGGAAAAGGGTGGGTGGCTACAGCCAAGTCCGTCTGCGATTGTACGAGTAGTAATACACACACAGGCACAGCAGATGGCGAATAGAGAAAGAGTGCCAACAGGAAGAGGAAAAAGAGAAAGAGTGTAAGGTGTGTGTATGTGTGTGTTTGTGTGCGGGAGAGAGGAGCATAAGGGATGGTCGCCGCTTACTTCTCATACACATTTATGTGTATTTTACTACTCGAGTGCAAAAACTGCAGCAGACGCAGGAAGGAGAAAATGAGGAAAGGAACCAAGGAGCGAAGGAGCGGCAACAACAAACCGAGACTGGCCACAAATCAATCAGCCAACTGGGAAACACCCTACACAGAGACAAAAATTTGAATAGTTTATTAACCTACTTCGTTTTTTATTATAAAAGTAGCTTACCTTTTAAACTGAAATTAGTTTGCTTTTTTGTTACTATTTAGCATATACAAATTGACGCAACTTCAAAGCAACTTGTATAATTTTAAATTTATTAACTAAAAATCGGTTTTTTTTGTTTCTTTAAACTGTTTATGCTGATATGCTTTTGGCCTTTTTATTTAAGTAAAGATTTTAAATTTGAAATATCAATTGGATCATCTTAAAAATATCAAATAACTTTTCCATACAAATACCGACTTCAGATTTTGTGGCCATATAAATTGCATTTCATCTAACGTATTCAAAAACATAATTCTACAAGCCGAAAAAAATCGTTGCATTGAGCTAGATCCTTAAAATTTGTATGCTAGGACAAACTTGGAAATTCCATTACCCTTATATTTTACTTTTACTTTTTTCCAGTGTGTATTTAAACTCAATTACCAAAGATTCGTACTAGCAGTAAATGGGGTTAGAACAGTCCTTCCCTTAAATATCTCGAATATGCCTTGGGCTACAGCTACTCAAATTCAATTTCGAACAATTCGTCCTTTTTTGACGGTGGAGTGATGGTGGTTGTTGTTTCTGCCGCCGCCTGATCATGGGAAGGGCATGTTAAGGGTGAACCGGCCGCACTCACACACGCACACAGTGGCCAGACGGCGGAGAGACGGCGGGAAACACAGTTAGACTGGATGGCAGACGTTTCAGGCACGGCTGAGGGCGGTGGTCGCCATTGCCGTCGACGCCGACGTACACACACACCTATGCAAATGCAAATGCACTCACACATGCAGGCGCATCCTGCGATGCATATATGTATGCAACATGCAACGAATTTCGGCTACTTAACCTACAGAACAAAGGAGGATACAGAAAAAATAAAAACGCAAGGAAATCAGACTGGGAAGGATAAGCCTGCGCAAGGCGCGCAAAAGGACACGCGCACACACAGTAACACTCAGGAATCACACACACACTCAGGCACACACACTTTGAAACTTATTTAATCCTCTGGCTCAGTTGAATTCAGTTCCAGTTCCCTCGGCAACCGCCCCACTCAGCCGAATTATATGAGAGGCCGGAAATAGGAAAACTACAGGATACAACCTACCCACACCAGCACTCACGCAGATACTTACACTTATATACATACACACGAAAGCCGCTTATGTGTTACGTTAGTTACTTTACGTTGTTCGTTTAGCGGCATCTAAATGGCGTTATTACGCCCTAAACGCTTTACGTAGTCACCGGTTACGTGAATTACATCGGAGTACGTTGAAATAATACCCTCTTATATCTGTGTGCGCGGTGCGTAAAAGTGTGTGTGTGTGCGACGTTACCTCGTATCTTACTTTCAATGTCATCAAAAAGGGCTGAAAAAAGATATTTCTGCATTTGAATCGTATCACAGCCAGCTTTGATGGGCATTGCAATGAGCATCGATAGCATTTTTGTGACCTCTGACCTTTCCCCAAACCAGTTCGCGTAAAACGGATAATGGGATAAAAGCTAAGCCAACAAGTGTTCGTGATATATATGTCGGATATAATTCTTACGTAACTCCTCAAAGGGTTGTGAAATGTTGCCTATTATCTACTCATATCACAGCCATTTTGATGAGTTTCGTGCGAATTTCGGCAGCTGGGCTAAAATCAAGTTTCATAAGCGATTGCATCCCATCTTTCTTATACCATGTCGTTAAAATGTTTGTGACCTTATGTATTCGCAATCATATCACAGCCATTTTGACGAGTTTGGGTAAAGAAATCTCAACAGTGGGCGCCATTTATGGAAGTTCAGATTCATTTCAGATCCACCAGACGTCAACGCCCAATAACCATCTGGAAATCATTCGTAATAAGGATACACACCAGGTTTAGATGTTTTGTTTTTTTTTTTTTTTGTTTTTTTTTTTGTAGTTTTTGTTTTTATTTAAATTTATAATAATTGTTATTTTTATATTCTTTTTTCATTTAAGGAAACTTGAAGGTTTACAAAACAAAACAGACCACAACAGATGCTTCTAGATCATACGAAATTTAATCGAACTGATTTTTGACGGGCAAAATAGTATTACGGATTGCTTTTCGTTAATTTTCTTGAGTTTAAGGACAACGGAGGCACTTAAAACCCAAAGGAAGCCTGACTTAAGCTCTTGCTCTTACATTTGCTTTTGCTTGTAAAGGTAGCAAGAAAATTTGTTCGAGAAACATCAAAACAATAATTTAAAGCGATGTCAAAATATTCTGGTAAATGCTAGCGAAAGAAGTATAACAAAGGCGGAGAAGTGAAAACAAAATTCAATTTAAATAAAATTAATTAGTTTTACCAAATTTCGAAAAAAAATAAATTTGAAGCGCTCTAAAAACTCACATTCGTTTTTCATTTCCCGCAGGGCAAGCAAAGAGCATCCATCCAGCTTTTGGCTTCGGGCAACTCTTCCCGAACCGATTTCACATTATATGCTAAAGTAAGTTAACAATCGGAATGCTGGATGAAGCTTGGCCCTTTCCTTGCACCGGTGGAAAAACTAACTTGGAATGATGACTTGGGTTTTTGGTGTCTGTCGCTGTCGCTTTGCTTCTGGGGTTTGTGTGTGGGTGGGCGTGTGTGTTGGGTGTGCAGGGCTGGGGTGTTCGAGTTGGGAGCGTGTGTGTCTGTCGGGGAGTGCCGGTCGATTGCCAAAGCGGATAAAACTATAGATAGCTGGAGCGCAGAAGTACATCAACGAATTATGTTTAAAACAATTTTACAAAATTTCGCTCTTATCTTAACTCGACTTTTTGCTTTTCTTCTTAAGTTTTTGATTCTACTTCATTTGCTTTTCGGTTTACAATGTGATTGTATCAATTTGGTAGCCAATCAGTTTTGGAATTTTCGCCTCGGTTTACAGGACTTGTGCAAGGCAGGAAACACTCCTTACAAACGCTAATTTTTTTCGTATTATAATTGATTCGACTGTTGCTTTTAGCTTTCTAAATTTTTTTGTTTTTTTTTTTTGCATTTGCTTTTTCATACGTTTGGTGTTTTCAGTGATTGTTTTTATCATTCTGTTGTTGTGTTTGGCTTCCGTGCGCTGTAGAAGTCTTGCAATTTCAAAAAATTTACTAGTTTCCTTTTGTTTTAATTGTATTTTATAATTTCCTAGTTTTTGTTGTTGGTGTTTTCGGTCTGTGAGAGATGTGCTACAGGATGAGCCGCTCGTGCACATGGCATAAAGATGTGGGTGGATGTGTGGCATGTGTGAATTGTGGGGCGAAAATCGCTTGGAGCGACAAAGAAAGCCGCGCGTTTACTTAAGGTTGATGCGGATGCAGGTGCGGACGTGGATGCAGGTATGGTGAGTGCTTCATGTTGTGTGTTGTGTCTGTGTGTGTAACTGTTGCTTGATGACGGCTGCCCGTATAGCTCCCACTCGCTACGGCGACATTAACAAGCCGGAGGAGCCTCCGTCTTCCTGTCCGTCTCCCCTCGCCTTCCAGCTCGCCATCTTCCCGTGCGCCATTGCCCAGCTGGCGGTTTCTCACTGCGGCTGATGCTGCTGCATCACGATCTGATACTGTTGTTGATTTTGCTGCGGATGCTGCGGCGTCGGCGGCGGGAAATAATGATTGGCTATTAGCGACTGGGGGTTGAAGCACATCAGCTGGTAGGTGGGCGCCTGTGCCGGCGGCGTGTACGCCGGCTGGGGTCCCCCGCCGGCGGGGGAGGGCTGTGGCGGCGGATGGAACTGCTGGTGCGGCTGGCCCGGCGACGGCGTGGTCGACTGTGGCGTCTGCGTCATGAACTGCAGCTGCTGCGGCTGGTCCTGGTACACGCGCATTTGCATCGGCGCGTACGTATGCGATTGGAATTGTTGCTGGTGCGGTGAAGGGCTGTACTGGATGAACTGCTGTATTGGGCCGGTCGCCATCAGCGGCGCTCCCGTGGCCGTGGTGGCCGAAACGTGCATCTGCGAAGCGGCCATCGGAGCTGTACGAGATCACATTAAAAATTTTAAAACTTATCTCAAACAAATAAAACCTTAAAACTAGAAAGACGGCAAAACACGAAATATGTGTTTTATACCTTTAAAATTGCCTGTTTAATTTTAAATTAATTTCCATTTAGGTTTTTTAATTTTTAGCTGTTTTAGGCCATTAAATAATGTAAAAACTTTTCTAATTTCTTCAACATGACTTTCCAAAAGAATTTGCCCAGCCGCAAACTTGTAGAAAAATTAGTTAACAAAATCTTTTCAGAATTTGCTTAAATGAATTTTTTAGACGAAGGAATTTGTACCTCATTTAATTTTATTGTAAATATTACCCACTAAAAACAAGAGTCGTATTGCACGACTAGCAAAAACTATCTGTTAACCAATTTCAAAAATTGAAATTACACTAAACGATTTTAAAAATTTGTTGTGCATTGATAGATGTTGTTCGAGTAAGTATATATCGCTCGTAATAGAACATTGCTCATTGCGCTGCATAAGCATCTACATCTGAATCTCTTATATAGATTATTAAGACCATACACCGATTATTGAGTGGAAAAACTTCCTCCTAACTGATACCTGACATATCTATTAACGAACACTATATACTAAAAAAATGACATTTTAACTCACCGTAGTTACCACGGCGTAGGCGTGGAGGCTGTCCGGCCTGTGGGTGTGTGGGACCCGGGAATGGGTGCTGCGGCTGCACCACGTAGATCTGCTGGTTGGCCGCCGGTGCCTGCACATGTCCTCCCGTGGTCGTGTAAATGGGCACAGGCGTCTGCGGGGTGTGGGGGCGCGATGGATTCGGTGTGCTGGGCCCGCGGGGAGTGAACGGCTTGGCAGAAGGATTGAGCACATGTGGCTTCTTTACCACCGGCGTGGTTCCGCTGGCACCTCCAGCAGCGGCGACCGTGCCAGCAGCCACCGTTGTGGAGCTGCTTGTCGCACTGGAAGCTGCTGGCGTGGATTTATCGCTAGCAATCACCCCTGTGGTGGGCGTACTGGCTATGCCAGTGGGCGTGGTCGTGCTGCTGCTCGGTGCCGGGGAGACTTCCGGCTTGGGCGTAACCAGCTGCAATGGCTGTTGCTGCTGCACCACCGGCATGGGCTGTGGCGGCGGCGGCTGCTCCATCAGAACCGGCGAGGTAATCACCACCGGCGAAGTCTGCGGTGGCGGCATAGTATGGTATATGGGCAGCGGCTGTTGTGATGGATCCTGGACCATCTGTGGCGGCGGCTGCTGCACTTGGGGCTGATGCTGGTGCTGCTTAGGCACATGCTGATGCTGAGTCTCCACCAACTGCTGCTGCTGCTGGGCCTTTTGTTGCAAGTGGTGCGGCACGTGTTGCTGCTGGGGAGGCGGCGCCTGTTGAGGCTGCTGCTGAGGCACATAGTGTGGCTGTGAGAGGTGCGCCTGTTGCAAGTGCGTCGGCGGCACTTGGTGCAAAACAACGTGTTGCTGTTGCGTCTGCTGCTGCTGCGGCGGCGATGCAGATTGCTGCAACGCACGCTGTGGCTGTTGCTGCTGCTGTACCTGCTGCTGTTGCTGTACTTGCTGCTGTTGCTGTGGCTGTTGTTGTTGCTGCTGCTGGGGCGGTGAATTGTTGCCCGGCGCCAGTTGGAAGTCCTGGCCAAATGTTCGCAGCTCCTGCATTTGGTTTTCGCGCGTTCGCACCTGGCGCGTCGGTTGTGTGTTCTGCCCCTGTGGCTGTAAATTCTGATGCTGCTGCTGTTGTTGCTGCGGCTGTTGCTGCTGCTGCTGCTGCTGAGGCACGGCAGTTTGCAGCGGCGGCGAGTTGCTGTTCTGCCCGGGATGACCACCATGGGAACCGTGCATTGGCTTGCCCAGAGATTGGGGTTCACCGCCATAGTTGAGCGATGAATTGCTCTGAGAGCCTTGGTACTGGCGCATCTGGCGCTGGGGCAGCGGCTTATTGGCATTGGCGTTTGAATCGCCATTTAGCTTGGCGCCGCTCATGTGAGATTGATTACGGTACTGAGTGCTGCGAAAACATAAACATTAATATTTGGTATAAAATCTAAATAGATAATCCTATTTACCCATGCATGATCTGCGAGTTACCCTGGTACGTGTACTGGCCCGGCATGCCCATAGATGGCTGGTAACCACCCTTACTCTGTCCCACGGAGTTGCCGTTGCCGCCCTGCGACACGGGGACGTTGTTGCCGCCGGTAGGCACATTGTTGCGCATCACCTTGCCGCCCTGGGGCACAGTCTTGCGCTTCACCATCGAACCGCCACCATACTTGCTGGACGTGTCCGCAGCCGCGTTGGCTGACGGGGCCGGACCCGCGCCCTTCAGACCGCCGGCCAGCATAAGAGCTGCCGTGGACTGCGTGGAGCCTCCTTGGACCGCCCCGCCGCTCATGCCGCCGCCCTGCATAATCAGGTTGCCATCACCGCGAGTGTCGCGATCACGGCCACTGCCCTGTGAGGACATGCCAACATGCGATAGCTGCGGTCCGGTGATGCTGCGCGTTTGCTTAGTAATGTAACGGTCGCTGCTCATGGTTTCCCGCAGCTGGAAGTCGGCGGAGCCACGAGGCTTGTTGCCACGATCGCGGTCACGGTCCCTGTCCCGTTCCTCGCGCTCCCTTTCCCGGTCATTGCGCTCGCGGTCACCCCGATCGCCACGTTGCTCCTGCTCCGTCGACGGACGCTCCACGGCCGCGAAGAGCGCTTCCTCGTCGCCGTTCTCCAAATCCAGACGCTCGCGGCACGTCGGATTGTTCTCAATCTCGGCGGCCAGCTTTTCAGCCTTGGCCTCGGCCTCTTTGAACTCCAGGGAGTCGCCCTTGTCTAGCGGTACCGTGTACGAGGCCAGAGAGTCATCAAATGTGGAGGTCACGCCAAACGTGTTTTCGTTTTTGCGGAACATCTCGTTGGGATCCCAGCCGTTTGCGGCATTATCCAGTTCTATGTCAATGTCGCCATTGGCGCCAGAATCCCACGGTTCCAGTTCCTTCTCGTCCAGACGCGCACCTGCCAAATAACGCTAGCTAGAGTTAAAGTTTTAAATAAATATTCCATTAGATCTCACCGTTGCACTTGTCAGATATAGCGCCATCCGTCTGAAAAGCGCCGGCGGTGGCGTATTGCGAGTCAAAGTCCTTGGCCACGATGGTCACCACGGTGTCGGCCGGGAATATTATGTGTTTTGGCACCTTGCCCTCCTCCGGCAGATTCTTGGACTTAATGCACGCCGGTAGCTCCAGTGCGATGTCAAAGTTGCCCGAGAATGTGCGGAATACGCCCTCGTATATGTTGCCCGACCGCAGGCGCACCTCTACCACGCTGCCAACCAGCGCCGTAGCCGAGTGCATGAAAAACGTGTTGTTGTAAACGCCCTGCGCCACCGGACGCACTGCACCGCCTCCGTTCCCGCCTCCTGCACCTGCCTTGTTGTTAGCGGGCCTCAGGCTGTTGTCGTTTGAGTTGTATCTGCGAAAAGGAGAAGAGAGGCGTTCACCACATGGGTTAAACTATACGTTAGCGTTGCGGTTTGATGGCGAGGACTGACTGAAATTGGAAATTCGATGGCATTCAGGCACGGTGGCGATATCGATTCGTTGCAAGCTTTGACCTGACCCCGCATTCCGCAACCTCTGTGAAACCACTTGTGTTGCGTTGTGCATTTTAGCTCATCTTTTTTAGTACTATCTAGAGATACTAATTGTCTTTGGCTGTTCAAACAAAGACTTTTCGGGGATTCACCTTGCTGAAGTTGTTGTACCAGCATTAAGATATCGAAAATTCCGGCAAAGACATTTGGGAACCCCCCTAGTTAAACTAAACGTAATTAATTTATGAATTGGCGTGCCAGTATTGAATCTTTGTTAATGGTCAATTAATTTAAATAAGTTTTAAATAACTTATTAGAGCCACTTTTATCAAAGACCTTTTTAAAAATTTTCCATAAATTTAAATTTAATTATACTTTATTTATTAAATGTCTTTGTTTTCAAAATCGATATCTTATGCAACCTATGTGATTTGCAATGCCCATTGACAATTTCTCAATTATGCTTTGTTTACATATTTACCAATATTTGTCGATATCAATATGATTAGTTGTTCACTGAATTTTTTACTAGCATACTTTTTTAAACTAATTTTAATGATTTGAAGTGCTAACGATATGCATTCCGAGAAAGTAATCAACCAAATGAAACCCCTTTGGCCAGCTTTGTCCCAGCCGCAAGCCGAATCGGACTCATTCCCTGGACGCTTTCCTCTGTGCTTTTCGGGGGGTGTTTTGGCATTGGTTGCGTGCGGGCAGGATCGACGACCGTGAAATGCGCAACGCAACGCACAATGAACCCGCCGTGGGTGTGGGTGTGGGGGGTGTAGGCAGGGGCAGAGACGAAGCGGGACCAATCGAAGTGAGGGATGGGGGGGAGGTTGGTTCAACAGTAGCTGATTCACGGAGCGTGCACTGTGCACATTTTCGTGAATGAAAACAAATAATTGATTGCGCTCAAGAGTGAATCATGCGTAAGGTGAGGTGCATGCAGACAAGGCAGCTTGGGGAACGAATCCGGGAAATAGGCTGCGACGGAGGCAAACTTAAAATGCAAGTGTGCATGGCCGAGTGGCGAATAAATATGCATAGACGTCAAGCGGAAAACAAGAGCGAGGAGGTATATCGTTCGGTCAGCAAATTGTAAAGTGACCCAAATTTCGGATCCCCATTGGGGGCTTTCGGGGGTTCCGGCGGGCGGATAGAGGGGTTCGAAGTGTGCCAAAGAACGAAACGAAACTCAGCGCAGTCGCCGCACGTCACAGCAACGGCAAACTAAAAACTGAATACGGCGAGCAGCAATCGCAAAGCTGCAAAATGCTGACAATGCAAGAAAATGCATTCGAAACAAGAAAGGAAAGCTAACTTCGGACGGAGCCGAAGTTGATATACCCTTGCAGAATATTCTGTAAATTATATTCTTCAAAATTATTCATATGGTGTATTCTTAATACTCATGAAAAGTCTCAACTTCCTAACTTTAAAAACACCAAAGTTATGGCATTTCCAATCGTTCAGTTATATGGCAGCTATAGGATATAGTCGGCCGATCCTTATGAAATTTGGTAGGTCGCATTGATTGGCCAAAAATAAGACTCATAGAAAATCCCAACTTCCTAACTTTAAAAACACCAAAGTTATGGCATTTCCGATCGTTCAGTTATATGGCAGCTATATGATATAGTGGCCCGATCCGGCTCGTTCCGACTTATATACTACCTGCAATAGAAAGACAACTTTTGGGAAAGTTTCAAGCAGATAGCTTTAAAACTGAGGACTAGTTTGCGTAGAAACGGACGGACGGACAGACGGACGGACAGACGGACGGACAGACGGACAGACGGACAGACGGACATGGCTAGATCGACTCTCCTGGTGATGCTGATCAAGAATATATATACTTTATAGGGTCGGAAATGTCTCCTTCACTGCGTTGCAAACTTTTGACTGAAATTATAATACCCTCTGCAAGGGTATAAAAAGGCGAGCGACGAGAGTAAAAAATGTAGTGCGCTTCGTGAGCGAGTGTGCGTGCATCACTATGGGCATGGGTTGCCGCACAGTGGGCCTGAATCGCAGAGAGAGGCATCCCAACTCAACCCATGCCCACTGTGCCCACAAGCTTAAGCTTGTGTTGGTGCACAGTGAATAATAAACTCGCATTTCGAACAATTTCGGGCAAATGTATGACTCGACGAGGAAGACTCTTCTGATAAGGCAACAAAGAATCGCACTACAGTGCTCGAACAGTCGAGCATATTTGGAAAATTTCAATATTTACCCAAATCATTATTCAAGGTTATCGAGTAGTAACTGTAATGGAAGTGCATTAATGAACGGAAACATGCCAATTATGTACTTAAGTAACACAATGATTTTTTGCCAATGACATTTGTTAGTTATCAGCTTCTGTTTATCACTATATTTTCATTACAAACTTTAAATATTTGGTTTGACATGACTCTCAATAATTAACTTCCATGAATCCGTATGATACTGATTGTGGTATGAACATTTTTTTTTGTTTCTTAATAAATATTGATAAAAAATATAGACTATTTCAGTCTTTCTGCACAAATTACATTTCTCATGCTTCTTGAAGAATAGATTAAATTTATGTGTACTTCTTATCTTCTCTTCTGAATTTTAGGAAGTAACTGCAATAAAGATTAATACCAGAACAATGTTTATGAATTTGTAAACAATACAAAAGAACTGACCAAACCGATTTTAAAATTTTTAAATGACTATTCTATTGGGTAACCTTTCCCATCAAGCACTGTTTATCTCTGGTGGATGATTCTTTCGCCTAGATAATGATAAAGCTGGCGAACGTGCCGATACTTATGCGCCGCACTGTGTACAAATGCGGATGTTGATGTGTGGCTGCGAATGTGTTTGTGGATGTGTGCGCTGCAGTCATATTTCAATTGAAAATTTTAAGGGCGCAGCAGCGAGCGGAGAGAGCAGGGGAGGGGACGGATGGGGGCCAGTTGGGGAGGGGAATGGGGTTGGCAAAGGGGGTGGCAATATTCGACTCATTGGTGCGACAAAACGGAAACCTTTAAACAAATTATGTTCTCTACACACATTTACCGTTGTGAAAGGGAAATGTAAACAAAGCATAAAAAGTTCGATGCTGAAAACACACACTCACACAAACACAAGGGGGCACGCGATGGCCTATTATATAAGCGCCATTTGCATTCCAAAAAAATTTAAGAATGGTGCTCCAAGAGATGCTGCAGTGGCTAAGCAGAATGAAGAAAAAAACGGCACGAGACGCGCTTTCACCTTTTAAATTTTTTTTTTAGTCAACCGGACCGGGAGAGAAAAGAGCTCTTTGTGGCGCTTTTGGTTGTCGCGGGTTTTCAATTTGTCAGGGCAACGGCAACGGCGAACGGCGAACTGCAAACTGCGACGGCATAAGCAAAAGCAAAAGCAAACCAGCCCCAAAATGCAGTGGTGTGCGTTTGTGCCCCCTTTCGCCTGATGCCGCCCCGCTCGGCCCCTGCCAAACGACGCCCCTGTCTCTTTTTCGCCAGTGCAGCTGGTGCTTCTTCTTACCTTGCGATGCCGCCGCTGGCACCTCCGCCACCGCCAGTGGGTCGGGTTTTCCGCTTGCTATTGTTGTTCATGTCGTCGATTGGATGGGATTGGATCGCCAAATGCCAATTGCCAGGAGGCAGTAGTACCAGTCCCAGTACCAGTACCAGGAGTAGCGAAGAAGTGGCAGTCGAAACCTGGCGTTTTCTTTTCCCTGCCTGGGCTAATTATCCCGATTTACCGACTTTCCAGTCGAGGGATCCTCCTCCGATGGTCGCAAATGGGCGGGCGAGGCGTGGTCTAGCCAAAATATGTTATTTCGGCGGCGTTTAGCACGGATACTTGGCTGCTAAATATGCTTTTGTTGCTAATTTTATTTTTTCCCTGCGTACTGTAGCGATAACGAGCAAGGTTGCTTGACGAGTTGCTGCTGTCCGCTGTCGATATTTTTGTTGCACATCCCTAGCGCTCGACGGCGTATTTGTTGGCAAACGAAAAACCGAATAAACTGCGAAACGGCCGACGAACTGCGCGGCGGGGGTGGTAAACGGTGAATTTTGTTTCGGTCAAAAACTATTTAGTTAATTTATTAACTTCAATTAGAACAGGGGTGCGTGTGTGCAGCCACAGAGTTCGGTATCGAATGGTTATCGCCTGGACACTCGATTTCGTTGGGCCTGACGATAGTCTATCGATTGCTCTGGCGCTATCAAACACTAGAAATAGAGTTGGGCACTGCCGTTGTGCGCGCGTTTTGAACTTTTTCTTAGATTACGTATTTTGGATTGTTATTAAACTGCTTGATTATTCAAATATTTGCCTCAAATCTAGTTCACAAATATGGGCGGACCTATTAATAAAGTTCGCTATCTTTGGTGTCCCAGAGAATAGAAAACATCCGCATATTTACCACATGTCCAGATAAGCGCTAGACACCCAACGACCTTGGTCGTCGAGAAACTCCTTTTCCGAGAAAGCTGGTGGCAGCTTAATCATTTCAAAGTCAGTGAATTCTTTTTTTATAAGGTGGTCGTACCCCAGCTCCCATATCAGATATACTAATTACGATGCAATCTCGTTTACAGCCTAGCGGGGTCGACACATACAGAAACCCTAAATCTGTCAGTCCCACACGCCAAGCGGAGGGTCTTTGTACCGCCCATTGGGTTAGTTAACACCTTCTGAATCTGTGAGGCGGAGATATGTATAATCATGGGCTTCTGGTCACTTAAAAATTATTTTATGATATGGTAACAAAGTTTATATTATGTCAGGAAACCGAAGCATTAAATTAAAATATACCAATATCATAAATTATACAAATTGTGCAAAAAAAAGTAATATTGCTAATTTTATGACTTCTGAAAACATGATATATAAATGCATTCTTTAAAAATAAAGACAATATGAAAATATTAATAGAGCACTTTATTTTGATGTTCAAATTTAACTTTTATTCTTTTAAAAATAACCCTTTAGAATGGTTGTCACAAGGTGTCGTCGCATTGAATATAATATTGATATTTGATTGATTTATTTGAGATCGTTGGATCTGTCTAAGACAAAATCCAAATATTGGTCCATCATTTAGCGATCGAGGTGCTCGGAATGCCACTTGACCGGCAGCCAAAGGTGGAAAATTACTTGAAGTCCACACGACATTGGTTGACAATCCATTGGGATCCCAGATCGCCACTGCCTCCATCTCCCCCACTGCGCACTTGGAGTGCGGGGACATGATAGCGATATCTCGGTAGTTTCTGGCACCGGTGCCGTTGACACTTCCAGTTATATATTCGTTTGTGCTCCGGCCGACGGATCCAAATCCAACCGCCCAACCCTCTGCAATGTTTGCTCGCCCATCTGCCTGCCGAATGCGCGTTAAGTATGTCATTGTTGTACTGATCTCGAGCTGAAAATAAAAGCGGACTGTTTGTCGCCTTTTTCTTGACTCTTTTCATTTTACGTGTTTATCAGAAAAATCTGCCCGAGCCCACTTATTTATCATTAAAAAATTCGCTTATTCGGCAGTTTTCATTAGATTGCGAAGCGGTGCACTTGGCACACTCAAGTGGAAAGGATAATCAGTAGAAAATATTCCAAAGCTTCTTTTACCGAATGTCCTTCGATTTTTAAGTTAAAAGCTTATGCGGATACGTGAAACATGTCAATTGTAAAGAAACTATCCTTTGATGGTAAGGATAATACTTGAACTCTTGGCTTATATGCCTTTGGGTTCTTGTAAAAAGTGAAAAGACATTTTGAGTGCTGTTTTACACATGGATAGAAATAAAGAAATTTGTCAGTTATATAAATTCTTTGCAATTTCTGTGACTTATGGTACATCTCGTGATCACTTTATAGCAGTTCCATTTACACTACTTGGCCAATTTTACAACCGTCATATATGCCACCCGCCGATCTACCGCTTTAATTAGCATCAAAAACAGCTGGCGATATAGTCGACGCAAGTTGTCAAAAATTTTGGCCTGATGTTGCAAATTAGCATTCATTTGGGGCTTCATTTTTCGCCCATCATGACCGATAAAGCTCGTGTATAAAAAATATTTAACTTGCCAAACCGTCAACCACAAATATTAACATTGGCTGACAAAACAAAAGAAGTAATTATTTGACTATATTGGAGTTTAATTTGGAGAAGATTATATTTAAGTAGACTCCCTTGGAGTAAAGAAACCAAATAAATGAAAATGATTTTATGAAACAAATTTTGGAATCATAAGAAAATGTTTCAAATACAAATAATAATAATTATTTTAACCCTTTAACTGAAATTGCTAATTGTTCTGAAATAGAAAATCTATTATTAGCGTGGATACGGCAATAGCATTGATAAGTAATTCAGACATATTCGCAATTCGTGTGAAAGGTAACACCTATCAATGGCTTGTACTATTGATTTAGAGCTATAGACTCAGATATGACTAACAGTCTCAGTACGCATTTGTTCCTATCCGGATTTGTTTTCGATATGAGTAGCCCTCAATGTGCTAATTTTTTCATTCGCTTTCCCTGAATTTTTATTAAAAAGCCCTAATCACTTATTTTATTTTGGCTCAACTCGAGTTTCGCTTTGTTTACCCATTAAAAAGTGGGTAAAAAATTGATTTTAAATGCGATTTACATAAAGAGCGATTGAGGAAGATGTAAACGGGTTTTGAAGTCCGTCAGATACATATAAAGCTATACAATTGAGTGGTATATGGAGAGTCATAGTTCCCGCTCAATAACAGTTAAGAATCTCAGTTATTTAAACAAATTACCGAGCACAGGCAGAGCGGGAGTACGTAAACATACATGTGTGCTTAATTACGAATTCACACAATTAAAGTTTTGCGCTGTTTTTTTACTGTGCTTTCGGCTCAGCTCGGCAGCGGACAAGCCGGACTGTTCGGTTTTATTATTAAAATGCTAAAAATCCCCCAGACAAAATCAAACAATTTCGGCTAGCAGAGCGATTGTACCTGGCCATTGGCGAAACTGAAACAGAAACTGAAAATTAGTACACAATGCGTTGGCCGCGAAAGCACACGTTCGGCCTGTGGCCCAAGGGAAACAATAGTGGTTGCAATCGCCGGAGTGGAGAAGCTACCGGGGATCACCAGGCCACAGTGGCCACCATTTACGATCGTATGAATCGCGGCTTAGTTATTTCCGACTCGAACTCCCACTGAGCATCGTTATTTCGTCTCGATTTCAGCCAGTTGCGAGGAGAAAGAGAAGTACACGGCTCAAAATGGCGAAGACTATTACGGCCAGGTCCACACCGTCGACTTGGATGTGGCCAGCAAGTACTCCAAGCCAAAGGAGGCCCACTGGCTGGTGCGACGTCTCTTCTTCCTCAGCTGGATTACCAGCTACGATCGGGAGCGGGCCTTTGCCGATTTGATTGCAGGGATCACCTTGGGTCTGACCATTATTCCCCAGAGTATTGCCTACGCCGCCCTGGCCGGACTCTCATCCGAGTACGGCCTGTACTCCGCCTTCATTGGATCCATCATCTATGTGTTTTTCGGCACGATACCACAGGTTTCCATCGGACCCACCAGCCTGATGGCCATTCTCACACTGCAATTCTGCGCGGGTAAGCCAGTGCAGGTGGTCATTGTTCTGGCATTCCTCGCCGGTTTGGTGGAACTGGCCATGGGAGTGTTCCAGCTGGGATTCATTGTGAGCTTCATTCCGTCTCCGGTTACGAAGGCTTTCACCTCGGGCACGGCGGTGATCGTGGTGTTTGCCCAGATCAAGAATCTTCTAGGGGTTCGCCTGAAGGGATTTCCCTCGGTAGCAGACTTCTTCACCAACATTCGTCCTACCGATGCGACAATGGGAATAGCCTGCATGGTGGCGCTGCTCTCCTACTGAGGGTAAGTTTAATATGATTATATAATTATTAAATTTTATCAAAATATAAATACTTTTAACTATAGTAAGATTATCCAAAAAATAATTGATAATTTGATTAATTAGCTTCAATTACAACTAATCAATAAGCTTACGTTTGCTTTTATATTTTGTATTTGATTTTCATTATTTAATTTAAGTCAGTAAACTTCGTGGTTGCCAAAATACTCTTACTAAAAATATAATTTTGATAATTAATATCTCATGACGATAAGCTAGAGACAGGTTCCCTTTTGTTATAATAAAATATCGGTTTATTGACCAATTTTTGTGATCTTTTGGCTTGTTCAGCTTCTGTCGCAGGTGAATTTCAAGCAGGACACGGCTGTCACGCGCCGTCTTAAGAAGATCCTGTGGTACATCAGCATATCGCGCAATGCCCTGGTTGTCTTCACCACCGGGCTGATAGTGTTCATCTGGGTGAGGAAGAGCTCAATTGAGGCGGTGCCCTTTGCCCTTTCCGCAAAGGTTTCCTCGGCCATGCCCACGTTCAAGTTGCCGCCCTTTGCCTTCGAATACCAGAACCGAACTTATGTTTTCACGGATATTCTTCATGAGCTGGGCAGCGGAATCGTTGTGGTGCCAATTGTGGCAGTCCTCGCTAACGTGGCCATTGCCAAGGCCTTCGGTGCGTATGCGTAATATTAGAGTTTTAAAGGGTTTGCCTCTATTTTTGTGTATATTGTGTTTCAGTCAAAGACGGCAATCTGGATGCCTCGCAGGAGATGCTCACCTTGGGTATCTGCAACATAGCTGGTTCCTTCTTCAGTGCCATGCCCACCTGCGGAGCTTTCACCCGCTCGGCCGTGAGTCAGGCTTCCGGAGTTCGAACGCCAATGGCTGGAATCTACACGGGATTGATAGTGCTCTCCGCTCTGAGCATTCTGACCCCGTACTTCCAGTACATTCCCAAAGCCTCGTTGTCTGCCGTCCTCATCGCAGCGGTCATCTTTATGGTGGGTACTTTTTACTACACTAAGAAAAAGAATTGGCTAAAATATTTGTCACACATTCAACGCTCAAGATCCTGAATGGCTCCTGTTGTGTATGCTGGCATAAATCTACACGAAATCTAAGCCGACTCTTGAACTCAGTTTAGCCAAACTCCTTATTTTAATAATTTTATTGATTTCTTACAAACAGATTGATCTAAGTCCGGTCAAGGAGCTTTGGCAAACCAACAAGAAGGACTTCTTCAGCTGGGTGGGTACCTTGATCATCTGTTTGGCGTATGGCGTGGAGTTGGGCCTGCTATTTGGAATTGTACTTAGTATGGTGTCCATTCTGCTGCGCTTGGGTAACCCGAAATTTGAGGTCACGCTGAAACAGGTAAGGTAACCAATTCTAAAAAAAATTATTTAAATAATATTGAAAGCCTTTCCCGCAGCATGAATCCACGTACTATGTCCACGTGGTGCCCCAGTCGGATGTCTATTACAGTGGAGTGGATGCATTGCGAAGTGAACTAATGGGCGCCTGCAAAGAGTTCCCAGTAGTTCTCGACTGCGCACGATTCATGCTGTTCGATGCCACCTTCAGCGAGATGCTGATCTCAGTGGCCAAGGATATGGCCGCCCACGATATACTGCTCGTCCTGCAGAACATGAGCCTGAAGGTGCAGCAGATGCTGCCCGTGATGAGCAATGTGCGCTTCTGCCAGGAGGACAGCCAGCTGTCGAGCCATCTGCAGGTCGAGAAGGAGGCGCTTTTGCCGGAGGCCAAGCTGTAATCATTGCTATCTGATGCCAGCAGTCCGTTCCAGTCTGTTTGATCCGGTTTTGTCGGACGTCATGAGAATTATCTCCGGATCTGCTACCGCTTGACGTTCGCACGCAAATTGCGCAACTGAGCGGCGGCACCAGTTAGTTGATTACTTAGATTTAGGGGATTAGTTAAACGACTTTGTAAATACTTATATGCATTATTAAAATATAGTACTCTTCTATGAATATATACCAAGATAACCCAACCGAAAGTATTCTGACATCGTTGATAAACAGGTGCTTGAAGAGTCCATAAAGCATGCCTCGTGCCGCGGCATTCAAAGAGATAGAATGGCATACGTGTCGTATGAGTAATGCCGCAGAATTGCTCTCAACTCAATTGACGCCTCATTAAATCAATTGAAATGCCGGTTGCTTTTTCTTTGAAATTGTTGTTTAATTATTATTTTTTCGCTTTTTCTCGTTCAATAAGGAAATTATAATTTATAGAAAAAGTATAATAATACAGTATAACAATTTAGTTGGTTTTCATTTTGCTTTGTTTATCCATTTCATATTGCATAGTACTCTTTGCCATTATCATTGTTTGCCAGTGTGTTTAATGGGAATTTACTTTCATTTATTCTATATTGTTCGCTTTGTTTCCGAGGAAATAAACTGTTGTATAGTTGTATAGGTGTCTAGTAAATGATTATAGAGTGTATCTGTGTGTCCTTCTGTCTGCATCTGTGTGTTTCCGGTCCGCCCCCGCATTCCGGATGCGATATCTATTCCGGTCGCGGCGGCTTTCCGGCTTCGGTGGACGCCGAAGTTAGGCTTGTAGATTGTAATTGTCTACCCGATGTGGCTGAATAATACAGTGACTTGATTGTTAGATTTAAATCATTTACGTGGGAAAAGTTAACGCTTGTTTCGATTTCGGTAAGTCCTTCTCCATCCGCCTCAACATTTCCGGGCTAATTCCGATATCTATAATTCTGCCCTATTTGCCAGTTTACAATTTACAGTGTTGACTTTAACTGCTGTGTTTCTATGTGTCCTGTGTGTGGTAAGTGTGTGTCTAAAGTAATCATTTGCTCACAATTTTTGTTTTTGCCGGCCAAGCACATGTACATATGCAACTCTATGCGCTCTTTAAATATGCCTTGTTTAATATATTTGTTTGGTAAATTTTGTCATTAATATATTTTGTTATCTTTATACTTTCCATTTCTTGAATGTTTGTATTTTCGTAAAGCAAGAGGTACGCAATGTATTTGTTTGTGTATGCTGAGTGTATGAGGGCTGAGTTAAAGCAATTTTCAAACATTAAGAAACAGTTGACTATATTTTCCCGAACCGGATTAAAGCAAAGTTCCCCCAGAAAGAGAGAGAATCAGAAGTAGTCGTATGCGGCGTATGCAAGTAACTAACTATCGGTAGTAGGTAGTATTAAAATAACGATCGAAAGAGTGTAGTTGGATAGGTTTTAGGTAGATAGCGATAGGAAGTAGTAGCAAGGGGCGGCTTAAGTTGCTAAAGGAAGTGTGAAAAGGACTCCTTGCTGAATTTAGTGAACATGTCTCCTGGGTCTAACGCTACGATCTTGTGCTTAGTACATTATATTTGTATTTGCCATTGGGTATCCCATATATGTATGTAGGAGTAGATCTCTCTTGGTCTTTGGTTTGCTTTAAGTTACACTGATATTTATCGCATATGGCTTCTATGGACATCAAACACTGAAAGAAGTGGGGCGTAGAATAGAAATTTAAGTCGAGCATTCGAAGGCTGGTTTTTGGGGTTTTGGGGTTTTTGGGGACTTGGGATTTGGCTGAGGCTATCACTGGATTGGAAAAGGGGAACGTTCTCTTCTTGTGCTGGACTGGAAGTCAAGGTCGCCTTGTCTTGGAAATGCGCCCGATTGGAGGTTGGCTTGAATGCGAAGTCGTATTTAGTATATGCGAATATATGTAAATATGTACCATATCGATTTATTTATATACTTTAATGTATGTATTTTTGTTCTGCGTCTTTCCGCTTGTCTGACATTGCTCAACATTCGGTTGTGTTTTGATTTATAAATGTAATTTTAGTGTATCTCAATTTAGTTTTTAATATACTTTAAATATATACATATAATATATGTATATGTATGTTTATGTTTATGTTCGGTTTAGTTTACCTTATGTGTTTGCTTTATCTTCTCTTATCTTCTCCTCCTTTCTTTTGGTTTTTATTTATAAACTGGTCAGCAACAGTAGCAAATTTAACAATGTGCGTTAACAAATAATTGTAAATATAATGTATGTATATAATATATTTCTCCTCCTTTACTTGAATTTGTATTTGTATAATATATGTGTGTGTGTTCAGTATCTATGTGAGTGTGTATTGCGTCTGTGTGTGTGTGTGTGTGTGTGAGTGTCTGGGTGTGGCTGCAGGTGGATAATCCACCTGGTCTTGTATTATAGAGCTTTATCCTTTAGTGGGTAAGTGGATTCTTTATCGAGATGCAGTCACCTAAACCGGCAGGCAATTTGTTAAATAATTTTACAACAATTTATCTGGGCTTGTGGCTTTGTTTCTGTCCCGACTGTGCGACCGATGCTGCTGTTGTCTGTCGGTCACTCATAATATTTCTATCAATTTAATTAATAAAAAATATTACCATTAGTACTATTAGTCATATCATATCATATCAACAACAACATACGCATTGGCCCACAGCGGACCGGGTATGGGTTTTAACTTTAGCATTGGTTTGTCTGTCTGCCTACTTTTCCTCCTCTGTGTTTTTTTTTCTTTTTTATATGTATATATTAGCTTAGTAATCGTAATCAATAGCAATAATCATAATCATAATAGTAATAATAAGTCTAATCTACGAATAATATAACAGGACCCTATAGAATGACCGGGGTTATTTGCCAAAGCCGAACCCGAATTTCCCGAAGAGGTCTTTGCCTTTCGATAGGACATCGCCGCCGGGCGCCGCTGCCGCGATTCCCTTGAGCCCGCCCAGCAATCCGGCGCCCGGTCCTTGAGGCGGAGCCTGGGCTTGCGGTGGCACTTGTTGTGGCTGCTGCTGCATTCCGGGCTGCATTCCGGGTTGCATGCCGGGTTGCATTCCGGGTTGCATGCCGGGTTGCATGCCGGGCTGCATGCCCGCCTGCATTCCGGGTTGCATTCCGGACTGCATTCCTTGCTGCATCCCCTGCTGCATGCCCATTCCGGGCTGTTGGGCACCGAAGGCGTTTGCTTGTTGCTGCGCTGGCTGCACACCACCGGGTGGTTGCATTGGATCCGTCTTGGGCGGTTGCTTCGACCCAAATAGACCACCGGTGGCAGCCGAGGTAGCACCAGAGAGCAGGCTAGTCGCGCCGGAGAAGAGGCCGCCCGTCGGCGCCTGTGTCGTCACCGGGGGCTGCTGTTGCTGCTGCTGACCCATTTGGCCCATCTGACCCATCTGTCCCATTTGGCCCATCTGTCCCATCTGCTGGCCCATCTGCTGACCCATCATTCCAGGTTGTCCCATTTGCTGTTGTTGCTGCTGCTGCTGTCCCATCTGCGTCTGTTGCTGACCGTACTGCTGCTGCTGCTGCTGCTGCTGTTGGAGTTGCTGCTGCTGCTGTTGCTGCTGCAGGCCGACATTACCAACGCGACCGATCATCCCCTGCAAGGTGGCGTTGGTCCAAGGACCACAAAACACATGTTAGTTGGGCTTCCAATCAGGCAGTGGGCGCATTAAACGAATGGCAAACTAATTGTTAAGTATATATATATATATGGTACGTATATTTATGGGGGTTTCTTAATATTTTCATGGATTTCTTTCAATGCTCTCTCAAGTACGTTAGCCGGGGTAATTGGTTAGTTTAGCGAGGTCCTCGGCCATTTGTCGCCGAGTTACTTGAGATGTTTTGGTTGTGTTAGTAATGGCAACTACGTTCGTTAACTACGAAAAGAGGCTAGTCAAAAACCGAACCGGATCCTCAGTGGATCCTCGCTAGATGAAACATAGTGCTCAGCCTGGATCCAATCGATGGACTCCAAGCAGAAAGGCTTGATTTCAGGCCTCAATTGAAACGAGTAACAGTAGCATTACGTGATTTGATTTTTTATACACATCCGTTGGTTAGAACAAAACTAAAAAATATGTAGAACTAGCAACGTTTCTCAATAGTTTTTAAACTGAAAATTGAAAGGGCCTAAGGCCAAAGGAGAACAAAAGAACTTGCATGGCAAAAAGAAAAAAAGTTCGAAAAACTCTTTAATATACGCATTCTGACAGCAGATTTCAGACAGTGCCGAAGGACTCTCGAAGTCCCCGCTGTGGATCGGACTTCTATAGTTCTAAAGCTCTATTTATTTACACTACCTTGATGAGGAGTGGTTTGCCAGTCACTAAGAAGTGGGCAGTTATGTCGGAGGTCGTGTTTTGTGAAGGTGTCTAGGCAATCATCGAAATCATAAATATTCAGCGGATACTTATCATCCGGAATGAGATCGTGTTGATGAACTTAACAAACCAAATTAAATCTGTTATTTTGAGTCAATATGTGGCTATTTTTTCATCGGTGTTTGATCATTGTTTAAAGTAAAAGCTAAATGCAAATCTATTGTGGAAATCATAGTGGACGAAGGTGAGCCAGAGGAAATAATATGAGGGAAATGTTGATAGTAATCAAAAGCAAATACATTTTGGATTTAACTAAAGGCGGGGAGAAAAACTAAAACGCAACTGACGAAACCAAAAACTCAAGGAATTACACATACAGTGAATCACATAGAAATTTGTACACATTACATCCAATATTCCATATAGTAGTAGTAGCAATTAATTAATATAATTAGTAGCGTATACCAGTAAAAAAAACAAAAATTTATTCATATATAGATATATATATATATATTTATAGGTATGTATGTATTACATCTTATCAGCAATACGTTTACTTGAGTGTGTATTTTGTATCTGGCATATGGTATCTGGTATTTGGCGATTCTAAGATAAGGCGTTTCGGATACTGTGTGAATAGATTTGTACACATTTTGTTTTGCTAATTATCTTGTTTTCCGGAATACGTTTTGTTTGCTCTCCAAGCTAATTTTAAAGCAGTTATAACTAGCATAATTCGAATCTAAGGCCAGCCTGCAAATTATTAAGCAGGTCAAACCATTTTATTGTGGTTATGATAATGTTTCCATTGCTATCGAAAAAAATAATTTAAATTAAGGCAATTAATTGCCTGAACCTTAACTACACGCAACAATTTTGTGTAGTTTCACCCATCCATTAGCTTAAATTGAGCAAACGGCAGAATATTAAGAATTGAACTTATAATATGCCAAATTTTGTGGCATATTTTATTTCTAGAAAGATTAGTAAGTCTGTAAGCTGAGTAAGTATTGTAAAAATAAACTTAAACCATTTCACAGAAATAAAAAAGCAGTGAAATTTTAAATAGAAAAACACATATTTGAAATGTATATAAAACAAGTAAAGAACAAACATAAGAGTAATCGATGTGAATGATTGTTGCTGTGGAAATTGTTGCTGATATTGGTTAAAGTTCCTTGACAGATTATATATACAGTCTATACACATTCATGATCTGTTGATTAGCTTTATTCTGAGTTCGTTTACGAATATATTACACCAACATGAAGTGCGGCATTTGCAGGCTTTGAATGCTCAACGATCTTGGGATAACCTTTACACGGACGAGTCTCTTGCTTATTTGTTTGAATGTTTGTATTTATAATGTCGTTATTGTCTTTGGATGTTAACTACAAGATAAACATGTTGCTAGCTATACATATGTACTATATATATATATATATATAGGTATATAAAAATCGGTTGATTGGTATCGTTAAAAGGAATGTTCAAGTACTGTACTGAAAGCGTTTGAATCGGGGTTTGAATGGGGATACAAATAGACACAGTGAGATAAGGAGTATGCGTAGTAGCTATAGACATAGAAAGAGAAAAGAGGACGGAACAATGGACGATCGAGTCGAGAAATGACGAGTGTGAAAGAGTCCGCACAACACAGCTGGCGCGTGTGCAGGAAAGCGATAGCAGTATGTCAAAGAAAAGAGATGGCGTGTTCCTCTTCTGTCTGAGTGTCGGGATAATACGTTGTTTCCGGGTTCTATTAAATGGGTTTTTGGCTTGGCCGAGAATCGGAACCGAAAAATAATGAGTGACAGAGATAGTAAGTGAAGGCAGAGGTACAGGTAAAAGGTACAGGTACAGGTACAGGTACAGGTAGAGGGATAGGTAACTGTTGTAGTAGTTGTAACTGTTGTAGCAATAATAATATGGTAGTAGTAGGTTGCAGCTTTTGTTGGGTATTAGGTATAAGGTATTAGGTGAACAGTTGTGGTTATATTTGACGTATTCTTAACTCTTTTCTTTAGATTAGCTTTAGCATTTATTTTCACAAACAAACAAATGAAAATATTGTATATCTTTTTCTTTCTTTTCATACGTTCGATATATCAAAACAAAAGGAAACAAAAGAGAAAGAGTATTTACCTGCGTTTGGTGATCGGGGGCAGGATGGCCCGTGTTGTCTAACAGTGTAGGGGAAGCAGGGCGAGCATCTATAGCAACGAATATAACATAAAGACTTCACATTTACCACAGCAGACCATTACAAAAAATTATTTGAAAGAAGTTGTAGTAGTCAAAACGGAAAAGATCGTAATCCAAACTTAGGTCAAACTTAGGCATCGAAAATCAAATGAAAACCAATCGAAATCTTGAATTTAGTCGCGTACAATTTGCAAATAGTTCGGAGCTGCCTAAGTTCGAAAACTATGATTAATGTTGGTTGGATAGATTGGATATATATTTACTCATCTCTGCACGGGTGGGGTAAATCAAAAAATCTTTGTTCTATATAATTCACCGCAGTTCACGAACAAATCAATGGACAACTCAAAATGAGAGGGTTAAATAAAACTGGTCAATAGACCCAAAGGTCTCACATCACTTCCAAATATACGAAAGGCTTTTCGAAAATGTTATGTTAAAAATTTGATTTGCGCAAAGACATAATTGAAACGAGAGGAAAAGGCGCCAAAAAGGATATAGATCGAATCGGATTAGTAAAAAGTGAGAGAGATAGATAGTTGAGTTAAATGATTGCATTTGATTTGATTGTGGTTATTGGTCCAGACGTAAGTAGATTAAAATTTTATTAAATATTACCTTCTTTTATAGCCCTATTTGTCCCCCGATTGGGAGCTTCTTGGGGTTTCTGAATTATGTTCAGAACTCGGTTCTTTGGTTGCATTTGCTCAAGCTTTTGAATGCAGTTTACAAAATATTTTATATATATATAAGTTATATAGCATTTGGACGGGCACTTAATCGGCTTAGTACATATGGCGTTGTATATAAGTAGTTATATAGAAATGGGTAATTTAAATTTAAGTTAAGTATTATACAATATAAAATGTACATTAAATACAAAATACTGCTCGTATTTATTTGAGAATTTATATATTTTGGATTTGGTGCTTGGAGCCCTTGCTGATGCTGTTGTTGTTTTTGTTGTTATATCTTGAACAAAAATGAACAAATATCAAATATATATCGAAGAAGCTAATTGGCAAACAAACAAGACCAACATTCAGAAAACCAGAAGGAAAGAAGTCAACGAAAAACGAACAGAAAATCCAAAATCAACGAGAGGAAACAACGCTAAAAGAAATATTTGATTCGAAAAGCAGATACTCGTACTCGTTTAACGATCTTGGGGATATATAGGGGATTTGGATATCCGGGTCTCAAGAGGTTCATAAGTACCATACTGCTGTACTCGAAGTTCCCTAGTTCGATCGGATATGTCCTGTCACTGGCCACCACTAATCTCTGGCTTCGTCTCCATCAGTGGATAAGGGCATTCTGGGTGACTTTTCACATTAGCACTACTTCTTCTTCGGTTCAAGGCACATTCAGAGGTTGACTTGTGATCTATGGCACGGTGGTGATCAACTAGGCATTTCAATTCATTCGGCAATCAGGTGCAAGTAATTCGTATCGTTAAGGCAAACAATTGCTTCAATACAAAATAACCAAACGGAAACAAGTGAACAAAAAAGAACAAAACGTTTTCAGACATACTTTAGTTAAGTAACATGCAAGAGACCATCTATAACTTTACACGGCTAGAAAAAGGCACGCAAGACAGGAGAGACAGGATACCAAAAAGAAAAAATTAAACAAAAAATCGGTACAGACAAGTTAAAGAAAGCTAAGTGAGGAGTTATATACAAAGGTAGGGCGATAGATGAAATGATCATGATTTAATGACACTGATATCTTTAGGCGATATCTTCATTACGGGATGATAGATGATTAATCAATGATTATGTATTATATAATGCTTGAAAAATACGTTATATTTTGTGTGTACAACAACAAGAACAACAACTATCTATTGTATATTTTTATTGGATTAGAAATATATCATTGGAATCCAAACAAAAATCGTACAAAAAAAAGAAGGAAATATTTATTTATATATAAGTTGGAAATATCGAACTGATTGGTGCTGGAAATTATTTAATTTGTACATTAACAAAAATCGCATTAAATATTAAGAAAAAAATTTTGGGAGAAAAGAGTTGTACAAAAGATCGCTCGGAATCGTAATAGAAATCAAATTAGCGGCGTTCAAAATTAGAATTAGTATTCAACTTGTAACTGTTTTTTGTTTCACTTGAAAATTTTGCGATAGAGAGTTAAGACAGAAAGAGAAAAGGAGTGAAAATATTCTCTGTGTTCTCTGATTTGTAATATATATCGTTTGGTAAACATAAACGAAAAACAAATTAACATTGGGGTATCGTAACAGAAATGGATTGCTATAGTATAGTATATATTATCCCGCTGGTGGAATTGTTTATGTAGTCTGGAAGAACCTGCATAGTTATTCATCTTATAAAGTGCTTTCGAGATTAAAGTACATGTTTTGTATTATTTTGTAGTATTGGCTTTCAGATTTTTTTTTTTTTGAAAATGAATCAACCGAAAAGAAACCGAAAACGTGAAAATGAAACTCTTGTAAGCCCGTAATAGTTTTTCGAATCGGCTTTCAGTATCACTCGATCACTGATCACTGGTTAATTCGTATTCAATTCGAACGAAAAAGAACGCAAGAGAACGAAAACGAAAAATGCGAAAGTCCACTGGCATCTCGATCTGCACAAAGCCTACTTACTTTTGCCCGGCTGGCCGCGCCCGCCCATTCCGGGCATCATGTTGTCACGTGGCGGGGGCGGCGGACCCCTCGCTCCTGGCCCCTGACCCCTGCCCCTCTGGCTCAGCCCGCCTCTGCCGGCCACTCCGCCCGGACCCATCTGGTTGTTGTACTGGTCGGGCGCGTCCGCCAGGAAGTTCGACGGCACCAGGCCGCGCACGCCGTCCAGCTCGCCCATGTAGAAACCGTCTTCATCCATATCACCGTACACGAGTATGATTTCGCCCGTCTTGAAACATAATTCCACCTGCTGTGAAGGGGAGAAGAGATGACAACAAGTGTTAGATGCAGCAGATAACATTCCAAATCATCGTTTGAAATTAAAACAAGCATTAGTGAAATCTGCTATCAATTGATTCATGGTTGATTTTCAGTTCTTTTTCAAAATGATTTAAACTTCCCCAAATTAAAATTGTGGTAATATTTATTTTATTAATTAGTAAATGTTGGGGTGTCTTAGCACTTACATTAATTCTAGATAGCAATTTAAAAGCCTTTAAAAACTATTTCGAGAATTTATCCATCTTCGATCATAGAAACCATGTTAAATACAAAATTACGCATACGCACCGTGAGCTTATTTGGGTTAGGTTTCGAAAATGTAATCTCATCTCATAATATAAATGTTTTTGGGGTATCCTAGCACCTTTGAAAACGGTTTCGAGAAAAAACCATGTTTTTTAAAATTACTCATACGCAACGTGAGCCTTTTTTGGATAGGTTTCATTAAATATTGATATCCCATCTACTTATTAGTAAATTTCAAGGGCATGAAACGCTAATAGCAATAATTAAGTTCTCAGTTTCCTGAACCCTGCCTAAAGTATGCGACTCACTTCGTTCGCCATGGGGGCCACAACATTTGCGTTGAAGCCCGGCAATAGGCTGCTAAAAAGACCACCCATAAGACCACCACCAGCCTGACTTTCCCGGCGCTAAAGAAGGCAATCCAAAGGAAAAACAAAACTCAAACTATAAACAAATCAAATAAATAGACTTACCTCGGCATCCACATTGGGACTTAGCTCCTGGGGATCGTAGTCGTAGAGCGCGATCATCCGCTTCACCGGCATATTGGCATAGATATCGCCCCAGCGGTCGCGGCTCACGTTGCGCATGCTCTGCTGCGGAGCACCCTGGCCGGGCATCACCTGGGCGGTACCGCCCACGCCCACGCCCATGCCCACGCCAGCTCCCTGACCCTGACCCTGGCCCATCTGACCGGCCATCTGGCCACCGGCCGTCAGTGCAGCTGCCGTGTCCTCCACCTCGGAGACCATGTTGTGCGGCACATAGCCCCTGCGACCGCGCAGCTCGCCCCAGTAGAAGCCATCCGCGTCCTTATCACCAAATACCTAGGTGGGACAAGGGAGATTGCAGGGGCGACCCCGAACATTCAGTTATTAGCAATGGCCAACGATAATCAGAAAGTAGTGATTATTATAGCTGTTAAGTGTATTGAGTGCATAACACTAACTTAAAGAGTATTTATGGAACTATTAAAAGAGAGAACAACGTCTACATAGTGGATTATAGAGTACTGTTTGGTTAGATAGTTGTGGGGCTGGTCAGTTCGAAGGGGTTAATCTCAACAAATCTGATTCTGATTCTGATTCTGATGTGGTACTGAATCTGAGTCTGATGTGGTACTGAGTCGGGAGTGTAAAGAGTTGGGGGGCGAAGGAAAAACATGCACTGATTCATTCAATTAGCGCAACAAGCAAGCGCAGCCAATTCTGGACATAAATCGGTCGCCATTGCATCCAATTTGCATCTTCGATTGGGTTTACGGATCGGATCGGATCGGATCGGAGCGGGCTCACCACGGCTGGTTGCTCTGAGAGGCTGCTGCTGCTGCTGCTGCTGCGACTGGAAAGTGTCTTGGTGGTTCTGTGTGGATTGGGTGTGTTGGGGATCAGCGGGCTTACCTTGATCGTGTCGCCCTCCTGGAAGGGCAGCTCTTCGTCGCAGCCATCGGGATTGGGACTCATCGTGGATGGGTCGTAGTCGAACATGGCCACAAAGTAGCGGGGTTTCTTCTGGGCCCCGGGCATCTGGCCCGCTTGTCCCGCCTGGCCGGGTTGCGTCTGCTGTTGTCCTGGCTGCTGGCCCTGTTGCATCTGCTGCTGCTGTTGCTGGTTGAGCGGTCCTCGTGGTCCCATCATCTGGCCAGGCATCTGGCCGGGCATTTGACCAGGCATTTGACCCGGCATCTGACCCGGCATCTGACCCGGCATCTGACCAGGCATTTGTCCTGGCATCTGACCAGGCATTTGACCCGGCATCTGGCCCGGCATTTGACCCGGCATCTGGCCCGGCATCTGACCTTGCATTTGACCCTGCATCTGCTGGCCCTGCATGTTCAGCTGGCCCGGAACTGGTCCTCGAAAGCGTGCCCCGCCCATGGGACCCTGGGGTCCGTAGGGCTGCTGCTGCTGTTGCTGTTGCTGTGGGTTCTGCGCCCTTCCCGGAATCGGAACCATGCCCCGCTGCGCTCCTGGTGCCCCTGGTTGATAGCCCTGGGTTGTGTCGATCGATCGCAGGAATTTAAATCAATTTGAATGAATTTAAAATTTTGTTAGCGTTAGTTTTTGGACTCTTTTTTTTTGGGGGTGTTGCAATTATTAATTTGTACTCTGTTTTTCATTCACATTGTCTTTAGAGAGGTTTTCGTTTAGCAAAGTGGAGGCGTCTGCGTTTAGCTGGTTTGCTTTAGCGTTTTTCTCTTTAGACAACTAAGGAAGTAAAGTACGAAAGCTGTATGTGTATGTCTATGTTTAGTGTGTGTTGATGGAGCATTACGATCTAAATACATTTAGGAACTGAAAAGCCAAAGATCTATAGCTGATAGTCGAGTACGAAGCTATACGAGTATGTACTGAGGGGTTAGGATGTCATCGGAAGTAATAAAGCACGGATTCGAGTTTGGAGTTTCATTGTGGGTGGAATCTGGGTAGCTGTTGAGGTATCTTAAGGCTTGTGGCTTGTGTGGGTGTTTACACATGTTTCTAGCATAGGCTGCGCATTTACATACGTATTTACATATGTATAGATTGTGGGGTATTTTACATAGATCAAGAGAAGATTTACGGACAGTTCAAGCAGTAGTATAGTTATATATAGTTATCACTTGAACAGATAGTCGACAAGGATTTGCAAATGTTTGAATCTGCGTCGAATCTATAAGTCTAAAGTAGTTATTCGATCCTTCTAAAATTACACAGTGTATGTCCAAAGATAGTCATGCAATTTATACCCTTAATTACTTAAATCTTTTTCCAATCTTTCAGACTTTTTGTAGTACTTACAGGCCAGCCAAAATATTCAAATTTCTTCCCCAAAGGCAATTACTTATATACTTAGAATAAAATCAAACTGAAAAAACTACAAAGAAACTTAAACAAAACCAAAGGCTGTCATATACTTCATTTTCCTTCAATTTACAAACTCAATTATCCAGTTTTCAGCTATCGTTATAAGCGAAATTTTAAGCTAAGCTAACCAAATATAAGTATGCATCGAGCACTTAAGATATGTCTAGAATCTAGATACTTGTACGCAAAGTGTTACAGATACTTATGACTAGTGTGGTGTGTGGCGAGGTGTGTGTAATATGCGAGAGATGTTGTGGGTAAAACTTACATTCTGGTTCACTTGAGTCTGTGTGGGTTTCGAGAAGAGGCCACCGAGCAGGCCACCTAACAAGCCGGAGCCTCCGTCGGGCTGTTTGTCGGTATCGAGGTGTACGATTTCAGTTTTGGTTTCATATAATGAAAATGAATATGTACTTGTTTTGTTTAAATTGTTAATATTGTTCGTTGCATTGCGTTCTCCTTAAGACAATTGTCGGCATTTCCGCTCAATACTTAGTTAAAACTCTAGTTTAAGTCTGAACAACTCAACAAAGTTCAAAATCTTAGGTATATATTTTATTGTTATTTGGTAATTGCAAATTGCTGCTGCAGTTCAAGACATGCTAATTGTGAACTATACTCGAACGAACTAAAAACCCAAAAACCGAAAAAATAACTCATAAGATTCTAGCAAATGTGGCATACTCTGGCATATCTCATTAAACTGAATGAGAGAAAGGTAAACTAAATTATAATAAACCAAAAAGGAGTAACTTTACATACATACAAGTTCTTTTGGGTGGGAAAAGGTCTCAATTCAATTGCTATGGTTCTTATCACAAAGATCGGGGACTAAACCGTCTCGCAGTTCTTTGACATGGGAAATTTGTGTGAATTTTGTGCGATTGTCTCAACAATTTCTCTCAGTGTATGTATATAATAGGTTCATTTGCAAAACAAATCGACCGAAAGTAGTAGGAAAGTATATGAAATTAAAGGCAGTCCAAAAGATATAGGAGGATAAACAGAGAGAAAGAAGGTACAAGGAAAAGGTAAATGTTAAAGAAAATGAAGGTCAACATTAAACTCTTAAAGAGAGAGAGAGAGATAGAAGTAGGGGGTTGAGAAAAGAATCGATGCAATGGAGTATTTATATAGGGAAGCGTGATCTTGGGAGTTCTCCGATTCAATCTTTTTTCTGATGGTGCGCGGGTTTTACAAGCAATGGATAGAGATTTGAAGGTTTTCTTTTGTGTGACTAGCATTCAGATCGGGAGAATAACTTATGTACATTCTTCGATGGTGTGTTGACTTCGAGGTATAGATACAACAGAATTTAGAAGAGTTCTTAACCAATTGCTTCGAAATAATAAAACGAAACGAGTTCACAGAACATTATTTACAGTGTACGCGTGGGCGGACTCCAAGGCGTCGCACCTTCGCCGGTCACTCACCTGGTGGCCCGGCTGACCCGGCTGCGGCTGCATGCCCCTGCTGCTGCATCTGGTTGGGATCGTACTGGCCGTGGTCCTGCTGACCCATCATGTGCTGACCCTGCTGGCCCGGTTGCCCCGGCTGGCCGGTCATCACGCCCATCTGCTGCTGCATCCCGTGCGGTCCCTGCGGCAACTGCGGACCCATGCCCATCTGGTTTGGCACCCTCCGTGCGACGGCATTGCGCACAGTATCTGCGGAGGCACAAGGAAAATGTTTATTAAATTTTAATCCAATTCACTAGTTCAGTACAGTAGATCTTTCTTTTAGCACCTTGTATCTTTCATTACTTCCATTTCTATTGATAGAAATATGACATATCATATACTCAGACGAAATGAATAGATGTTGAACAACAAACTAATTTTAACATATTTTGAAAATACCAAATAGAAACTATAGTTATAGACAATTAAATCTACGACTTGGTTAATTTAATTAGTTCAAACTAGAGAATTTATGAAACTAATGTAATGGGATTTTAATTTTGTACAAAACAATTTTAAAAGCAACTCTTGATTTTTAGTGAAAATAATCAGAGTCAGGGCCAAGATGACTTGAATTCTGTACTCACTGGGTATCAAGATGGGCGCGCTGTCCGCCGACTGGGAATCGCGTGACTTGGTGCGGATGGTGACGGCGCGCGGATTGAAGACGCCCAGCTTGCCGATGTCGATGAGGGCGTGGTCGCCGGTGGGCGAGTTGATGTCGGTGACCTTCTTACCATCGGCGTACACAGCATAGCCGGTTACAGGCCCCGTCGAGGTGGGCCTGTTAACCGGCTGCCATGTCACCAGAATGGTACCGTCCTGCGGGCCGGCCTCTAGCTGGATCTCCTGCGGCGGATCAGGCAGGCCCTTGGTCAGGGTGCGGAAATCGGCGTACGCCCCGGGCGCCTCCTCCTGTCCCGGCCTGCCCGCGCCTCCCGGCTGGCCCACATTGGCCGCATGTTGGCCCACGGCCCGCAGGTGCTTGGCCCGCACGGTCACCCGGTATTGGGTGCTCGGCGCCAAGCCGGTGATCGTGTGCCTGTACATGCCCGGCTTGACGGTGCGCACCTCCACATTGTTCACACACACCACGTGCTGGTGGTTGGAGTTGGCCGGCAGCCACGAGATGACCGCCGAGGAACACGTTATGTGCGAGGCGCGCACCGCCGAGGGGCCCAAGTGGGCGGTGTCCCGCCCGATGATCATCGTGCAGGCGGCGTCCCTCGAGGTCTGCCGGTTTTGGGTCACGCTCCGCACGCTGATGCGATGCGGCTGAGGGGATATATCAGATATAAGTTAGCTCATTCATGTAGAGGGAAAAGTTAAGGGGAAAATGCGTCATAAAATCAAGAATAAAATTAAAGTTCCCATCCGATTTGGACACCGTTTCTCTAATTATTTGGTTTTCTTGACACAAATTAAAATCAGACATTCTATCACTTTAAATACAACTTGCCAGATATTACATACCGAAATAATTTAATTTCTTTAAAAAATTTAAATTTAATTTGTGTAGTTCCAATAAAGTGTGAGATATGGTCTTTAATCCGTAAGTTTAAAAAGTTCTGTTCTTGTAAAATATAAAAAAAACTTTATATGTGAAAATTAGAGCTTATTTGGGTTTGCTAATACTGCATTATCGACATAAATTAGAAATTGTTTTATGGATTAAGATAAAAAAAAACGTAATTAATATTATACTATATTATTTAGAATAATTTAGTAATTTACTAGAAACATGCAAAAATTAGGGAAAGTGTAGGAGCGGTATTAAAATCCAACAAATCGTCTAAAAACAAAATGCCGAAATTTTGTTTAAAGACGGTTCATTCGTAATCAATCGATCTTCAAACTTGAAGACTGGATCTAAGGATGCCGCTGATCTGTTAGTATCAAAAGCCTATTCTTGATTTTACAACGACCTCTAATCCAGATTAGGAAGCGGATCTCACCCGCGTGGAGTCCACGCCCTCGATTAGCGCGCGTGTGCGTTCGTTGGCCTTCACGGTGACCTTGAGCACGCCGTCCACGTAGACGTGGTAGCTGTCGATGAGGTTGTAGCCCACTGGCTCCGGCGGCGACCAGCCAATGAGCACGCTCTTGTTCAGCTGCCGTTCCAGCGTCAAGTGCTTGGGTGCTGGAACTGCGGGGAGGAGCAAGAAGTGTGTCATTAGCCAGCTGAGATTGACCCAGGGACGCGTTTCTAAGCGGACTACTAGCAAGGCCTCTACGGCGGATTAAGACGGGGGTTGGGGGTGAAGGATCTGGAGTAATGCTCACATATTCATGCCATGCACGGCGACGCATTCGAAGATCGCCACAAAAACCAAAAAAGATTAAACTTGACGGGGCCGAAAGGGCGGAAAAGGGGGGACCGGGAATAGTTACCGTTGTCGCTGATGTCGTCCTGGTCGTGCTCCAGATCGGTGTGCGTCTCACTCAAACGTGCCAGGTCCTCGTGGGTGTGTGTGAGCAATGGGTTGTGCGGCGGCAAGGAGGGCAGCGATGTGGTGTCGCACTGCAACGACCCGGACCCGTCCTCGGCATCGCGCAGCGTCGACAGCACCGCCTGGTGGAACTCCAGGAGGTCGTCGCCTAGCAAGTACAGAGGTGGAGGTTAGCAGCGGGCTCTATTTGGGATATACTCAAATCGAGAGGTGTTTAAGGAGCGCCACCCACCTACTAAGCGCTGCACAAAGGACGCCGGCACCAGGCCGCGTCGCCCGTCCAACAGCTCCGCATCCAGGTAGCCACCTTGGGGCTCCCCGCTGGTCCACACCAGCAGATAGTCGCCGGCGCACAGGGAGAGCTCGCCCTCAGCCTCCCTGCAAGGCATGGAAAGGAATTCATTATGAACACTGAAAATAACAAGGGTTAATCTGGCATGTTCTTGAAACGGGTTCGGTATATCATACAACCATTGGGAAGATCGTTTAAGGGATACGCATAAGGAAAATCGTTTAGTTATTGTAGTTTGTAATAGAGCTATGAAGTTAAGAGTAACAACCGCACAAAACAAAATGCATTCTAGTTCTATAGGTGCTAGAAAGTGAATACAGTTGAACATCCATAACCAACATATATTTAATGTCAAATATAAATAATTAATTTTATATCCTTTATTGCCAACAAAACCTCTTGGACTATTAGGTATTTTGAGTTATGGAAGTTCAAACTATGGAAGTTAGACATTTTGCTATTTCAAATTATAGGATCATAAGAGTAATGTATCTAATATATTTTTAAAAAAATCACGTATACGACTAGTTGATCGATTATATTAAAAAATCACGTATACGACTTACGATTTATTGCATACTTTTAGGAGAGAACATGCATGCTATATTAAAGCAATTTAATTCGGATGAAGTAATTTAGTTGATTATAATCAAATACGTTTTCAATGTAAGAATCTTTAATACAAATTTTTTGACAATTTTAACCCATTAATAAGGTAATAATTTCAGACTGTATTGATTAAACGAAATTAATACTGAAAAGTTAGCAATAGAGGAATGATACTACATATATGAAAAGATTATCCCCAAGAACTACCTTCGTATCTTTATGCAATAGGGGAATGGCTTTAATTGTTATTAAATAAGCAACTCCTGGTACTTACTCTGGAGGATCGTAGGGAAAGCGGGCTATGAACACACAGCAGCGGCCCTTTCCGGGAATATCCAGCATATCAACCTGCGGTTCGCTGGCTCCATTCAAGCCATGATTGCGGGCTGTGGATAGAAATAGGTATTAATGCTACTACCAGAAGCGTTCATCCTATGAAACTCACTGTCCAAATCAAGGGCACCCAATGCCAAGCCGCCGCGATTGTGCATCATGGAGACGCTGAGGCCGTCGGTGAACTCGTCCAGTCCCCAGTTGCTGGGCGGTATGGGTGAGCAGGGCGAGCTGCGGTTGTACCGCGCCAACGGTATGTCGATCTCGTCCAGCATCTTCATCTTGGACGCCTGTCGCAGGGCGGCGGCCGTAAACGGATACGAGGCGCTCGAGGCGACGTCCAGGAACGGTGGACCATAGGAGCTGCCCAGTCCGCCGGCCGTTCCACCGCCGCTCAATCCGTACAGCGAGGTGGCTCCGGTGATGCCACCGACACCGGGTCCCACGCCCAGGCCGCCCAAACCGGCGGTACCCAGCAGGGCGCCGGTGTCCAGCAGGCCCAGATTGGCCATGGTGGGGTGCGTCAGCGAGGAGCCGCCGCCGGCGCCCAAGGCCGAGTAGCTGGTCGAGCCGGCGGGCGGCAGGTTATGCGAGTTGAGTGACAGGAGGGGCATGGTTGTGCTCTGCAAATTGTACAGTTGTATTGTTCCGCGCTTCTCGATTCGATTCGAATTCAATTCGGTTTCAATTTCAATTGCCGTTTGTGTGTGTTTTTTTTGTTGTATTATGTGTGTGGAATTTGGAATTTTCGGTTTTGGTTTTTTTTAGAATTTACAGGGTATTATTTGTGGTGTGTTTTGGTTTTTGTACAGGTGTCGTTACACAAACATAGGATTTCACACACACACACACACAGATACAGATGCAGACATACATATAAAGATCGATTGATTGACATATTTCAGATCATAATCGGAGTTATGGTCCAGGGAAAATAGATCGAGTCATCATTAAGTACGGAGAATAGGTAAGAGAGAGAGAGAGAGAGAGAAAGGGAAGACAGAGAAAGCACATAAAACGGAAAGAGAGATCACAGATACACGTTTATTCAGCTGCGATTGTATTGGGAAACGCATCTAGAAGAACATCTTAAATGGACATCTATGCATGAACAACTGAACATGTTGGTGGTGATTTTCGGCTGGTCATGAGTTATTGGCTAATGTTTCTGCAATGAACTGAAGCCGTTTCCAAGCGAGGTTTCATGGCTATGCAGCACGGCTAGCATCCAATCATCACCATCAAAAACGTTAATCAACAAGAAACGGAAAGCTTTCAAATGTAACTCCTTTAAAATAAATATACTTAGTATGCATGTTTGTATGTCTGTATATGCAGCAAATGCATGTGTACACGCAGTTTAATATTTCAGGAACTTTCGAAATTCTAATTAAGGTATTTAAGTTTTCACAAAAAAAGTTTCTTTGAATTTAAGCATACAAATTTGAATTAGAATTTCTTAAAAGTTCGAAAGATATTAAATAAGTATCTGAGTTTTGATCTAAATACATGGCTAATTATACAGTGTTTTACAATTATGTTTATGAGGAATTATATTAATGACATATTCATTAAGGATTTGAAAACTGTCCTTGATGTACTATCATAATACAAGTGATTGAAGGGCGTAAGTGATGAAATTACTAGCATGCCAGCGAAAGCGATTTAAATTATACAAAGGCAATTACAAATCGAATACAGATACGCAAACGATCTAGTCTGAAATGGGTGTGTGTGATATCGTGTCATGTGAGGGTGTTTATTCAGTGGGTGGCTCTGTATGTAGATGTTTATTTTCACCAGTAATGAGACTACAACAAAACGCAATGTGTGAGCTTTACACAGACGGCCGGTGGCTGCAGCAGCGACGATCAACGAACTATATGCTATGCTATTTGGATACTAAAACGGATCGAATGTACATATAACGTATGAACGCATAGCATTGGCTAGATGTGGCAAGCTTGAAAGCAAATCGATCGGCAGCGAAAATTGCTGTGGTTGCTGTTGTTCGTAGTTCATTGCGATTGAAAATAGCTGGTTTACCTGACTTAATGCCGTCGGCATAGCCTTCATCGTGTGAATATTTACCGGCAAGGGTGGAATGCCAGTGATTCCACTAGTTCCGCTCAGCAGCTTCTCCACGGACGTCTGTCCGGATCCGTACTGCATCGATTGAATGGCATGACTGCTCAGACTCGAGGATATGCCGCTGATTGAGTTGGGCACCAGGGCCGATATGGATGATAGGCCGCCCGTTCCGCCGCATCCGCCCCCGCCCCCGGCCACGCCCCCCGCTCCTGCGGCGGCAGCAGCGGCGGCCACGCTGTGCGAGCCAAGGCTGGTGCCGCTCAGGCTGGTGCTGGCCCCTCCATTGGGCAGCGTGGAGGCCAGCGAGTGCGGCAGGCTCGAATAGCCGGAGGACAGGGCCGAAATGCCGCCCCCGCCACCGCCACCTCCTAGAACGGCCCTTTTGTAACGGTTCAGTTCTTCTTCGAGTTCTGAAAGTTAAATGTGTTTAAGTTCCACCAAAGGATTAGGGGCTCCGTTGCAGTACTCACCACTCTTTGATATGGTTCTAAATTCGCTATTTACCGTGCTCAACATGGAACTGGGCGGAACTGACATGCTGGCACTGGCTGAGGTGCGAGGCTGTTCCAGCTCGGCCAGCACGCGATTATCCTGTAACAAAATGGGGTAACAAATGCTTTAGTTTACATAGAAATTAAGATAATATAATATTATTTTTTATAAAGATTGCTGATAATGAGTTACTTCGTATTTAGGCCTTCATTAGAAATAGTAATGACATATATATATCAGATAAGTATTTAGCATTACGACATGTGACAACCCTAAATGTTACAATATCTAAAATTAATTTTAGTAGGCTCTTCCTCAGTAGCGGTTGGTTCTTTCCTAAACCGGCCTTGACAAGTCCAAAGGAATAGATTTTTAATCGAAAAAGAAATTCCAAATTCATCGTTAGCGATCCAAACATCCCGATCGGCTTGTGAGGATGGACGGTCTTAAGATCCCTGGACCTGGGGGCACACTAGTCAAGAAGGCCAAGGACATGGCCGACTATTTGGGCAAACTGGAGATCAGGAGCGATGAGCTGCTGATCGACGCCGAGAAGGTGGACCAGGATCTGGCCAACTGTCGCAAGTTCCGCGAGGAGCAGCTGATGAAGCATCTGGCAATGAACAACAACGACGAGGAACAGATGCAGATGCTTCGCGACAATGTGGAGCTTAAAGAGACCGCCGACGAGTTCCACCACGGCATCGAGCTGATCATGGACAAGTACCGGCGCCACTGTGAGGGCGACATGTTCATCGATAGCTACCAGCTGAGGGAGCGCTACATGGCCGGCCTGGCGCAGGTGGTCAAGGAGCAGGACGCCCGGATCGAGCACATGGTGGAGGTGATGAAGGTCACCGCCGAGCTGGAGGATCGCACCAGTGACGAGAACCAGGGCATAATCCGTCAGTTAATCGGCGAAAATGAACAGATGCGCCGACAACTGCAGATCAGCAGCGCCGACCAGCTTTTCCACCAGGGATCCCTCGGCTCCAGCGAGAGCAGCACCCAGTTCGAGCCGAGCGACTCCACAGATCCAGACGCCTCCATGACGAATAGCATCAGCAGTCTGGAGAGCTTTCTATCCTGCCTCTCGCCGGGCAACATGAACGATGCCGATTGCTCCTCAACCAGCTCGCTGGTCAGTCAGTTTGAGGTCAGCCGCTTCATCGAGGAAGCTCTGGCCGAAAATCCCACGGATCTGGCGCCCATTCAGGCGGAATAGGCATATCACCGCAAATATTCAAACTTTACACATATTGCCCCATTAAATATTGCCTTTTTGCGATGGTTTAACTAGACTTGATGTTGGGCCTTCAACTGCCAAATAAATTATAGTTCGGGATGGGAATTTGCTGTTACTTTAGATAGCGACAGTCAGCGAATTCCCCAACCGAAATATAATTTATTCGAAGCCACACTTTCTGTATACTGTTTCCTGCCAATTACTTGTTGCTGTTTCTAAACAACATTATCACTTTCATAAATATCTAAATAACATTTTATACTGATTGTTTCTATAGTCTTTGTGGCTTGAGAAAAAAAACTGATTTGATAGATAACTTGGAGGCTGTATAAGAGGAAAACCAAAGAATTTACTACTATGTTTGTACCTGCTCAATCTTGGCCATTATGATATCAATCTCGGAGCCTTGGTCCTGGTGACTGATTGTCGGTGCCCAAGTGACGGTGGAGCTACTAGCCGATGTAGGAATGGTTGCGCCGGCTCCGGACGACATACTGCCCATTCCGGAGCAGACCGAGCGGGATGCCTGCTTGGCCTTCAGGGCCGAGGTCAGTTCGATTTGCAGCTCCTCGCAGCGCACATTTTCCAGCGCAACCTAGTGGCAAATGGATTAGTGGCATTAAGATATATTTCATTTGGATTATATAGTCACCTTCTTTTCCAGTTCCCGGGCTCTCGACTGCAAGTTCTCCACCGCTTCGGCGTCGGGACGTGCGCTTCCGCTTAGATTGCGTATTTGTGCCAGGGTTTCCTATGTGGAAAATATAACATTTTCAAAATATAATTAGATCCGTTGAAGTATTCATTGAAAATATAATTTACAAAAGAATACAAAGCTAATACAAAGCTAATTACAATATTTAAAATCATATTTTTTGAAGCACTTTAATAACAGCTAGTGCTATAAAATTACGTTTAAAATGGCCGCTCTATTTTTTTGCTATATTTATTTATTGAATCTTAAATGGATATTTAAATCATGGAAATAGCATGTGCTCGTTAGGCATTTATCCATCAGACTGAAAGATCTTTTGGTTAAATTTTTTGAGTTGTACGATCGATTTGATTGTACATATAAACAGTAAATGTTTTCTGTTTGGATAGCAATTAGAAGCTTAATAAGGACACTCACCTGATGCGCCCGCTCGATCTCCGTGCGCCGCATCTCCGCATCGCGCAGCTGGAGGCTGAGGGCGTCCAGCATTCCGTTGGGGGCGGTGCCAGCGGCCACGGCAGCGGCCGCCGACTGATGGTGGTGCATCGACTCGTACGGCATGCTGTGGCTGCCCCTCGGACGACTGCAATGGGAACGATAATCGCTCATCAGAATGGGGCCGGGCCAGTAAATCTGCAGCAAGCCGAATGGCCGAACTGCCGCTGAGACAGGACTACACTTGGCTCCTATAAATAGTTGCTGTTTTTATTATCCTTCACTTGGCACTCTTGCTTATTTATTCATGGGGCCTGGCGAGTGTGGAAATAGGTCAGCTGCCTGGCTTTTGTCCACGAGCGGCACGCACGTGTCCTTCTGGTGTGTGGCGAACTTTGAACTTTGGGTTAATTGCCTGCCTGACCGTATTTATTGTTCACGCACAGCCTACAAAGGCTGAGATTGGGCAGGCTGCTCATTTGAATGCTTATCTCCACCCGGCAGCTGTGCAATCTCTCAATTTGCATTGTCGCAATGCCAACAGATGAATTTATGCAATCGGTGTAATTAGTCAGCACAATAATTAAAATTATTTGTTATCTATTTCGCTTTTAATGATGAAATGAGAATGCTTTTCCAGTTTGCTTCCCAGCACACAGATCAACTGAGCCAGACAAAACATTACGCATACGCCACCGAAAGCATTTAAAGTCAGTTGCATTACTCATACGCCACCCTTGCCTCTGAGACAATGGAAGGCGCCAGTTTGTCTAGACGGCGGCAAGACCAGATATGGTTATCAACATCGATTCGATGGAGGAAATGCAAAAAGAAGAGGGCGAAAGGCGTTGCAAATATAGTTATTTGCGCTTTCCATAACTAAAAACTTAATTCAGCCATTTGGTGCAGGATATACTAAATTGAAATCCATTTACCGGAGCTGCGCTGCATCGATAAATTGTTGTTAATACATCAAAGCTCGCCTGCATTGGAAAGCGACCACCCACCGCCCACTGCACCTCCCACTCCTGTGGGCTGTCAATGCCACTGTTTATGGGGACCGATGGCTGGGCTGCCTGACATTTAAAAGCTATGACAGCGTTTATCCAGTGCTGATGATGATGATGCTGCCATTGCGTTGTTGTGGCTGCTGTTTGTGTTGCTGTTGCTGTTGGCTTTCCGTTTGGCATTGGTGTTGGCGGAGCCCCGCCCTAGTGGGCGGTAGCATGACAGCATCTGGCCGGAGCCGAACGGAAGTCTTTGGCATTTGCAATACGCCCCTCCGGCTCCAGGCACTGCCCACTGCAACGTTTAAATGGCGATTTCAAAAAGGCGGATGAGCACCTTGTTGCACTGATATTGGATATACACCTGCATGCTGATGAACTTCTATAATTCTGTTACAAACTTAAAGTCAAACAATCTTACAGACAAAGAGAACAGCATAGTACCGCAAAGAATTTTTAGTTGGGGTGTTCATGGAGATATAGAAAATTTCGTATAAATAATTACTGCTGTTATTGAAAACTTCAATTAACCTATTACAAAAACTTTAAGATATTGGGAGCTTTTATCTATAGAAAACTTTGCCTTGTACAAACAATTTGTACCACAAATTAAGCTTAAAAATTCCACGAAAGTAAGCATACAAACAATCTATGTAGAAATTTATTACGCACACTTTTCCCACGCAAATCGCTTAAAAGTCGCGTGAGGATGGTTAGATTTTTTTTCAGGCGCCCCACAATCACAATAATTATCTCAGTAACTGACAATCATAGCCGCTTGATGTCCTGTCATTTCACTTTGCGCTAAGCACTATACAATATACACTACACACCATAAATATTAAGTACTCACGGACACAACTGCAGTGCAGCTCGACTTGGATGTGAATGTGAGAGGGAAATGGGAAATGCGAACTGGGGAAAGCGAAAAGAAAAGCGATGGCAAAAGCACAGCCACTAGTTGCTGTTATGCACTATGCGTGTGTGTGTGTGTCTGTGTGCGTTACGACTGCAACAACAGCAACAACAAGTAGAAGCACTTTTGCCCTACTACTGTTACTGTTACTTTGCCACTGTTAATGGGTCTACTTTATTTTTTGGGTGTGCGACAGAGATATCCGTGTGTAACTGTGCGAGAGAGTAGGCTATAGAAGCTACGAGAGAGCCAGGGAGAAAATGTCCCTTCAGAGAGACGCGATGGAAGAGAGTTGGCGCATGTGCAAAGGACACGAAACGTTGGCAGAGCTGGTACTGTTAACTTTCAACTGTTAACATTAACAGTCAGTGTGGCCATGTTTGCTCTGTGTGTGTGTGGGTGTGCCTGAACTTGTGTGGGTAAGCATGTGGGCCGCAGGATTTTTTAATTATGATGAAGCGCATTGCAAGCATTTCGCAATTGAAGTAGATGTGGGCGAAAGGCCTTTGTGATGTGAGCAGTAAAAGCACACCGAAAGAAAACTCAATCAAATCTTTTAAACTTTCAAAGTTGGCTACAAAATTACAGCGCCCTTAAATAGAGTATAAAATATTTTATCTAATATTATATTTTGAGTGTAAGGAAGTACACAAATTACTAAGGATATATGTTTTTTTCTAGGTGCCTAAAAATATGAAACAAAATACAAAATATTTCATTAAATACTACTACCTCTACTAATACAGTGATTTACACTGTGGCAACATCATATAGAATATAGAAATTCATATAGAAATTCGTAATATTTTTTGCTTGTGTTGTTGCGGAATTAATCTTATTTGTTTCTGTGTACAAATGTGTGTTTTTGCTCAGTTCTTTTCTTATATATGGCGTGTCCTTTGTCCGGCAGTATCCCTAGATTGCTATCCGGCCGCTGTCATTTCCTTGTTTGTCTTTAAACACAACAGCAGCCCTATCCACTTGCGACTCCTCTCAGGTTCCCATAGCCCACCGCCGGCCAACCAGAGCTAGTGTCTGTCTGTGCCTGTCGGTGACTATTTTAAGCACCCCACCGTTTGCCGCACACTTTCGGGGCTCGAGCAGTGCTTGGCACCATTTATCTCCACACACACTCCGCACACACACACCCACACACACACCCGCATACACGCACGCACACAGCGACAGCAGCCTACGTCACAGGCGACTTGTTTGCCAGCCTCTCAAACACAGTAAAAAAATAAAGCCACCATCAATTAATTATCCTCTTAAAGGTCCATTTTGTCAAGCCATTAACATACCAAATCATCATTTTAGTCTCCATCAGCCACTAAATACTTAGGAAAATTAGAAATTCAAAGTCATCCATCGGATTAAATTTATATTACTAAAATAGGTTTAATTTTAAATTTCATACACTCCTGACTTTTTATTCTTAAGTCTATCTCAGATACATAAATACTGTATTTCAATTAGCCCGTATTTCTTTAAACTGATTTATAAACCACTTTCAGAGTATCAAAACAGAATAATGATGAACATTTAAACTGTAATTAATAGGCATGTATTTACTTTAAGTGGTAGAGGGAAATGAAGCTATCTAGTTAACAATTAAACATTTAACACAGACTCAGTGCGTGCTCCGAGCAGAAGAAGACATTGATGTCTGTCGCCGCTAAGAGGAGGCTTGAAATTTTAATGAGTCCTTAAAGTTCAGATTAGCCCGAGCCGTAGACTGCGCACCAGGCAGCCTCTCAGGAGGTCTGGAGGAATCCACCAAACCACCCGAAACTGGGTTGTGGCCTGGCGCTGCTTTACACTCTATTAACCCACATTCTGACCAAAGTCGTTGCGGCCATTGGAGTAAATTAAATGGAAAATTCCCATTCACTCGGAAATGAGGCACGTTATCTAACTAGAGGAAAGGAAAATTGGTGCCACCCCAGTATCTTAATTTTCGCACAGCGTGGCGTATGCGTAATTTCATATACAAATATCAGGCAGCAAGTGAAATATGCAAAAATTCGTAATTAAAACAATATTCGGCACTTTCCGTGGCTGAAAAGTGCAAAAATTGGAGACAAGAGAGAATGAGTTTGCACAACTTTTGTTTGCATTGAAACTACCACAAACTCATTTAAAAACTTTGTTGCACTTTTCAGTTTTACCGCGCCAACTTTGATTTACTCCAAAATTAAGTTGCCAGAGACCCGACCAAAAAAACCAAACAAACAAAAATTAAGACTGCAAAATGGCAATATCTACCTTGTATGTTGGCGGAAAAGTTTTGCGAAGAAAAGCAATTAATTAGCATCTGGCGTCGGTTGCCTTGACAAAGTCATCGAAAATGAAAAAGTTTGCAGTCCAAAGCTAATATTTACTGCATATTCTCGAGTCAAGATCGGAGAAAGTTTAAAAGCACTCTTGCCTGCGACTCAATGCCTTAATGAGTGGTCGTTCAATTAATTGAATGCTCGCACACTTGGCCCGAGTCAAGCACATAACAATTAAATGCTTCTAATTGCAGCCATTACAGCCAAGGAAGCCAAGAGCCAAGAGCCATTGCCAACAATTACATGCATAAACAGTCGCACTTAGGACCGTCAAAGTACTCGGGCCTATGACGAGTGGCAAGTTCTAAAAATAACACTGAGAACAGAAACTTTTTAAAGTCAAGCAATTACATTTAAGATGTTGGAAAAGTTCATTATCCTGCTGTTGGCATGACCTCAATCGCAGAGCCAAGGAAAAAAGCGGAACCAGAACACGAGAACAAAAACTATCTCGCCTATTTATAACAAGCTGCACACACACAGCCACCGGGACACGAATTTCATCGCTTCTGGCCCACAAATACTATAGAAAAACCATAGCACAGTTATGGGATGGGGTGGTGGTTGAACCGGGAAATAGGAAGTGGGAGGGGAGGTTTCCCCGCCAGTGGACATCTCATGGTCGCAGCTTGGCTGGTAGCCCAGCATATAAATTATTGAATGATTGCCATATGTCAAAATTGGCCAATTTCAACGATTAATCCTTAGCAAAAAAAATTCCATTCCTCTTAGGATGATTCCTTTGAATTTAAGGTATTTTAAAGTATGATGATTCCTAGTATTTTTTCAATTGCATGACTTTCACAGTTTCCCTTTGGATAATAATTTAAAATCATCAAGTAAATAAAAATGTTTTTAAAAATCTGTCAATTATAATCCTACATTTAAAAACCGTTTGATACTAATATGCTTGTTTGTTCAACGATATTATCTCTGTTTTTAAGGATTCTAGTAACATGTGTATACAAAAGTTTAATAGTAAGATAATATGAAAACCCATATTTATAGACTTTGACTAAAATTAACATTGTCTTAAGTAATATTAACTTAAGAAACTACTAATATGAATTTGTCCCTAAGCTAATTTTGTGGATTGAAAATTGTGATATCTTAAGTCCCAATATTTATTTTTGTTACCTTAAAAGACATATATTATTGGCATGTCTTAGAGAAAGATATACAAATATGTCTCAAAAATCAGCCAATCGCTTTTTTAAGACTCCTTTATATAAAAACTAATGAATATAAAAAAAACTTTAAATATTTATAAGCTTGATTTATGGAATCAGGGCAACACGAAGATTAAATTTTCCAGAACCTTAAGAAAATATATGTATTTGTTTTTGTTTTTGTAGGCACCCTTTATTTGTATCGATCGAGTTGGGTTAAGTACCCGCACCGTTGTCCCGGCATTCAACGCGTGACTTTAGATCATTGCATCGGAAACTGAGAGTAGCGGACAATAAATATAAACAAATAGGAAGAAGAGCAGAGAATTAAACGCCAATCATGAGCAAGGGGCACGAGAGGTAGTTTACACCCACACATTCAGAAAACTCCGAACCGGAGAAGGTAACCGTATGCCCGCTCTTGGATGTTTGTGTATATGGATGTATGTAATATCCGTGTTACGCACGCAGCAGCAAACAACTTTAACACTGTTGTTGCGCAGGCTGGGTGAAAAGTGTGAAAACCGCCCCAGAGCCAAAAAGTGGGACTTTTCTTCTGCTGGAAGCTTATGAATATGAAACGCTCACAGGCACACACACACGCGCGAATGCGACACATGCTGCTCCTGCCGTTATTTCACTTGGATTGGTATTGGTGCTGCTCCAGTTTCGCTGGCCATTTACATTTACATCTACTTTACTTACTTGCCTCTCGCTCTTTTTGTTTCTCTGTGTAGGTGTGTGTGTGTGCGCGCCGTTTTATGCCCCAATGCAGTTGATTTCGCCTATTTTCTTATATCAGTTATTTTATTTATGCATTTTTGTGTAATTTCGATTTCATTCAGGCTTTTAGTTTGCCTTGGTATTAGAGCGATTACCCGCATTTGCATATTGTATATGCACCAGCATGTGGGTGACTATATGTATGTGTATGAGTATACGTGTGTGGGAGTGTAGTTTTACGTTGGTTGTTCTTTTTTTTTCCTTCCTCCATCGATATGCTTACACTTTTACTTTTCACTGGCCCACCATTTTTTCCCGGAATTATATCTTTTGGGTCTTTCACTGCACTCGCGCCGAGTTTTTCGTTGTTAGCGAGAAAATTGAATTTTCACGCAGCAGCGGTGCTGTTGGGAAAACATTTGGTGTACAGCGAAATTTTTCGTAAGCTCACTCGCTCGCATAACGGCTCTTTTTTTTAGCTTGCGCAAAAAAAAGTATTTGTCTCACGATTTTTTCACTTTTTTTTTGGATTGCGAATTTAATTTGGATTTCGGAAGCACTGGTTTTTAATTTTTCGTGGGGATTTAACGGGTTGCGAACCTTTTTTGCTGCTTGTGCTTCTGCTTCTTGCTCGCTGCTGCTGCTACTGCTGCTGCTTTTTCAGGTCGCCTCAGGTTTTCCTCTTCCACGTTTGCGCTGGGAAATTCACATAAATGCATAGAGTTTACACTAGGCTACGTAGGCTGTACATAATATCCGAAAAACACGATCGGTTGCCTATATATGCTACTGCTATATAGAAAAAACTCCGCCTAGTTGTCCACTTTCTGTGGGTAGCAGTTGGGTCTCAGTGCGAAAACCGAAAAGTGGGTCATCTCGGTCGCGCTGCTCGGCTGGTTTGTACTCTGATTTCTACCCAACTGCCAGCTCGATGCTCAGTGTGCCAGAGCGGAGTGGCCCAGTACCCAGAACCCAGTACCCAGTGGTGGCCAGTGTGCGGGGAATCGATTTTTCTGCGGAATGACACTGAAAAACGGGTAATTTTCTCGCGCTCTCGCGGTCCTTTGGGGTTGCAAGTGGCACAGTTTCCGCTCTGGCGCTGTTAGCTACGGTTTACTATTACTTTCCGCTGTTATCCAACAACAGAGCTTTTTTCTGTTAAGCCCATGTGTTGATTAAATCCAAGAGGTTTCGCAATCTTCTATTAAGGTTTCCCAAAACATGCAATGGAATTTTGCCTTTGGAAATATATGTTCTGTAATTTATTCATTATACCCTTGCAGAGGGTATTATAATTTTGGTCAAAAGTGTGCAACGCAGTGAAGGAGACATCTCCGACCCTATAAAGTATATATATTCTTGATCAGGATCACCTCCTGAGTTGATATAGCCATGTCCGTCTGTCCGTCTGTCCGTCTGTCCGTCCGTCCGTCTGTCCGTCTGTCCGTCTGTCCGTCTGTCTGTCCGTCTGTCTGTTTCTACGCGAACTAGTCTCTCAGTTTTAAAGATATCGAATTGAAACTTTGCACACACCCTTATTTCCTTTGCACGCAGTATATAAGTCGGAACGGCCGGGATCGGCCGACTATATCCTATAGCTGCCATATAACTGATTGATCGGAAATGCCATAACTCTGCTGTTTGTTAAGTTAGGAAGTTGGGACTCTCTATGGGTATTATATTTGGCCAATCAATCCGACGTACCAAATTTCATAAGGATCGGCCGACTATATCCTATAGCTGTCATATAACTGATTGATCGGAAATGCCATAACTCTGCTGTTTGTTAAGTTAGGAAGTTGGGACTCTCATGGGTATTATATTTGGCCAATCAATCCGACGTACCAAATTTCATAAGGATCGGCCGACTATATCCTATAGCTGTCATATAACTGATTGATCGAAATGCCATAACTTTAGTGTTTGTTAAGTTAGGAAGTTGGGATTTTCTATGGGTTTTATTTTTGCCCAATCAATCCGACATATCAAATTTCATAAGGATCGGCCGACTATATTCTATAGCTGCCATATAACTGATTGATCGGAAATGCCATAACTTTAGTGTTTGTTAAGTTAGGAAGTTGGGATTTTCTATGGGTTTTATTTTTGCCCAATCAATCCGACATATCAAATTTCATAAGGATCGGCCGACTATATTCTATAGCTGCCATATACATAACTGAACGATTGGAAATGCCGTAACTTTGGTGTTTTTAAAGTTAGGAAGTTGGGATTTTTTATGAGAATTAAGAACGCATCATATGAATAATTTTGGAGAATATAATTTGCAGAATATTCTGCAAGGGTATTTCAACTTCGGCTCCGCCCGAAGTTAGCTTTCCTTTCTTGTTATCTATTCAAAAAGTCCTTAACATCCCTTCCATATCTCATTGTCTTAAAAACCCTAACATCCGTTTTAAAATATCAAAAAAATAATTACTATTCATATTCACTAAGATAAAATGGCAAGATCAGATCAATTTTGACTTCACATAGACAAACCTCTCTCGCAGTTGTCAAACTGGAACCCAATTTCTAATCGAACCAGTATAGTTTAAAGAAAGGGAGGTTTAATAATTTTTTATTTAATGAAGGCGTTGAACCATGAAACGAATTAGCTAGAGATTTCGAGGGCACCAAGGAAAGAGCAAATGGTTGGGACATTAACAATAATAATAATCTTACTATATTCAATTCCTGCAAGTTTCAAGAAGTAAAATAGCTATTTTTTGATTATCAGAAACTGATATTTATCAAATTAAATACAATATATCGAAGCTTAGTTCTCCCGTAAATAATATAACAAAACGTTTTCAGTTTGGAATATAAATACATTTATTTGTCGTTTTGCTTTCGCTATGTCTACATTATGAGTTTGTTGCTTTTTTTTTGTTTTAGTGTTTGTTTTTCATGTAACATTTTTTAAATAAAATAATTTCTTTTTCCATCCTGTTGATAGTGCTGCCGGCTACTAATGTTTTTCGCTTCTGCATTTCTCAAATCGAACATATCATTAAGTAAATGATTATTATTTATAGTGTTTAAATTTCAAACTCTAACAATTAAAAACAGTTAAAAATTTAAGTGTCTTCCGTTTTTGTTTTTATTCTCCCCGTAGTACATACATTTCCTGTTTCGTTTTTTCACTAATTTTAAATTTATTCGTAGGCGCTCTCTCCTAAACAAAAACAAACTAGCCGATGTTGTTGTTAACAGAAAAAGAATGAATTATTTACAATAAATTGTAAATGATAATGAAACATTTGCACACATCTCTCGATAAATATTTGCTCACTAGTTAATTACAATGCTTAGGCCTCGCAGAATTTAGTGTCCGATTATTTGTTATACATATTTACGATGTAAATTATGCCTATTTTTAGTTACAACAGATTTTCATTTACGATCAAACATTTAACTTGGGCTGTATCGGGCGATTGGATATTTAAGTGTGTGTTCTCTTTTGGGTTTATTTGATTTGTGTGTGGTTAAATGGTTATTAAAACGTAAAATTAAAATGCCACTAAAATTTGCCATAATTAAAGGATTTAATTTTCTACTCGCATTTACTCTTAACTGTCAGCATTATTTGATTCGTTTGCCGTATTAGAAAAAGTGCACTTATGAATACTGCATTCGGTCTGAAAATAGAACAAAATAAATAGTAATTGGTTAGCCATTGGGTGGACTCCTTGATGCAAAATGGTAAACTAATGATACAATTTGTAACCGATTAGGCAAAAAGGTCAACTTTAATAGCCATCAAAGCCTAATCGAAGCAATTTGGATGTGATTTACAATTTAAACTAGGGGGGTATGTCGCTAGACCCCCGCCCAGAAAATCTCCGCCGCAAAATGGTAAACCAAACAATACCCGGAACGCCAACGGCATGACATCATCCATACGCTTGGCCCGAAACGATAAGAAACCAGATATGAGCCGATTAAAGAAACCGGCTATCTTGGCTTCGACGCGTATCGTGTGATAACACCCATGTAAATAGTAAGAATGTAGCCGCAACTGGTTGAAACTTACTGTCCTTCCTTGAAGTACTCTTTTAGCGTTGTGCTGAACTTCTTGGAATATTTGACAAACTCCTTCTTGCGCTGCTCCACTGCCTGCTTGCCCGTAACGCCCGGTATGAACGATCCGATTTCGTTGACCACATCGAGCAGTTTCTTTATGGCGCTGGCGATTTCCCTGTGAAGTTAAACGAAATTTAATTAATCAGGCATTAAGTATTTAAGAACTTTTGTAACTCAAAGCTGTATGTATTTATCATCTTCATAGTAAGCTAAAAGTATGTATTAACCTTTAAAATTCAATACAGTTTAAAAGATAAATTTAGCTTGGTTCTTCTACTCTTTGATTAAATTTGATAAATTTAGCTTTGTTCTTCTACTCTTTGATTAAATTTGATAAAACTTCTTAAACCCATAGTGCTTTATCTAACTTTACGTTATGTTAGTATGTCCTTACTTGATGGTCTCCAGGAAAGTCTTCCTGTCGTTTATCTCGTCGGGTATGCGGCTGAGAATAACCTTGAGTGCCACGGACTTTCGGTTTAGCTCCTGGAAGGGCTCCTCCGTGCGCGTCAAGCGGTATTCATTGACTATGAAAGGGGGGAATAGAGAGTTGGTGTTGTTTGCGGGAAACTGAAACTCAGGTGTTGGCGTGGCTACTTACGGTCCGCTTCCGTGATGTTGCCCTGCAATCGGAGCACGGCCTCGTTTAGGTTTACGTTCAGATCGGCCCGTCGCACAATGGTGGCCACGAGGTCATAGCAGAAGCCCGGATTATTCTGCTCCGACTTGAGAATGGCGGAGCGCAGAGATTGGGCAGCGCCAACGTCGCGTCGCTCCAGCTGCAAGTAAATGGGTAAAGTGATTACAAGCGCGAGTACCTAGGGCAAGGGTTTACGCAACAGACCCGAATCTGGCGGGGCTGAAGGGTTCGGTTTAGACTCGGATTCCGTTTCACCTACCTGGGAGAAAATGGGCCGCAGTATGACGGGCAGAACGAGAGACGTGGTTGGCTCGCCCATTGTCATTTCTAGGTAACTCCAAGTGCGCTTGGTCTTCTACTGCTGCCTATGTGTCTTGGCGCATGCTGCAGGATTCCGGTTCCGATTCCACTTCCGTGCGATGTCCGTTGCTCCGCTCGCACGACCCTCGCAAATCAAATTAAAAAATTAACAAAAATTGTTCACAACAAAATGAGCACAGTGTTTTTTTCGTGTTGTCGAATTACTGAACACTGGAAATGAACTGGTTTGTCATCAAATTGTATATCGTTATGGGACAGCTTCGATTGTAACTGGTGATGGCCCGGGTGGAATCAGCTGATTGCTATCGGCTTAGGTCCACCATCAGCTGAAGTAGTTTAGATTTGTTTATATTTGAAACTTATCCTTTTTATCAGTGATAATCAAAATGTCAGGCCATATCGGCGATATCAAGCTGGAGGTGTGCGTGGACTCCATACAATCAGCTTTTGCCGCCGAGGCTGGCGGAGCATTCCGGATTGAGCTGTGCTCGGCCTTGGGCGAAGGCGGCTTGACACCCACTGTTGGCACTCTGAAAACCCTGAAGGAAACCCTTACACTCCCCATTTTCTGCATGCTACGACCGCGTCGAGGCACCGACTTTGTCTACAGCGACGAGGAGATGTCCGCCGTGATTGCGGACATGGATTTGTTGCGGGAAAACGGCGCCGATGGATTCGTTTGGGGATCCCTGAATCTGGATCGCAGCATCAATGTGGAGCAGTGCCGACAGGTGATGCTGGGGTCGGGTGGCCTACCGGTTACCTTTCACCGTGCCTTTGATCTCACCGACCAGAAGCGAATGGACGAGAACGTCCAGCTCCTGCGGGAACTGGGCTTTAAACGACTGCTGAGCAGTGGATTCCGTCCCACGGCAGCCGATGGTGTCGATTGCTTGGCGCAGCTGATAGCCAAGCACCACAGGGACTTTGTTGTGATGCCCGGGGCCGGCATCAAGGTGTCTAACCTGGAGGAGATTCTAACGGTCAGCCGCTGCCTGGAGTTCCACGCCTCCGCCATGGACACGGCCAGCGAGGACTATGTTGCGCCCACCACCACTCGCATGGAGTGCGACGTGACCATGGGCAAACAGGACGTGGACCCATACTATGGAACCAATGCAAACGTGGTGCGAAAAATGGTCACCATTGCAAATGCCATGAGCTGCCGCTGAAGATCATTCGTAGTTCTTAGCCTTATCCTAAGCCCTAATTTTATTTCTTGACTATAAACTTCGGTATCGCCTATATAATTTGTAAATAGCTTATATCTCTCCCTACTACTTAAGTAGTCGTACCCCTAAAATTCTAAATCCTAAAAATAATCAAATAATCATGCACTCTAACGGCATGATTGTGGAAACAATAGAGAACCCATCTACTCTAAAGCTTCATTCCTTTGATCAACACTTGGACAATGCGGAAAATATATTGCACAGAATAGAAACTTACAGACTTAAGCTGAATGACCATATTTATGGCATGAAGAAACTGGTGGCCACCAACCGAAGTTTAATTGCACGGTTGCAGGACAACGAGCTAAAAATGAAGGCGCTTCTGGAAGATAAAGCCCAAGATAAGCAAATGGGGTAAGGAAATTATGATTTGATGAAATCATGAAATGAATTCCAATTTAGCTTAATTCTATTCCAAGTCAAAAAAATCGCTCTAGTGGAAGGAGGTGTCATTTACGTAGGACCTGCAAGGTGACCAACATCAGAGAGATATGTTGGACGCAATGCAAGTCGCACATCTTTCCACAAATGAATGAAAAAAACCAGGACTTGGTGAAATTGCACAGGAAAAGGAGTAGTTTGCTTAGCTTACTCAGGAAAGACTTGGATCGGCAGAAAGGTGGTCAGGAGCTTAAAAAGACGATGAAGCTGTATCCCGATCCGGATAAACACCAGGAGATTGTTTTTAAAGGTATAAATTTGCTTATTGCAGTGGCAGAGATCGCTAATTTAGTTTATTTTCCAGTAAAATGTATTTTAAGGCTGGTTGAAAGGCTGGACCTGAAAATAGCGTCAAATTCAGATGTAAAAACAGTTTGCAGACAAGTGCTGAGTGCGATGTGCGAGCGTCAAAGGCCCTGTAGTGAGCATAAAATAGTTAGGTCCCATCTGACCTCTATCCCCGAAAATCCCTATTTATCTCTTTCTGAATAAAATAATATAACTAAATTTATATTGAATTCAATTTTTAATCTTTAATCTAAAGTCAATCGATTAGAGTGTAAAAAATGTTATGTATTTATTACAAAAAATCAACATTTTAAAAATCTTTGACAACAAAACTTTCACTAGATTTTAAAAAATATTTAAATAAACGTTGCCTAAAAGTTAAAATTATTTTTCAAATAAGTGCTAAAGAAGCATATCGATAAGAATCGAGGTGCAAACATTTGTAGCATACGTTATGGGGCGTACCGCGCAGGCGCAAGTAAAAATTGATTGACTCGAGCTGTGTGTTTGGCCAAATGAAGTCCTTGGAGTCCGAGAAATTGTGATACAGCTGGTTCCGGACAGCCCCCAATTTCCATTCACTGTCAATGTCAACAACGAAAGCTCGACGTACGGAAAACCAACTGAACCATTTGTCATGGACTTTGACGAGGAGTCAATTCATCATGGATTCGGTCAGCATATGGCCGCGTACAATATGGAGGTGAGTCTGCACCACCCTCAAGCTAGCTAAGTAACTTGTCTGACCCACCCTTGCAGACCTCGGCGGTGCACAGGAAGCTGCAGAGCAAGGTGGAGGCTCTGAGGATTCTGCGCCAGGAGCTGGAGCAGTTCCGCGTGGAACGGGACCAGTACAAGCTGGTGGCGGAGACCCTGCAGCTGCGTTACTCGGCGCTCAAGAGTAATAGTGAACTTCTGGCCGTCGGTGGATGTGGAGCACTCAGTGAGAACTCCAGCCTGGCTGCCCTGCTCCACGAGACGCGGGAGCAGAACCTCAAGCTCAGTACCGAGGTGGAGGCATTGAGGCAGAGGCTCAACGAACTCCAGGGCGACATGGAACTTATCCGTGAGACGGAGGCCAGCAACAAATCTCGCGTACAGGCGATGACCAGCGAGAATGCCGCCTGCAACAAGGATGAGCTGCAGTGGCGACGGGAGCGGGCCAATTTCATTTGCCATTTGGAGGGACTTAAGAAGCGGAATGCCCAGCTCGCCTTCGATCTAAAGGCGGTCATCGATGAGAAGGAGGAGCTGATCACCGAGAGGGATGCCTACAAGTGCAAGGCACATCGCCTCAATCACGAGCTATTTGTGGCCCTCAGGGCCAAGAAAACGCACCCGAGAGTGAGTATAAAGGGTTTGAAAAATGGTACTTATTACAATTTGGTTAATCCTTAGCTTTTGGACATCGATGGTGTGTTGCTAGAGAACAAGTACCTGCATGAACGTGTTAAGATCCAAGATAGCGAACTGGAACTGACCAAACAGAGCATTACGAAGTACAAGGTACTATCTTGCGGCACACTTCATAATCAATGAATGATTTATTTCACAAAATAGATTACAATCCTAATTAAAGTACAAATTTAAGACACAATTTCCTTCTATAAAAAACTAAAAAAAGTTCATCCGATGTGTTTACTAATGTTCACTATTTTTACCGTACCAGGCCATGTTAGATCCGAAACGAAAAAAGGGGATTGTTAAACTTGGAGGTGGCGGCACAAATGAAGACACCATACTTAGCCCCCGACAAGGTGAGTATTTATAAAAGTGCCAGACTATTTCCCCTTAAATAATGTCTACTCCACTTAGTTAAATCAATCCTGGAAAGTGGTATCGATCTGCCCCAAAAAACAGAGAGCTTAAGCGACCTAAAATCTTTATGTCTGGCTTTGCTGGACAACCTGAACGACAAGAACTTGGCACTCTCACATCAGAAGAAGACTAACAAGTAACATTATAGGGAACAAGTATAGAATTTTAAGTTTATATTATACATACTATAAATCTCACAGAATACTGGCTGGCAAGATGACCGAGCTAGAGCAGAGATGGCAGCAGCTCCTTTCGGAAAACGAGGAGAACACAGGGGGTCAGGAGGAGGACGAGGACTACGGCTATGCACCCTCCCAGCTGCTTCTCAATGGCTATTGCGCCGCCATGGTAGATGATGCCGACATCAGCAGCACTCCGTCCATTGCTCCAGATAACGAAGGTGTCGTCATTACACCGGATCCTGGAGATTCTGAGAAGCACAAGTCAGCCGAAGTCCTGCACTCGGACGATGGAATGTCGTCGCTTTCGACCGAGTCTGTGGATTCGTCTGTGTATGGGGTGGATGTCCAGCCAGATGACTTCCAGAAGTCTTCGTCCGCCACAACAGATTCGGGAAACTGCGGTCTCAGCAGTCGCTGCACCGGCACACCGCGCATTTCCAGCGCCGTGGCCCGAGAACGGATGGAGGATCTGAAGGATTTGCCCCCTCACCTGGCAACTCTGGTCCATAAGGCACTCCACGAACTGGACATGCGGGACTACGAGGCTATGGTGACGATACGGGCCGAGAATCTGGCTGCTATTCCTTAGAAAAATACTAGTTCAATTGAGGACTCCCAAAGAAATAGATGGAATCATATCGCAGTGTTGACAAAAGATATAAAATATGTATATTATCGCAACAGCGTACAATAAAAACAGGTTATATGACAGGATAAATTATTTTTTTGTTTGTGTCATATGACATAATCTTTGCGTTTTTTGAGCTTTCCAATTAAGGGTGCTTCCAATAAATTATAAATAATATGCAGAATTAAAGCTACAATGTTAACAAACAAAAGAGTAAGATGAGATGATTAAATTTAGCGCCCAATAAATTTTTGTTATCGATTAAGGATTTTTGAGAGTGTTGTATACCGTTAGCACAAGCACACTCCCACGCCTTTTCCAACACCTGTCTGGGTATACATTTTCTGATAAGGATGCAATAAACATCGCGACTAGAGCAATTTCAAGTTAATGAATTAAAAATGCCTTAAGAAACGTCTAGGAAGTGCCATGTAGAGTTAACTCAGTGCCATAGAGAGTGGGAATGGAGCACCAATCAAAAGTCATCACCAAGCAGGCCACACAAGGCCGATTCTAGTTGGGACGCATTGCAGCCGCCCTTTGTCCGAAATGTCCAATGATGTCCAGGTGGCCCGAGTGGCCAAGATATCCACCGATGTGCCGCGCCGTAGTGGGAAGCAGCGGGACTCCAACGGATTCCAGGGCAAGCACTCAGGCAGCGGAGCTGGCGAGGATTTTGAGTACGTCTTTGGGAGCATTTCCCCGCGGGGTGGCGGTCCAAATGGGAGACATCTGGTCGGATCCTCTGACCTGGACTCCCCGGAGCATACGCAGCGGGACACAACTGAAAGCGACAACAACATCTCTAGCTGCTCCACGCTAGACATTGTCAACAAAGTGAGTGATTGTCCGCACACCGAGAGAAATAACTCTATATAAAAATAACTCTTCTTAAAATACAAAATCAAAATTGAATGGCGGGAAAAATTCAACTGCAAGTATGTTTTTGTAACGCCTAGTATCAAAAACTAAACTTTTAATTATTAATACTATTTAAGATTCTACGTGCCTTTCCACAGAGAAATTTAAATTTGTTAACATTTTAATATAAAATTATGTATGTACATATGGTGCATTATAGTGCAATAAATTTGAAACTTAAAAATTAGTATTTAACGTTTTGGCGTTAAGCAGTGTCCTTAAAGTAAGTTTTAATTTGATTTTACTTTATAACTTTTTTCTTAAAATGCCCAATAATTTATTTAAAAGGGTAAATTTAAAAGAGTAAAGATTACAATTACTATTAATTTATTTAATTAAAATCAAACTAATTTATCAAGGCAAAAGCTTTTTGCAACTATGACAGAATTATTAATCTAATAACATAGCGCAGAAATCTGTATAATTTTATTATTATTTCCTGTTTGGAAATACCAATTAGAAGTACTGATTTTTGAAGTGTTGCGTGTTTGGGGGGTTTTGAATTCGGGTGACGTCCAGTGCGCAGCTGCGTGTCGAAGGCTGAGGGTCAAGCTGCAGCGGCGAAGAGCGCGGATGCACCAACGGTCGGATGACGACGTAATCGCCAGTAGAAATTTTCCACTGGACCATGATTTCGGAGCAACTGCTTCCGCGCAGCCTGAGCTGCCTATGCTGCAGCGACACTCCCTCGGTGCCCACCGACAAGCGACGCAGCTGGGAGTACACGCTGATGGCTCATCCGCTGGCCAGACGACCCATAAACGTGATGTCCCCAAGGCTAGCCATCTAGAAACTTCTAATTCGCCTGTTTCCTTCTGATTCTCCCCCAGGTTGAGCAACTGTCGGTGCAGCAGCTGGAGAACCGGGTGCGGGAACTAACCCAACGACTGCAGCAGGCGGAAAGGCAACTCACGGAGAGCAACACTGAGCGGGAGATATGCCAGAAGCGGCTGGAAGTGGTTAGTCAGGCACACGAATGCCGCATCACAGAGATGCACTGCGTCATTGCGGAGTTAAGCAAGAAACTGCGCAGCAAACAGGAACAAATTATTTTGGAGGAACAGGAGCCCGAAGGCAGTGGTGAGTAGAGGTCCTCAAAAATGCTTAAGTCTCAATCCCACTTTCAGAATTAAGCTATCAGGAGGGTTCTGTGTACAACTCCGAGCTTAACCTCACCAATCCCGATGCCGAGTGCCAGACGGAACCACTGGAGGATCAGGAGGGCGCCTACAGTACCACCAGCGTGGGCAACATTGGCCACAAGCCCCAGGAATTCAGTCATAAGGGACAAGTAGAGGCACTGCAGGAGGAAGTGCTGCACCTGAGAGCTCAGATTGCCCTGCTCCAGTCCGAAATTTCCACAAAGGATGCTGCCGTGGTGGAGGAGCAGACCAAGGTGTCCTTTTTTGGCTGCGAATCAGAGGTCAACGAGTGTGCCCAGCGTCTGAATGATTTGAATGGTAGGTACTCCGATCCTACCCAATCCCAGCATCATAATAAAATCATATATAAAATTTACCTTTTCCAGCTTGTGTTTCCTTAACCAGCCCGCAGAAACGAGTTCCCGCCGTGCCGAAAATGGCGGAACGGGTTAAGTTGCGATGCGCCAGTAAACATGAATCTAGTAAAGATCCATCTCCCGAGCAGCACACTTCGTTAAGCAACGAGGTTAGTTTACCATTCATCTTAACGATAACCCATTAAAATCGTATCCCTTTAAAGCACATCAACCTAGTGGAGCATTTGGTGTGTGAGCTGAAGGAGCAGAACCTGTTCATGGAAAGCTTCATGGAGCCCCTGCAACTGAGTAAGGAATTGGAGCGATTGCAGCGTCGAGTGGATCACTTGGAGATGCGCAACACCATGTTGGCATTGACTCTGGACGAGTGCAAAGAGCACACAGAGCACCTGTATCTGCTATGCGGCAAATACGAGTCTAATGCGGTTGCCTTGCAGTTGGCGCTAAACTGTAGCGATCGCGCCATCGAAGCCTACGACGTAATGCTAGCTCTGTTGGAAAGCAAGTAAGTCCAGCTAAGATTCTCCTTACTCTGAGTCCCATTTTCTATATAAGATCCCTTTTAGGTTGGCTCTCCTGGGCGAGAAATCAGCAGCGGCGGAGGAGAGCCGCCGATCAGTGGAGGCGGTGGCCAGGCATCTGCTCGCTCGTCTGGACAGCGAGAAAAACGTGTGTGAGAATAGTTTGGGACCGTGGCAGCACAACATCAACCTCGGCCCGGAGGATGCCCCCAAAATTGGACGTTCCTGGTGTTCCGACGACGATAATCGCCTGCGCTACCACGTTTCCAAGTTGAAGGGTCGCCGCTCAAGCGTCCAGCACACCATCGTCAGTCTAGAATCCCCATTTAGCGACATATACGAAAAGAAGCGTCTGGCATTGGAAAAGGAGCACGAGCTGCGCGACGAGGACAAGAAGTCACCCATCGATTTAGAAACGGCCGTTATCATGCAGGAACTTATGGAACTGCGGGATTCCAATCTTCAGTTGAAAAGTAAAATGGAAGAGGCCGAGCAGGAGCGGCAGAATGCCAACGAACGCGTAGGTATACTCCACGAAGCCCTAAAACAGCTGCAGGCCAGCAACCGGGTCTCCTATTCGGAAGCGGAGCACGCGGCCCTCACGGAGCAGCAGTTGGTGGAGGCATTGACGCGGGAAACGGAGCTAAAGAGTCGCATCCAGACGCTATTGTCCAATGTCACCGCCTCGCAGAAGGCCTCCGACGAGAAGTACGAGCAACTTCATCTAAATGTGCGCGAACTGCAGAAATCCAACCAGTAAGCTTTTCTTCTATCCGACTTTTCCTTAAAAACTAAATTTATAATAAATGATTTATCTTATTCAGCAATCTGGGTCAAATGTTGGAGCACAACAAGCGCAAGTACCAACTGCGCGTAAGGAAACTGGAGCAGAAGATCGTTGATCTGCGGTTGGACCACGAACAAAGCCGTAATCATGTTCCCGAAACGACTCTATAGGAATAAGGACGTGCATGACGGACTACCAGGAGGACTGATCACCTGGGTGTGGTGCGGGCGCGCTTGTCACATATCCCGCAAAATATCTTTTTCCCTCTTAATCGTATCGCTTCTTTTACCTTCAACGCAATGCCCATCGAAATCGAAGCACCCGCCCAGCCGTCTTTCCTGGAGCCGACATGACCAAGACAGTATCACGAATGTGCCATGCGAATAATTTGCAGCCAGCTGGGACTAGGACAATGTTCTTAATCCGCGGATCAGGCTGCATAGACTACATACTCAAATACATACATATTCAGAGGTGCCATGAGCAAGGCTCCAACCTATCCAGATATCCGTGGGATTGGAGCATCCGTCTCTGGACCACAAGCAATTACATATACACATACTACTAGGCAAACTAAGGAGTTACTCACGACGCATACACGGGATCCTATATTTATATAATGTATTCGCATTTTGCTTGTTATATGAATTCAATATGTATTTAAAATTGTACAAATTATAACATGACTACTGAAACAATGGCCTCAGTGAAGTTCTTATTATAAACATTTGTTTGGTTTGAATTATTCAACGGCGCAAATAAATTACCGATATGTAACCGAAAATTTATCAAAGTCTATCGGGACTGGTAGCTCATCCCTATATCGCGGTAAAGTGTTGCAAATTACAAAAATAAATTTACTTCTTGTGAAATGCAAGTGTTTTAAAAATTCAAGTGAAGAAACTTTTTTAAAATGAGTGCAATGGACGAAAAAGAAATTGTGGCAATTAATGCAGAAAGTGGGAGTAAAAGAAAGTCCCCCGAAGAAACCTCCGGCAGAGGCGATGAAAATTCTGAGGCTGAAAACAGCCCAAACAAGCGCATAAAATCGGGCGATCCTGTGGTCCTTACTATAAGCGAATCAAATCCTAATAGTCTTGTAAAAATTAAAACAGAGCCAGCTGATGAGGTTGCAGGGGATGAGGCTGATCCGTCTGCCGAAACATCCAGCAGTGATACAGCGGTTCAGGTAAAAGCAGAACCAACAGATAATGGAAACTCACCTGCAGCGGCGATGGTAAAAACCGAACCCACCAATTCCGACTCCAATGGACAAGCAACAACCGATTCCTCTGTATCCTCGAGCAGCACTAGAACTTCTTGTCGGTTTGGAATCCGTTGCTACAGGTAACACAAAATGGGCCATTTCCATATCTTTAATTAAATCAATTTCGTTTACAAATGCCAGACGAAATCCTGCTCATCGGAGTGCTGAAGCTCATCCGGGAGACCTGGACTATCGCCGCCCCGACTTCCCGGAGCCACCGCTCGGAACTCCCGCTTGTCCCTACGGTAACGCCTGCTATCGACGCAATCCAGTTCATTTTCAGGAGCACGCCCATCCGTCGGATTGTAAGTAGGACGCTTCAATTGCTCTGGCTTCAAGATGGCTAAAAGTGACTCTAGTCAATTCCGCCCATAATATCCGCAATCGTCTGCGGCAACGACGAGCCCAACGGCAGAATGACGACGACTCTGGGACAGATGAGGACGAGGATCCCTTCGGAGGCGATAATGACAACGATGCGGACTATCGCCCAGGCGCGGATATAGACGAAGATGAGGATGATGAACTGGAGTTTGAAAGCCAGCGCATAAATAGCGATGATTACGATTAGACTACACATTCACGTTCATTGTTAACCTGGACCGAACGTTCCATTTACCAAATAATTGGTTTAATATATATATTCGTTTGTTGTGAACTTATGCCTATGAAGTTTGCTTAGTAGAAGCCCTCATCCACATCTTCAGCTGGTTTTTGGTCAAAGGTGGCACCCCATTTGGCAGCCTCACCGCCGCGTACTTTCACATTGTAGCAGACATTCTCGGCCTTGAGGACGCTCTGCCTCATAGTGGTGATCTTGCGCCATAGTTCCCGGGCTCTCTGGCAATTCAGACTGATGTAACTGAAAAGGAATGGAAATTAGCTCTGAATATATTATGGGAACTATTTTATTTACCCAGTGTAAAAGTGCTGCAAGGTCTTGCAGGTCTCCAAACAGGTGTCAGTATCCCCGCTGCCCAGTGAATTGACGCAGCGACGCATCAGTTCTCCAGTAAGATCAGACAGTCCCAGAATATACTCAGTAGGGTCCACGAAGAACTGAAACTTCTTGGGGATTTCCTCCTCGGCAAGAGCCACCACCTCCAATTCTTCGCCATCCGTTGGTTCCTCCTTAGGCTTGCTGCTCTCCTCGACGTACTGCATCACCGCCTGGATGGCCTGCCAGTCGGAAACGCTTTTGGTTCCATTCTCGCCTTCCCCGTCCTCGTAGCACAGGTACTCCATATAGGTGTATGCTTCGATGAATTCCTGCAAGCCAGGTGAGTACGCGGCTCGGAACTGGTAGACATCCTGGTCGCGCAGCTCCAGGGCCACGGCCCTAAAGTTCACCTCGATCAACTTGGTCAGCCGCTGACGCGCCTCCTCCAAAACCTTCTCCTTGTTCTGCTTACGCGAATCGATTGAGTGCAGCAGGAAGATGATCCGCTTAGACTCTATGGTGATGTCGCGACTCAGCTTGACGATCCGTTCGTGGCGATCATGTTTCATGGTCAGTTCATTGGAGTAGTTGCGAAAAGCCTGGACAATTGGGATTTTCTCCATCCAGTTGCACCGCTGGCGTTTGGCGTTTCCTGGGAGCATTGTTCCGGTGACCAGCACTTCCGTTCTTCGGCATAACAAGAGGTTTACTTGATTTTTCGAACACGACTACTTAATTACGATTAAATGGCTAGTAAGTTCAGTTTTTTCGCGTAAGTTTTTTTTGTAAACAATTTGTTTGTCGGCTTTCTATAGTGTTAGTAAACACTTTTGACCTCGCAGTGTTGGCAACGCTTACGGCCGGCTAACATTTAACAGCACTGCGTTTTGTGTTTATTCACTTTCGTGGCAAAATTGGTTATAATTAATAAAATAGGATTTCAGACAAAAGCAATGCATGATCCCGTTAAGAAGTCGGCACATCTGACGGCCGGCTCGACCAGCACGGCGGAAAAGTTGTGCTTCGACAAGAATGAGTTTATGAAGGTGAGCAATCCTGTCTAGATTTGTGTTTCCCGTGCTAATATTTCCAAACAGGCCAACTTTTCGGTAGACGAGTTCCTGCACAAGAACCGCAATGCGCCTAGTCTGGAGCAGCTGCGCGACAACCTGGGACTTTACTTAAAAGGCTTAAGGGCGGCGATGATCGATTTAATCAACGAGGATTACGCGGACTTTGTAAATCTTAGTGCGAACCTGGTGGGCCTGGATCAGTCTATAGAGACCATTCAGAGGCCGCTGGAGCAATTCCGCAGCGACATCGAGAGCATCCACGGCCTGATCGACGAGAACGTGACCGAACTGCGGGCCCAATTAGAAGAGAAGCGACAGCTACGCGAATTTAAGGGTGGTCTGCAGAGCCTGAAGAAGGTCTACGAAACCATCAGCAAGCTCCAGGACCTAATCGACCGCAAACTTTGCGAGGACCAGCCCATTAAAGCCGTGGACCTGGAGCGGGCTGCCCTAGACTTGATTCAGTTAAAGTTCCACGAGAAGCACTGCTCCAAGCACTTGAATGCCGAACAGCAGGCCAAGATCCAGTCGCTAGAGGAGCAGCTGCATCAGCATCTGCGACGCTTCTTCAATGACGCCCTCGGCCAGACTCGCAACTCTGCACCGGAGCCGTTGGAGCGCTGCTTGCGCATCTACATAACACTGAATGCCTGTGCCCAAGCAGAACGTGTCTTTCGCGAGGATGTCGTAGCACCCTACATGACCGGCGCCATTGGGGAACAGCAGCTCCAGAACTCGCCTCAGGGCCTGGCTGGCATATACAGCAAGATCCTCAATTTTATTTCGCTGCACATGACCGACTTGCTTCGCCTCACGCTCTACTCCGACAAGTTTCCAGGCTTTAACTTCGTGGTGAACAGCTACTGGGCCGATGTGGAGGCGCGGCTTGAACTTCACATGAACTCCATTTTCGCTCCCGGCAACTCTGAGGTGTTCTATGTAAAATACAAATGCACCCGCGACTTTCTGAGTAAAATAGAGGAGCTGTTGACCAGCTCTGGAGAGCAGGCGGTGACTCTCTATCGCCAGCACAAGCAAACAAAGAGTTTCGAGGCCCGCTGGAATCTCCCAGTTTACTTCCAGATATGCTTTCAGGTATGGTACAAATTTTACAGCCATCGTTTAGTTCTTACCACTGTTTTTATTACATCCAGGAAATTGCGGGTCAATTCGAAGCCAAGTTGGAGCCTGTACTGCAGGACGACACTTTGAAAAACAATCTCGGTGCAAATGACTACAAATTAACGCCATTTAATGCTGCCAAAGAGGCCATGACGCGGTGCTGGGCTGAGGGAGTATACCTGCCTGAGGTGTTTCCCAAATTCTACAAGCTCAATGTACAGATAGTGCTCCGTCTTTCCCGTTGGATCACAGATGCCATCTCTGTGTCAAAGGGCACTAACTTTACGAGATCTTACACCCGGAACCAGTTGCTCATTGCTTTGCATGCAGATATCCGAAAACTGGACGCCTATCTGCCTGATCTTCAACAGTTGATTGTTCAATCCGTGCCCACTGAACAACGTACAATGATTTTCAATGATGTCCTGGCCAAATCTATGGTTGCCTTGGCCGACACTCTGGGAACGCATTTGACCAGCATACAACAGACCTTGGTGAAGCTGCTCATCGCAGAGTGCGAGACGGAGAACGTACGGCAGGTGAACGACTTGCCGCGTTTGTATCGCAAAACCAATCGAGAGGTTCCCTCCCGTTGCTCGGGCTACGTGGAACAAATGCTTCGGCCTCTGAAGTCATTTGCCCAGCAGCATGAATCCCAGCTGGGCACACTGGTGGTGGAACAGATTCTGTCGGAGGTTGCCAGTCAAATTACCAAAGCGTAAGTTTTAATCCGCCCATTAGGATTTGCACTAACTGTGATCTGATTCTCTTTTTAGGTACTTTAATGTGGTAAGTGATGTGCTCACTTCAGTGCAGAAAACAGAAGAGTCCTTACGCCGATTACGGAATGTAAAAAGTGGCGGATCCGCCACGGCGTCGGCAGGAAGTTCAACTGTGATGTCCGACGATGACAAGATTCGCGTCCAGCTGCGTGTGGATGTCACATCATGGAAGCAAGAGCTCGGCAAACTAAACTTCCAGGCCACGCAGATAGACAAGCTGGTCGAGCTGACCAACATGGTGGAGGACAGCATCAAGCTAAAGGACAACAGTTCTTAGACGCTAACAACGAACAGTTATTAAACATATACACTTCACTTTATTCTTGTTAAACGAATTCTAACGATTCTTTAGGCACAATTACTGATTGTATTAGGACTACGAATTGTATATAATATATATAGGCATATATGTATATCATATATAAATGCATTGAATTTCACGATCGTTATTGGTAAATACAGACGGTTGCAAGGATTTCCCTCGAAGTTAGTCGCTGTTGGAATGAAACAGAGAAGAGATTGCGGATAATTAAGCGACAGCAGTCGTCAAAATATGGCCATATAACTGTAAAAGTAAAGATAACAAATATTGCAAAAAAAAGGCAGGCAAGGAACCATGCATAACATAACTCAAGCTTGCAAAGTTATATACAAAGGTGTTCATAAGTGTGTGCATAAAAATGAGCGGCGTAACGGAAGACAAATAGGATTGGCACGCTCAAACAAAAACACAACTAGGCCTGCTACATTACAGCTTGAGTTCCTCAGTGTCCGGCAGTTTGCGGAAGAACCATTGCACATGTTCCTCGGTGACATCGGCCAGCTGGGTTGGCTGCCACTGCGGCTTCTGATCCTTGTCGATGAGAAGGGCGCGCACTCCCTCCTTAAAGTCGCTGCACTCCAGATGACGGACGGCCAGACGGTACTCCATGATGAGGCACTGAGCCAGCGACAGCTGCGAGCCGAGCTCCAGTTGGCGGAAAGTGACCTTCATCGAGGTGGGAGACATCTTAGAGAGGGTCTAAAAAAAAGACGAACAAGCGATAATTTATGTGTGCCAGTTATGCGAAATCGTGCTACATCTCAAACACCGCTAATAAGCTGGGAACAGATCAAATATTAGGCGCTAAAAGCGCGCCAAGTGTTGATTTCCCCAGCCAATTAACATCTGATTGTTTTCTTATCACTGTGAACTGCTCACCTCAAGCGTCTTTTTGGCCCATTCGCTGCCGTCATTTTGGAGGTTCTCCAAAATGCCCTCCACCGAGTCCGCCGAGAAGTTTTTGTTGATCTGTTCCAGCACGGGTTGCAGCGAAAAGGGTTTCTCTGGAGTGGAATGGAATTTCTGGAGCAGCTCTGGCACATCATCCGCATCCGGACAGTTGAGCAGCGCCGTCTCGAGTTCAGGGATCTTGCTGCTCTCACAGTAGTGCGTGGAAATGCCCGAGTAGAAGACATCCCCGCCACGCAGTCGATATCCTGTCAGTCCCAGGTAGAGTCCAAGCTTTCCCTGCAGTCGGGGAAGAAAGTAGGAGCCGCCCACGTCGGGGAACAGGCCAATAGCCGTCTCTGGCATGGCGAACAGAGTCCGATCGGTGGCCACTCGGTATTGGCCGTGCACACTCAGTCCCACGCCACCGCCCATGGTGATGCCATCGATAATGGCGATGTAGGGTATCTTGTAGTTGCCGATCAGGGCGTTCGTGCTGTATTCCTCCCGAAAGAAGCTCTTCGACTCGTCCGTGGGGCCAGCCTCGACCAGGGCACGAACATCTCCGCCGGCGCAAAAGGCCTTGTCGCCGGTGCCCTTGATGATCATCAGCGACTTGGTCTTCTCGGACTTTTTCAGGTGCTTATAGATCTTGCGCACCATCTCGAGATTGATGGCGTTCAGCGCCTTGGGACGGTTTAGGATGATCATACCCTTGTTGGACGACTCCGTGGCCAGCACGGATGAGGATTGGCGGGCAGAGTAGGCCATTGTCGGTGGTTTTGTGCTCGATATCGCTGCGATCAGCGGCAATTGGCTGCAGGTGCGATGACCGAATGTGTACACCAACCTTTGAATTGGGCTTTGCTGGCGGCAAATTGTTTTCGATTAGCTAAGCAACTTCATTTGCAGCAATTTGCATTACTTACCATTTTGAACGGCTGTCTGTGGCTGTGTGTGCTTCTTGTGTTTTGTGATTCTCTACTGTTGCGCAATAGAATTTAACCCGCACAGCTGGTTGTTCTTGTGACAGCGTTGCCAGGCTGCCCACTTGCCGGAAGTGAATTAGGGTGCTCCAGAAAACGTATTCCCCGGAAATCATTAAAAATCACTGAAGCGGTTTCAATTGTGCAGGCATTTGCGAAAATACTCAACTGACCCCTTTAAATTAATCAGAATTCATGTACTTTGAGACTTTGATTACAAATAAATGGTTCGAAGTCACCAACAGTAACCAATTCTGGGAAATGAGGTCGAGGTTTTTCGGAAGTTTATCCAACACATTTCAGTATCAATTCAAAATCACTTAATGAATTTTAATTAATTATGTAGTTTTTCAGAAAGTTTCCACAAAGTTCAAAGCGAAATTCGAAACACAGCTGACATACATACATACGGACAATAAATGCAATCGATCAGTCTGGCAACACTGCGAATGGCAATTGTACTTCTCGCGAATAAGAATAAGAAAAACAAATTTCGTATAGTTACTTTATCTTATTTTGTCAACAAATAAACGGTGAGTAAACATTTGTAATTAGCACGCAATCGTCGGTTGTCAGTTGAGCCAGGGCCAGCAAGTGGCTCGCACCGAGATTGCTATGCCGCAGTTCTTTAAATTCTCCAAGCTGCGGACAAAGCGTCGTCGCTCATCCTACACTTCCGCCTCTGTTTTAATGTCCTCTTCCACGCAGATGAACTATGACCAAGTTATTTCCAAGTTGACCGACGACAAACTAATGCTCTTCGAAGCCGCTGGCGAGGGCAACATTGTGGAGGGCAGGCGGATGTGTGGTCAGGATGCGGACCCGCTGTCCCTGCCGCTAGTCGAAGACGGCGCCGTCGAGGAGGAGCAGGTGGCCCCCATTCAGACGATCCATCGCGACACAGTGTTTGCTACTCCACGCGTCCCCTCGCCCTCACCCGTGAGCACATCAGGTGCAAATTTGAACCTCAAGTCGGAAAACGCTGCGACAGCAACACCGCAGCGCAAAATATCGACGTCATCACGTTTCATGAACGCCTTCTTCGGCGGCAGCAGCAGCGGTCCGAGCTGCGGTCACGTGGAGCAGAACAGCGAGGAGCCCGGTGACCTGGCGGCCAACCGAACGCCCACCAAGGGCATGGAGTCTAAGCTAGTGGCCATTTGGCACAATGTGAAGTACGGATGGAGCGGCAAGATGCGACAGACCAGCTTTTCCAAGGAGCAACCCGTGTGGCTTTTGGGACGGTGCTATCATCGCCGATTCACGCCGCCCGTTAGCATGGAAAGTTCCATTACCGAGCTGCCTAGCGGGGCGGATACGACGCCCGACAACGCCACATCAGCGTTCGACAGCATACAGGCTACATCGACGTCTGGCTCCTTGTATCCAGCCCTGAATCCGCTGCAGATTGACGAAATTGTGGTACCCCAGGAGCTGGGAATGGACGCAGTCGAGAACCAAGTGGGTGAACAGCCTTGGGAGGAGGGTATTGAGGGATTTAGGCGCGACTTCTACAGTAGGATTTGGATGACATACCGGAGAGAATTTCCCATAATGAATGGCTCTAATTATACTTCCGATTGTGGGTGGGGCTGTATGCTAAGGAGTGGTCAGATGCTCTTGGCCCAAGGACTCATCTGTCACTTTCTGGGACGCAGTAAGTTAATTGGGCCACCTTCAAGCTTATTGATTTTAACAAGACTTTTCTGTTTGCAGGCTGGCGCTATGATTCAGAGTCGCAGTTGCACTCCACCTACGAGGACAACATGCATAAGAAGATAGTCAAATGGTTCGGGGATAGCTCCTCGAAGAGTAGTCCCTTCTCTATACACGCCCTGGTGCGCCTGGGGGAGCATTTGGGCAAGAAGCCGGGTGATTGGTACGGTCCCGCCTCGGTCTCCTACTTGCTAAAGTGAGTGCATAATTTTATCAATGAAAGTATTGACAATCTTTATCATAATGAAAAACCTTTACGCTACCACAGGCACGCCTTGGAGCATGCAGCTCAGGAAAATGCAGACTTTGACAATATTAGCGTATATGTGGCCAAAGATTGCACGAGTGAGTACAAGCCAAAAGAATTCACTAAATCGAAGATTTACAAGAAGATAATTGCCATGACACATTGATACGCCTAATGAGTAATTGCTGCAGCCTTGTTACTGAAGCTCATTACTCATGGACTTATTTGATAATGTATTTGGTTTGATAACCGAGCTTTCGTGTTTCAGTTTATATGCAAGATATCGAGGACCAGTGCAGCATACCGGAACCAGCCCCCAAACCTAATGTGCCTTGGCAGCAAGCGAAGCGACCTCAGGCCGAAACGCCTAAGCCGGAGCAGCAGCAGCAGCACTGGAAGTCTCTCATCGTACTCATACCCTTGCGCCTGGGGAGCGACAAACTGAATCCGGTGTATGCCCATTGCCTGAAGCTGCTGCTAAGTACGGAGCACTGCCTGGGCATAATTGGCGGCAAGCCCAAGCACTCACTGTACTTTGTGGGCTTCCAGGAGGACAGGCTTATCCATTTGGATCCGCACTATTGCCAGGAGATGGTCGATGTGAACCAGGAGAACTTTTCCCTGCACTCTTTCCATTGCAAGTCTCCAAGAAAGCTAAAGACCAGCAAAATGGATCCCAGTTGTTGCATTGGATTCTACTGTGCCACAAAGAGCGATTTCGACAGCTTTATGGAGAGTGTTCAGCTGGTAACCCAAAATTCAACATCTTTCCCGTAACATTATAATTACTTTGTTAAATATTACAGTATTTGCATCCAATGCGCTGTGCCTCCGGGGCAACTGTGGAGAAGGCGGCCGGGAGCTATCAAAACACATCTCAATCAGCAACCCATCAACAGAGCGAGCAAACGGAGATGAACTATCCGCTGTTCACATTCTCTCGTGGTCGTTGCCTGGACCACGAGCGGGATGAGATGAGCGATTCGCTATACAAGCCGCTCATAAAGCAAGTGGCCGAATTGGCGCAAGAACTGGGCGCCCAATTGTCGCCGCCGCAACATGGCGACGAAAATGATCAAGATGATAGTGAAAGCGAAGAGTTCGTGCTGCTGTAGAACGTAACCGCCCCATAACCTTGTTGCTGTGTTAGCTGTGTTATTTACTCATTATTATTTGATTTAGTTCCCAACCGCCGTTGCTCGCTTGTTCGCCTAGAAAAACCCAACAGACCCGTATCTCAAACACAAAGACTTTGTTTTACCTTTACGCCTACGCATATAGTACATAGACGCATGCATGTATCTTGAATATTTACTGATGTCCACGTTAATCTCTCTTTTGTTCGACTTATAGTCTCGCATTCTGCCAAAGTGTTTCTGCTTTTTTCATGTTCCAGCAGCCCGATCTGTTTATGTGTTATATATAAACATGTGTAATTTGCGGTATTATTATTTTAAAAACATGAAACTTTAATGGAATTGAATCATTTTACAATGGTGCCACAATTGTCACTATTTTCTGAAGTATTTCATGTAGTCCTTACGTTCTAGAATTTAGTTAATTTATGTAAGTCGTCTTGTAATTGTTCGATCATTAATTAGTTTTAACATTAATTGTATATACCCTCGAGTAAACTAACAAATAAATAAATTATCCTAAACTTATACTAAAAATAAATATGTGTTTTACTGAATTGTTACTGATGGGATATGGATTTCACTTTAGCTCCAATCGTGCTGGATTAAACTGTGAATTTTTAATGTCTTTCATTAGTAAGTACATTTGTATGTTTCTGGGACTAGTGACTGAACCCACAACCTCTGTTTTTGTCCAGGATTATTTCGTATTATTGTATAAATTACAATATCGTATGTACCATCCATTATTGCTTTTTGCGTTCTAAGGCAAAAAACTTTTGCCGCGCGATTTGAAAGCTAACTCTTATCTTTGGATGACCTGCGCCTCCCGCTCCAGGCGTTTCAGAAGCTTGCTGAGATTCTCCCGCGCTGTCGTTGCCCTCGCTGCATTAATACTTATCGCCGTTCGATAAGCCTCTATGGCCTCCTGGGTTTTGTCCCACCGATGATAGAGCACCCCGAGATTCGTGTGGTAAAGCATGTTGTGGGGTTCCAGCTCAATAACACGCTTATATACCGACTCTGCCTCAATGTAGTGTTTCAGCTTGCCAAGGACATTGGCGCGAATGAACAGGATGCTGACTTCGTTGGGCAGATGCAGCAGGGCCTGATCTGAGAGGCGCAGGGCGTCGTCCTGCAGTCCTCGATTGTCCAGCATTGTGAGAATGTTGGCCCAGGCTTTCGACTCTCGGGGATTTAGCCCCACAGCGTGCCGCCAATGATGCAGAGCATCGGCGTATTTTTTCTGCTCCAGATACAGATTTCCCATATTGTAGTAACAGACGGCAAAGTTGGCCCTGTACTTTAGTGCCTTCTCATAGCTGGCCAGTGCCTCTTCAAACTTTCCCTGGGCCGATTGCACAATGCCCAGATTCATCCAGGCCGCCGGAAATTCCGGATACGCCTGCAAGGCTAGTCGAATGTAATCTTCAGCGGAGGCCAGTTGGCCATGCTCCCGGTACAGGTTGCCGAGGTTCATCAGGGCTGACTCATAACTGGGATACAGCTCAATAGCCTTGTGGTAATGCTGGAAGGCTTTCGTATTGTTTCCGGTATCAGTGGCCAGGCGGGCGATGTTGTAGTGCACCTTGGCGTTATCGGGACACACTTGTAGGGCGGATTTAAACAGCTGCTCCTCATTTAGCCAGTCGGTGGCTCGATGTCGTGTCCGCAGCATCATCACAGTGAAGAGCAACATCAGGAGGACTTGCAGGGCAGTGCGCCAAAGGGATTTAACTGTGCTGTTGTCGTAGCAGTATAGAAATCCATAGATGGACACAAGACAAAAGCCAATAGAAGGTACATAAAGCGTCCGCTCTGCGATCACGAATCCGACGCAAATGATACCCGACGCCGGTAGGAACGGTATGACCATCAAGCCCAGGGCTAGCATCATTCCAGGTAGGCGGCGGAAGTTCATCAGAGCAACCAGCACGAGGGAGTAGAATCCGATGACGCCCTGCAGTCTGAGGTCCCAGATGCTGGTTACCAGCTTGACACAACCCAATGCCCAGTCGTAGCACAGCCAGTGCGGGCACAGCATCAGCCAGATATTCATAACCAGCAGGTAATGCTGTGAAAGTCCACGCGTCAGAATGTGCTCGTTGTGGGCCACTGGGTTGTCTACTTCATTGAATGTTGGCGTCTCGAAGTCCTGCCACCAGAGGCGAGCCGTTAAAAGGCCCAAAGTGCCAATGAAGTAGACCAAGTAGCTAATCCGGGAGCGCAACAGATTCCACTGATCCTTAAGTGTCAGATGGAAGTAGCCATTCTGAAAGTAGTCCAGCAGCACACAAGACATGGGAATGGTCACGGCGGACTCCTTGAAGAGCATTCCCACGGCCGTGAGGAACATGATCAGGCCGCCAGTTTGAGGACCATATTTTCCGGTGTTGGCCACGGTCAGCAGAAGGCAGAGCAAGTGAATCATGCCGAACATCAGCTCTGCCCTGCCCACCACGCCCGAGACCGCTTCTGTGTGGATTGGATGAGCGGCAAACAGAGCAGCGGACAGGATGGCCCATCGCTCCGTGTTCACTTCCGGCACGTACAGCGATCGCACCAATCTCCACATGAGCAGAGTATTGACGCAGTGCAGCAGGAGGTTCAGGAACTTCATATGCGCGGCAGTCAAGCCCAGCAGGGCGAACTCATAGTGGAACATCAAAGTAGTTAGTGGCCGGAAGGACTTGTGCGAATCGGGACTGAGCAAAGAGGCGCCCCAGAAGTCGTGTGTGAAGATCGCCGTCCAGTTGGTGGGCAACGTGTTGACATCCCGGTTCTTAACTATGGCCACCGTGTCATCGAAGACGAACTTGGCCCCACTCAGGCCTCCACATCCGTAGCAAACCAGGCAAATTAGCACCAAGATCGCCTGGCACACCATGCTATGCAGCGCAGCTTTGTGGGTGAGGCCCAACATCCTGGGTTTTTAACTTATTGCTGCTTTGCCAATTTTAATTCACTAATTTTGCAAATTCAAAACTGCTGTGTTTTGTATACATTTTTTTGTTGTGGTTCTGGCCTAACAACCCCGCACTCGTTAGTGATGCCTACTCGCCAATGGCCATTGATAAAATGTAGATAGAAAAAAGCTAGATGAATATAGGGTTTAAGAGTAAATCATTTTACGTTTAATGTATCATTAAGCTAATTGTTGATTGGCCATAATAGTAACAAAATGCAATTTAAAGCCACTAAAAACAACCTTGGCAAAAAAAAAAAAATTGTGAATAAAAAGCCGCCAAAACTTAGCTTGACATTCGCGCGTCAACTACAGCAACAGCTGATCAGCTGCTGTTCAAAACAAATCCATGCAAATATCTTTCAAGTTACAAAGAAAATTTACTTGTCTTTAAAATGTCCGAAGAAATTCTTTTTGATTGCCTGCATGCAGAGATAGTGAACTATTGCCTAGATAGCAATAAGGTAAAAGTCCCTGGAAATTTTCAAAACATGTCCAACAACTGATTTTGCATTGGTTCCGCCTATTAGGAGCACGACCTGGCCACATTGGAGTATATAGGCTTCACCACAGGCTACCGCCTGATTGAACGCCTCACTCGCGAAGTTTCGCGCTTCAAGGACGAGCTGGAGACCATGAAGTTTATCTGCACAGACTTCTGGACACTCATCTACAAAAAGCAAGTGGACAACCTAAGGACAAACAATCACGGCATGTACGTGGTGCAAGACAAGGCGTTCCGCTTCTTGACACGCATCTCACCGGGCACCAAGCAACTCGAGCACGCGCCCAAGTTTGTGGCCTTCACCTGTGGGTTAGTGCGTGGAGCCCTCAGCAATCTGGGCATCAACAGCACCGTGACTGCCGAAGTACAAAGCATTCCCGCTTGCAAGTTTCACATAGAAGTGAATAGAAACTAATTAGGTCTTAACGCAATGGTTTATTACTACAATTATATAGTTACTACAGACTAGACTAAGCTATCTTCTCATAGAACGCCACAACGTTGCAGTCAGCCCAGTTGAGGCGTTCACGGAGGGTCCATTGGTCGGCGGGCAGTTGCGGCTGGACGGGATTGGGATCTGTGTGGATACCCAGAGCGGGCAAGGGTCCAATCAATATAAGCCACTTTCCCTGAAACACTCTAAGATAGTCCTGGAACGCCCGCCGATTGTTGAAATAGCAGAAGAGCAAGGCACAAGGAGAGATGTTATTACAGCAGCTGCTCAGTAAATCCGTTTCCAGTTGACTGGCCTCGTCCACATAGTTGAGCGGTATGAAACTCCGAACGGAGTATTTACTCTGCCACCAGTTGCGATCGACTTCTAGGCCAAACACAGAGATTTTCCGGCCACCAGCTGCGGTCATCAGCCATTCCAACAGCCCGCTGCCGCAGCCTATGCTCAAAATACTCTGAATTTTGTGAATGTCCAGGAGCTGGTTGAAGTAATCTAAATCTACTGATGTGGGCCACACCCAGAGCAGCTTGCGCTTCAGCTGCTGGTCCAGGCAGTCGCCCAGGGCGAGCAACTTGCGCCAGTTGCCCGACGCACCATCAGTTAGGTAATAAATCTCCCGCAAGGTCTCGAGTTCCGACCGCTCGTCCAACATATTGAATACTGATAGCTAAGAGTTAAGCGATTTTGCTGCTTCCGATGGCCGGCGAACTTGGCAGTGACGTCGGCACGCGGAAATATGGCTGGCGGCCAACAAGGCGGTTGCGGTTCGCTTCGGTTCGCAGCACCTGACTTATCTCTAATAAATCAGAGGGCCTGCGAAAAGGGCCAACATAATAGAGATCAATTAGTGTGCTCGTTTTCGTACGAGCATTTGAAATTCTTGCGCCAGTGTATCCCGCTAAATTTGGAGCTGCCTTGTCCCGGGCCACATGGTTGACGTTGCTGCAGGGTGGGTTCTTGAGTCTCGTCGAGACCAAGCTCATTCGAATACTCTTCGTTGTCCAAGTCCAAGATGATCTTGCGGTAAAGTAGGACATTTTCTTCAGGCATGACATCCGGCAGTGGCTGGTGTTCAGTTACAACATTTGAAGGATCCAGCTGCATTTCAGTGAGTGGAATTGGCTGTGGAGGCTGTAGTGGTAGTATTACTGGCTCCACGTTGCCCACGCTCTGGATCACGCTGTTGTAGCGCACGATCTCGGCTGGTCTCTCCTCCGACTCTGTGGTCACCTGGGCACTAGTGCCTGGTGCAACAATCTCCACACTGCTCTCGAACGTACAGCCGGGATGCATTGAACGTAGGTGCCGCAGCATGTTGTCCTTCCGGTTCACCGTGATTTCGCATTGCATACAGCGGTAGCGTTCCACAGACTTGTGCTGCCTTAGGTGACGGCCCAGTGCATCAGCATCGTTGTAACTTTTGCCGCACAGGGAACAGGATAGGCGCTCGCGATTGGAATGACGCTTCATGTGCAGCCGCAGCGTGGTCTGCCGCAGAAAGGACTTTTGGCAGACCTTGCACTTGTGCCGGATGCTGTCCTTATCATGCTTCCGCAAGTGCTGATTCAGATTGGCCTTGTTCTGGAAATGTTTGGAGCACAGTTCGCATTTGTAGGGCAGGCCGAGATCGGAGTGGATTGCCAGGTGGCTTTTAAGGGAGCTCTTGCGGCGGAAAACCTTTTTGCAGTGCGGGCACACATGCTGCTCTTGGCTATGGGTAAGCATGTGGCGCTGGAGAACGATTGGCTGTTTGAAACTTTTCCTGCAGATGCTGCACGAGTGCTTGGATTGATTATCATGGCTGCTGAGGTGGTACTTCAAATGGGAACGAGTGGCAAACCTCTGGAGAAAGTAGAGTCATTAGGACATGTAGAAATCCTGACGAAACATACTCACGCGACTGCATTCCTTGCAGCTAAATTTTTTGAGGAGATCGTCGCCACAGGCCAGGTGGTAATATTGCTGGGTGCGACTTCGAAAGTCTTTGTTGCAAACCGTGCAATGATAGCCTTGTTCAGTGACTATTATCCGCTTGTCGGCAGAAGTTATTGCTTTGGACTCCTGTTGCTTAGGTATTATCCTGGCACTTTTCTCGCTTGCAACTCGGCACTCAAGGCAATCGGAAACGTCCGCCAGCAGGCAAAGGCGGCACTTCATGTGTCCACAGTTGTCGGTGACGAGGCGATTCTGTCCAGTCGCTTCGCAGTTGCATCGAGGACATTTATTCATCGCTTTAGTTAACAAACATTCAGGAAACACAGAAAAGTAAACTGCAACTGCAGTAGTTCTTCTTCTTTTATAACAACTTTAAACATTCACCATGAAACGTAAACAAAATACACGGTGAGAAATTCTTGTCTTGTTTTTATATCCTTTATCTTAAACCTAACAATTAAGAAGATTTTTATATACGAGTACTATGAGCTGAGTTTTTCTTTGTCCTTCCTGACTATTCACATATATTTTCCAATTCCAATCCGGCCACGTGACCAGGAAACAGGTGTGCCTTCTTCATGGGCACTTGCACAAAGTAACGTTCACAAAACTTGGAATCACGCCGGCACAGGACCTCCTTGATAATTTGACTATAGGGAACCTTCTTGGTGATCAACAGGCGGCGTGTCTCACCAGTACCATAGCTACTTGATCGCAAACCATATCGGCTGGCCATTCTGCAAGGAAACACAGTCATTATAATCTGACACATTTTAATCGCAGATCAAAAACTCACTGGTGAAACTCGGCGCGTTCTTCTTTCGAAAACGTGGGCTCAAACTGCATGTCACGCATGTCGTCTGATTTCACGTAGTTTACTATCAGCTTGCGGTAGTCAGCTAGATTTCCTTGTGTGTTTATTGAGCCCAGGCCATTGCGATTGCTTTTCAGAAGGTATCTGAGAAATTTAAGGAGCTTAGTGGTGATGCATTATTTAAATTTAAGTCTGATACCTACCCTACTGGCTCCTCACGTCCCTGCTTCTGGCGCCCTAAGCCTCCGCCCGCCCAGCCCATCAATCGCATCATACGGTAGCCCTTGTTGCTGGCATCCAACTTTGGATCGCCCAGGCTGTCGGCTGACTCTTTGATGACGTTGATGTTCACGCCGTCTTTTCTCTTCTCCACCTTGATGGTCTCGCGAGTGGCATTCAGCTGTAGAATGGAAGAACAGTTTACATCTGACATCAATCATCTACTTACCGGATCAATCATACCTTTATGCTGTAGCAGTGGGATTGCAGAAAGAGCAGTGCTTGCTTGAAGGCCGTATACTTGGCCACCTTGAGGTTCTCTCCCTGCCCGGAACCTATCACCACTTCATTTAGGAATGCATCGGCGTATTTTGTCGTGTCGCTGGCAGGCTGATCTTGGTTAGCGCGCTCCTCGTACTTCATATTGGCAATGTTGCACGAGTTTCGAAGGCACTCGCGCCCGGACAAGTACAATATGAGTTGGCCGTAGGGAAGGTCTTGAAAGAGATCGATTGGCTCGCCGCCCCCGAAACGCAGGCGTTCTCGTGTGAATCTGTTTGAGCTATCCTTTGTGGGATCCGCTGCGCGAGCGGCTGCAACCCGGCGCCCTAGTTGTTAGAATTAGGCATTAGGCAGGCTGTGGTCTCTGGCTCTTATAGTTACTAGTGATATAAAGAATCTCCTACTCCTCTGACCCACTAATTGTTCTTCCGTCTACCTTTGGCTCGCTGCTCCGCCGCGTCTGAGGCCGAGACAAAGGTGCGCTTCAGCCGCTGATCTCGTTTGCGTCGGAAATCCTCTGCAATTTCCTTGGACATTTCGGCCACCAGGTGCATCGTCTCGCTGGGATACTTGCAGCCCATGAACTCCATATTGACGAACGTCTGGGCGAGGCACACCAGTCGGTCCTCCTCGAACCGCTCCTTGTGGGCCAACATGAAGCTGCGGCGTAGATCCCAGTGTTCCTCGCTCTCATACTCCGTGCGGTAGCTGTCCACATCCCAATCCAAAGAAAACTCTCCTGATCCGTAGCCGGCATCCGCCTGGGCCTTTGCTTTGACTTTTTTTTGCTTTGGTTTCGTGTCGGCGCCAGCATTGTCGATCTTCTGAACTTTGTTTTTGGTAGACATTTTAGCAAGATATATCAAGCGTCTTTTTGGTGGGCAAATAAGATGAGTGCACGCTAATGCTTCGATTGTACCGATAGTCTTTAAGGTAATTTTTAAGCCCAAAATGAAGTAGTATATATTTTATTATATCCTAGTATATAATGGTATTTATTTGTAGGCCGGTTGGTTTTTGTTGTCATTGTCAGCGCGGTCACACTGATCACGGCTCCTACAGCCATTCCGTCGTGCGTGTGTGTTTTTAAGTTCCTGCTTTTAATTCATGATTTTTTGGTAACTTGACTATAATTTTGAGAGCGACGCGACGCCCAGGACCTCAGAAACCAATTGCCAAAGTGTCTCATCCAGCCAAGAGCACTTAAGTGAGACATAAGTGAGAAACTGCCAACATGAGCATACCCAACGAGTATATAGCGAAAACGGAGGATGTGGCGGAACAGGTAATATATAATGGCTACTCCTGATTCTGCTGCTGATTAGGATCACTAGACCGCCAGGAATCTATATGCTCTCCGGAGCGGTTTAATATTGCCAGCAAATGGGTTTCGCGAGGGAGCCCTGGCAGCTGCATGCTGGGAAAACTGCCAACGTCACCCAAACGCGGCAAAGTTCGAGGGTCTTAACTGCACTATAATCACGATCCGCTGACAAGTTGGCTACGTGCCAGGTACTAGCTTCCCATAAGGAGCACCTCCATTGGTTACCATTGAATCTCCAGTACTTCAATTAACAGTTGTTGCGTCTGCCGCAGGGGAAAACTCTCTTTCGCTTCCTCTTTCCCACCTAAGTGTCTGTGCTGTGTCTGTGTGCGTGCGAGAGAGCTGTCTCCACAAGTGAAAGTGCTGAGAGAGAGTGCGGGGTATGGTGGACGCCAGCGACCAGGTCGAGTTCCGTAATAGTCGGCGTGAAAGCCAGATGAACTTGCCCGCGATTTACATATATACATTTATTAAAATTACACGGGAGGCCAGTTAAAACCCGTTAGCTGGCAGATAGCAATCGGTAGATAGAGCGTCTAAAGACACGTCACAGCCAGCGGTCGATTTCCATTGACTACGCGAAAGCCACGCTCAATAGAGTTGTATATTTCAATCCCTTATCACCATATCAGTAGCTGCCTTATCACCATATCAGCTCCCATCCTGATCGCTCTTCTTTTTTTTTGCAGGTTATCAAGCGCGGCAAGAATGTACTGCCCACGGTGGCCCGCCTGTGCCTCATCGCTACCTTCTTCGAGGACGGCCTGCGCATGTACTTCCAGTGGAACGAGCAGCGTGAGTACATGGACATGAGCTGGGGCTGCGGAAAATTCCTGGCCACGGTCTTCGTTCTGGTCAATCTGCTCGGTCAGCTGGGCGGATGCGGCATGGTGATGGCCAGGTTCAAGGTGGACATAGCGGTGGGCCTGCTCTTTTTCATCGTGGTGCTGCAGGTTAGTCCGTCTTCTTACTTCTTTGAGGAAACTTCGTACTAATCAGGACACTCCGCTTCCAGACCGTAGCCTACTCCATTCTGTGGGACTTCCAATTCCTGCTGCGTAACTTTGCCCTGATCGGAGCTCTGCTGCTCGTCCTGGCCGAGGCCAGGATCGAGGGACGCAGCCTCTTCGCCGGCGTGCCATCAATGGGCGACAACAAGCCCAAGAACTTCATGCAACTGGCCGGCCGCATCCTGCTGGCCTTCATGTTCATCACTTTGATCCGCTTTGAGCTGAGCGTGTGGCAGGTCATCCAGGACATCATCGGTTCCATTCTGATGGTGCTGGTCGTGCTGGGCTACAAGACGAAGCTGTCCGCCCTGATCCTGGTGGCTCTGCTCACGATCTTGAACCTGTACCACAATGCCTGGTGGACCATTCCGTCCTACAAGCCACTCAGGGATTTCTTAAAATACGATTTCTTCCAGGTCAGTCTTTGATAATAGCTAACGTATAGTTCCTTGTTACAATGTGTTATATTTGCAGACTCTCTCGGTTATCGGTGGCCTTCTCATGATCGTGTCCTTGGGCCCTGGCGGCGTTTCCATGGACGAGCACAAAAAGAAGTGGTAGAGGGCCCAGACACCGGTCGCTCCTTGCACGAAACACTTTCAGCAATTGATTTTTACCGTGTTTTACTCTTTCCGAGAAATGTTAGTTAGGATTTACCATAAAATGGGACAACAACAGGAGCAGCATCAGCAGCACAACACTGGCACGTATAAGAACTTGACAACTTTCAATAAAGGGACTTCCGCAATACCCCTTCTCCACTGGCTTACTAATAGGGATCATCCAAACCACCCCAAAACATTTTCATTCGCGCACATTCAACGACAAACTTCGACTACATTTAAGACATTTTCTTTTTGTACATAACGACAAAGCAAGAAAAAAGTGTGGCCCCTTTTTTAGCCCCTCCCAAATGAGACACATAACTGATTTTTGTACCTATTGCTTGTCAACATCCATATTTTCGCCGATTTTTTATATGATTTGTACGCTCTTATAAATAAGTTGTAACCGTGGTGTTTGCGTTTTGTTGTTTGCTAGAAGTTTGAAAATGAAAACGATGTATAAAATATGATGTACCAATTGACCATGATTTGTTTCTTTCGTTTATAAGCAAAAGTGTAATAGAATTAAATTGTAACGTTTTAATAAACCTAAAAAAAAAAGCCGACGACTTTTTATTTAAATCTTGGCGCCATTCGGTAGGTGAATGGCAAATATGTACTTTGCTAAACAGCACTGGGGCACAGCTGTCTGGCTACGTCACAATAAAAAGAGTAAATAACGATATTCGACTATGGTATTCCCGGTGACACGCCGAAATCAACTTGCCCCATCGATGAAGTGAATACTTGATACTAACTCAGAATGAATAAGTCACCAGGGCCTTTTGAGCGCGGATCGTAATCCCCGGAATTTGACAGACAGCAGGGTGTGGGAGTGAAGGTAAGGTAAGGCTTTAATAAAAACGCCCTGAATTGACTTTCTGTGGACTGTGGTGCAATTCTTACCATCAGTTTCCTGATCATTAAAAAAGACGACAAACATGAATGCATGCCTTTTATATGTCCTTTATTCAGCAACAAATATATTATTAGGAATAACTCCATTTGTATATTTGTATGTCAATGGATTAAATCAATTAGCAATTCGTATTCCAAATAGTGGCATTATAGTGGTGGAAATGCGTGTTGCATAGGTTTACCCGGAAACAGTATACCCCTATGTTTTGGGTCCACAGGGTATACAAATATCAATGAGTCGTGGAGCTCAAAAAGAGAATGTGCCCAAACACAACACATTCCGTGTTCAAAGCGTTCGGAACGTGGACGATTTTAGCTCTGCCGGGTAAGAGTTGGATGTCGTAAACACTAGTAACGTTCCTGCTTCTAATCAAAATCTAATAAGTGCTTGGAAGTGCGATTGAAAGGGGCTTGGTGTGGTAAATCAAATCTGCAACCGCTGTTTTATTCGAGATAAGTGTAACGTAAGCAAAATTGAGCGAATAAATTATAAACTAGTTTGGTTGGGGCACGCTTTTGACTCTCAAAATTTTCGGGCGAGAGCTGTAATACAGGCAAACCTCTTGAGAAAGGAAATGCGAAGCACAAATTCCGAACTGCTTTGTAACGGACATTATAAATTAAAGCCCCCGTGATCGAAAATTGCATTCTTTAAGCGCATGCACCTCTTGCTGTGTTGCCTGAACTGGATTTAGATTTCGGTGTTTTATTTATATGCTGATTTCACCTGTGTCAGCGCTATTTTCTTACCTGTACGGTTGACAAATGTTTTGGGGCTAATGAAGCGCGATAAGGTTGATCCGAGTGCTAACAACCCGTTGTGCTGCTCAATTTAATCGAGCAATTGTTTATTGCCTAATTGCAGTCGTTTTTTGTTTTCTTGCAGGAATTGCCTTCGTCAAATCACCAAACCACATTCAGTTGGGATTCGTTCGCGCCCAGCTAACTAAATCAAAATGAAATATTTCGGCGGAGTCGAAGGGTACGTAAAAAGGTCACCCCTCAATTTGTAATTCAATAGCCAAACGCGATGATTAATGAGAGTGATTAAGCGCAGAGTGTGTTATCCCCTGATCTGCCAGATATCAGCGAAGCGTAGTACTGCAAAAGATTCGCCTGCTTTCGTTGATAACTCCAGCGCTTTAATGATAACAGTCAAAGGTACAGAATGTGATTAGGCTAAACCTTGATGAACTTAACCAGCTTCGTCTCGGGTATCCGTTTGTTCCGCGTGATCAGCTCCTGGCCGTCCATGAAGGGTCTCAGCACGTCGGGTATCTCGATGGCATCTCCCCGCTGATAAGATTCCAGCAGGGCAATCAGCAGACGGGGAATGGCCGTCGCCGTTCCATTGATGGTGTGGGCATGCAGAATCTGGCCATCGCTGGAGCGGCGGTATTTGATGCCCAGTCGCCTGGCCTGGTAGTCCGTGCAGTTGCTGCAGCTGGAGATCTCACCCCACATCTGGCGGCCTGGCATCCATGCCTCTATGTCGTACTTTTGGTACGCCGGAGCGCCTAGCTCACATGGCGGCATGTCCAGCAGCCGAAAGTTGAGGCCCAGCCGCCGAAAGAGATCTACCTCAATGTTCTTGAACTCCTCCAGCTCGGCCTCGGACTGTTCCTCCGTGCAGATGGCAAACATCTCCACTTTGGTGAACTGGTGCACCCGGTAGATGCCCTTCTCCTCCTGCAAGCCCGAGGTTTCGGCCCGATAGCAGCGACTAACGGCGGTCACCTTAAGTGGCAGCTGCTCCTCTTGCAGTACCTTATTGGCGAAGAATCCGGCCAGGGCCATTTCCGAGGTGCCCGACAGGCACTCTCCGTTATCCAGTTTGTAGACTTGAGTGCGCTCCCCATCGGTGCGCATTCCACAGGACTCGATCACCTCCCTGGGCAGAATGTCCGGCACGGATATCAGCTTGAAGCCCTGTCCAGTGACCGCTTGAAGTGCATACTGTATGATGGCCTGCTCCAAGGTGGCCAGCTGCCCGGTCAGATAGTAGCTCTTGTGGCCCGTATAGTTGCCCAGGTGATCCATGCGGTAGAGATTGAGGGCACGGGCGAGTTCCGAGAACTCCTTGAGGCTGGACTGTGGTGGCAGTTGCCGGTGTACATACTGCGCCAATTCCCGCGGCTGTTCACCGTAGTCTTGAAGTCGTGGATGCGTGGCATTGGGCAGTTGCTCCAGTTCCACCTGCAGTTGTCTTAATTGGTCCTGATCTCCAGCCTTCACCCCCTGGATAAGGGAACGAATAAGCGGCAGGTTGTTCCTGTGATGGCGCGCAATCACATTCCGCTCCAGCTCGTCCAGTTGGGCACTGGTTGGAACCGGTCGTGGTTTTGGTGCCTGCGCCGCCTTTGCGTCATGCGACCTTTGGCGGCGCAGCAGCAGTAGAGGCCGCAACAGCCGGGAATTTGTCAGCAATTTCATTTTAATTAACGCTCCTCCTTGGGACATTCCGGGAATCGCGGGTGGCGGTGCGGTTTCAGTCACTATCCAACGAAAACATTCAATGTTTTTGCGAACAATTGGTTAATATTTCCGCACACCCGCACATAACACCATGTTGTCTTGCGTTAAAAATTAACATTCTGTTAACATTCGATTATTTATCGAAAACTATTTATTTTGTAGGACTAACGTTACGCCAAGCTAACGTCACGTAACGGAACTCGAGTTTGAATTACTGCCAAAGGTATTTTTATGACTGAAATAAATTGGACTCTGGTTAAAAATAGTTAAGCGAAGATAACAAAACGTCTTTTGTTGTGCCCATTTTGAATAGACTATCAAATAATTGCTTCAATTGAGCGTATTAAGCAGTGCATATTCGTCACGTCAGTTACTATCTCCGTTGCTGCAATGTGCATTATAAAGGTAGTTGCAAGCCCCTATATGATTTTCTTGGATTATAATCCAAGTTTGGATAGATATGCATACACACTTTCTTTTTGCCCGCATTTGAACTCGGTTTAATTTTTATGTTTAGGTTGTCAAACACACAAAGAAAAATGTATTCAAAGAATTTTCTATGATGTAAAATTAAAGATTATATTTGAAAAGATTTTAGTTAGATGTTAGAATCCCGAAATTATATTTGTTGATCTAAAAACATTAATTAATTCTGACCAGAGGTGTAGTTAAAATTGTACTAGTTGCTAGATGGTCTACGCTAGAACAAATTTAGGATCTCATTTTGGCATGATTCACATTTCTAATGATTTAAAATTGATATCAAACTATTTTTTCATTGTGTATATGTACTTTATTTATGTTTTCCCGCATTTGGACTACAATTTGTGCGTGTGACACGTTTTCTTCAAATGACTTTGTCAATTGCGCGGTTCTTTAATTCCAATTTGCGGTCTCCAGATCGGTTAATTCAATTTGATTCAATCGCGTTATTGTCTGCGGTCACGGCCCCGGTCCAATAACACCTATTGTGTAATGATGAAGAGAGCCCGGAAATAGAAACTATCTTCTTTGTCTTCTGCAGCGGAGCCACCCACTCCAGACTGGTCATCTGCGACGAGAGTGGCCAGTCCGTGGGCTCCACCAGCGGCCTGGGCACCAACCACTGGGGCATCGGCATCCCGGAGTGCGCCCGTCGCATCGCCGACATGGTGGAGCGGGCCAAGGAGGAGGCCGGCATCCCCAGGGAAACGCCCCTAACGAGCCTGGGATTAAGTCTTAGCGGCTGCGAACAGGTTAGCCATTACTAATACTTTTTTGGAGGTTGCATATAATATATAAAATTTAACAGCCTATTTTTTTAACACTTTTAACATCATCTAATGACAGTAAAAAAATTTGAATTTTAAGTTTCACCATTTAAAGTTAAAGTTAAATTTATAAAGTTCACATTAAAGTCATTTTTTAATTGGTCTTTAAAAAGAAGCTAAAAAGTTGTATTAAAGAGAAAAGTTTAATTCCAACAGGAAGCCACCAATCGCGAGTTGGAGCAGGAGCTGCGCACCACGTTCCCGGACCTATCCCAGAGCTACGCCGTTTCCAGCGACACGATGGGCAGCATGTACACCGCCTCCTCGATTGGGGGAATGGTCCTAATATCGGGAACCGGTTCCAACTGCCTGCTGCGCAATCCTGACGGATCCACGTCCAATTGCGGCGGCTGGGGCAACTTCCTCGGCGACGAGGGTAGCGGTAAGTGGGGATCGGAAATCGAGTGGCCTTATCAACTAATGGTCTACTAATGCCGGGCCAATGTCGAGATTAACGGCTGCAACTCCGATTAGGATTGCCAGATAACGTTGATTGCCATTGACTCATTGCCGCCTTTGTTGTTGATTTCGCAATTATCATACTGACCCCCAAAACCCTTATACTCGGCAGCCTGGTACATCTCATACCGAGCAGTCAAGGTGGTGTTCGATCATATGGACAACTTCGAAAAGTCTTCGGCTCCCGTGGAGAAGACCTGGGCCCTGATCAAGGATCACTTTAGCCTCGAGACGCGGCTGGATATGCTGCCTCACTGCTACGCCAAGTTCGACAAACCCTTCTTCGCCAATCTGTGCAAGAAACTGGCACAGAATGCGGAGAATGGCGACGAATTGGCACGCGGTCTGTTCCGGGAGGCCGGCGTGCACCTGGCCCGAATGATCCTCGCCCTGCTGCCCAATGTGCACAAGGACCTGGTCAAGTCCGGCGACCTGAGCGTGGTGTGCGTGGGTTCTGTGTGGTCCAGCTGGGACCTGCTGCAGGAGGCCTTCATTGCGGAGCTGTCTAAGACGGAAATCCACTTCAACCTCAAACTGGTGCGAATCACCAAGAGCAGTGCCTACGGAGCCTGCTATCTGGGAGCGGATAGCGCAGAGTTCGATCTGCCGAGGAACTATGCGGACAACGTTACAGTTCTGTACACGTACACTGATCCTCGAAAGAAAGCCAAGGCGACTAACGGCGTGAACAGGGAGCCTTCAAGCTGCTAGTTAATTTGTATTAGACATCCATTCCGAAATACACATCCAAATTGCCAACTATTCATATATAAGAGTATGATAAATCACTTTCCAGATAGTGGAACGATTTGTAGTATTATATGGAGTTAACTATGCAAGTATTAATGTTAAACCCTGAAAAATTAAAATAATTAATGCCTCTTTAATTTTTTTAAATCATTATCAAGAAGTTATCTTTCCTTTGCCAAGATTTTTCAATCTGAACCATATATGTTAGGTTTGTTAGAAATACGTATGAAAATTTTATTCGATAATGTTCATTGTATTAATTGTATGTGTCTCAATGTTGGCTGTCACTGTGCGGCATCTATTTTGTAATACTTTGATTGTGTTTAAAGCCAATTCGTTTTTATTTCGCCGTGCTGTCATCAATTCTTTGGCTAATTTGATTCTCAAATCGGGGAGCAAAACAAGAATGTTTCTATTTGTAGCAAAGAAATATAGGAGGCCAAACATAATATCTTAGGGAGCTTAGAGTAGAGTATTTGGGATAATTTACGAGTAGTTGAATCGAATGCCGTAGCTAGGGAATCAATATTACATATATGTATAATTGCTTGGATAATACATTTAACGTACTGTTATCATTGAATGCGACATACCAAAAGAGATTTCCAATAAAATCGAATTCAAATAAAACCAAGACTACCCCTTTGCCTAAACAAATGGCCATGATGTGGGCAGCATATCCAATAACTTGGCTTTTCGGCTCCTACATTGCCACACTTTCCACCTAGGGGACTAATTTTAACTGCGATTAAAAATAACCTATTTGTATGCGGTTAGCTTAAATGCATCCTTTGCAAGGGAGCTTTCAATTGTTCATGCTCTGACGCAGCTTCTGGGGATCCTGGTAGTGCGACGATGACGATATGACCGAGGGATGCTGCGGCGGTGGAAAGCACCGTACATGCTCTACATTTGAGCCCTCGCCGTCGCCGCCCTTCAGATACTTGTTGAGAATGGAGAAGATTTGTGAGTTTAATACCTGGAACCGACGAATCCGATCCACCATTCGCTTTAGTTGCTGCAATGTAAATAAGAATGTTAGACAAAAATCTTGCAAAATAATCCCCAAGCGGATAACACTTACAATGCCCTTGACGTCCTCATCCTTGCCATCAACGCGTTGTACACGCAGAATGTGGTAGCAAAAGTCCAGAGCTTCGAAGCGTCGCTGCTGGCCAAGCAATACGATCATGACGCAACCCGCCCAGTTGAGACCCTCCCCAAAGAGTTCCTCAATGGTGTACTCCGTTCCCCTCACTGGAATGCAATAGACGAACTGCAGAGCCGACCACAGGCGATGGAACTCCGAGCACTCGTCCACATGGATAATTCCGTTGGCTGGTGGGGGACCACACCACACCGGATCGTCCAAATAGCTCTTTACCCGGTTAAGAATAACCTCGAAGATGCTGAGCCCGCAGCAAAGGCGTTCGCGTGTCAGCAAATCTCCCTCGCGTGCAATCATGGCTTGCTGTTGGTGGAGGTTTGTTAGAATATATCAATAATATTATTGAATTGGAATCCTTACCTTTGCAGTGCCGATTTTTTCTACGTTTGAAACTATCTGCAGGTTGGCAAACTGAGCCTCAAGGCGCTTTTGCTTAGCCTCTGGTTTCTCGTTCTCTGTACAAAGTAAAGACACTAGGTTACAAAATATCTTCGCAATAAATAACATTTACATACCTTTGCAAAACGGCCTGGGAAAGATGTTTTGGAAGAGGGCAGCGTGCAGTAGATCGCACACCTCCTCCTGAGAGAGCGCCTGTTCAATCAGTAGGCAAAAGATTATGCTGTTGCCAAACTCCCGGAACGACTGAAACAGTTCTGTCTTCGCGTCCGGATATTGCACGATGTCTGTAAGATGGGCCTGGTAGTAACTTAGCACTCCTGGAGACCCGTACTCGCAACGGGGAAGTTTGCAGGACTTGGGCATGGCAATCATAAGCGTTTTGGTGAACTGCAGCAGTGAGCCCTGGATCAGCGGTTTCACAATGTCCTTCAATATAATGTCCATGACGACTGCGATGCCCTGATAGCCAAGCAGACGGCACATGGCATGAAAATGCGGCGATCCAACAAAACCGGTGTACTGACCATACTGGGTGGAATAAGCAGCATTGAGCTGCTTGGAACCCCACAGATAGTAATGCGACATTTGTGGCGGTTTCTCTCGCTGTATAGCTTGTGACGACGACAGATTAACTTTGGTTCGAATGAAACTATAAGAGAGAATAGTTTAAAGTAATTTAATCATATAGAAGGAAAGCAAACTCACCGATTTGTGGCTGCGTTATAGCAGTAATTGACCAGGAAGTCGTAGTTTAATTCCACAAAGACGTGCAATGTGATCCTGCCGTATGGCGCGAGGACGTTGTGGTTAGCCTCCTTCACCATGCCGTCAAAGTTGTCCAGGGCCAAATATTTGCTCAGTAACTTGTGGCAAATTCGATTCGCCTCCAGTAGACCTTCAAGTTCCTGCAAATAAACGTGTGAGAGGCACTTTGACGGTACCTATCTAGTCTCACTTACCACAATGCCGGTAATGTCGTTGCCCTCGAAACGGCTGATGGCCAATTCAATGCTCTTGTGCATATTAGCGTTGATGCGTTGTGTGATCAGTTTGTTTAGGTCAATTGAACGGCCTACAGAGTTCAAACAAATATTGCGATTGATTTAATTTATTTTGAATTGGATAAAAGTTTAATGATTCGAGCTTACCCAATAGTTGGACATGTCGTTGCTTTAACAAAGTCTCATATCGGTTGTTGCGCGGATATGATTGGAAGTTGAAACCAAGCACCTCGCATTCCAGGCGGAATCGCTTGTCCAGAAAAATACTCCCCGCCAACTGCTTGTAGTGGGCAAATATCTGCTCGCTCAGCTTGTAAACGAACTGGTCGAAGCACAGATTCACTTCAGCCTCCACCTCGTCGTAGAGGAACTGCTTTCGGAAGACGGTGAGGGCGTAGAACGCCGAATCGTTGTACAGATCCAGGGGGTACAAAACAAATCTGTAGAATAATAATAGTTATTATTATTTGCTTAGCTTATCTTTTCCCCATCACTTACTCCATCATTGAGGGCTCCTTCGTTTGCAGAATGTGATCAGTAAGAATCCACGGCATGGACATCTCAATCGGGAACTGTATGCGCTTCTCCATGGTGATCAGATCCTTGCACTCCTCGTTGTGCTGATGCCGCACCAAACACTTGTTAACCTTTCGGCCCATGGTCATTTCTAAGTAGAACTCGCGATACCACAACTGCGAGAGATCGCAGCACTTTTGGAGCGTGTCGCTGAAGTTGAGCAGGTAGCTCCAGTAAAACGAGGTCTTGTGAAACGTGTCGATCTGCACCAGGCAATTGCCGTCGATGTCCTTGCGTAGTGTGCGCTTGCCGCCGCTCTTATCGGCAATCAAGGACTCCAACATGGTGCGTACCATGTACAACTGTGTCGAGGAGGGTCCCACATTGAGGCGCGGCACCTGGATACGGAATCCGCCGTCGGGATCCTTCTTCCCCTTGGCCACTGGATCGTCGGTGGGCTCGTAGCCCTTCTGCCAGTCCGCCGAAGTCTCACGCACCGACATAATGATGCTGCGGATCAAGTCCTTCTTGTTCTTCACGGCCTTGCGCAGCGGTTCACGCAACGAAAGCTGGACAAAGTCCTGCAGCTCGGAGTAGATGTTACGTCGGATGGCCTCGCACAACACGGTCTCGATGCGCGCCATCAGCACTTGCAGTCCCTTAATCATGGCAATCACTTCGATGAGGGCGAACTTTTCCTCGGAGGTGTAGTTATAACGGGTGGCCCGCTCGTACTCCTCGGCCTCAACGGGACACTCCTTGTTTTGGTGGTGGTCTGTTGGGTGCAGTAGCTTCCAGGAGTACAGCTCGGTGACCACACTGGTCCATTCCGACAACAGTTGCAGGCCGCGCAGGGCCAAATCGGCAGTAATCCGGTTCTCAGCATCAGAGGGATTCTCCTTGACGGTGGTGGTCACCTCGTTTGTGTATCGCGCCAACTCCGAAATATACTTGACGTGATCCTCGCGAATCTGCGGCAGGTGCACCATCAAATCCGCCTGGGGACTAATGGCGTTTGAGCTGGACAGCGGCCACTTGCTGGAATCAAAGTGCTTGCTGCGCTTTATGTAGTTGAAGGGGGCGATTTGCATGTCGCCAAACAGAGGCACCACCTCAAGGTTCTTAAAGATGCGGTCAATACGATCTAGACGAATCTTCTTCTTCTGATCGAGCTTGTTGATATTGCACGCGTCGCTGTCCATAAGAAACAGGCCGAAGCCCATTACCTTTACCAGCATATGTTTCTCCTCGGGGGTCAAGTACATTTTTGTCTCGAACATGTGTACGCAAATGTTAACCACATCCGACAACAAATCCTCGTAGCCGACGATCTTCTCCAGCGTGTCCTTGACCGTGTCGCGGATCTTGTTCTGCGTAGCCAGAAACATGGAGAGGTTCTGGGATTCCTGCAGAGTGTGTGAGTCGGACATCACCTTGAGGAACTGCGCCGCTCGCCTGTACGTAGAGTAATCGTTCTTAACGCTGGACTTCATGTTCTTCAGCTCGTCCAGGACGGCGAACATGTTAATGAACTTGCCCAGCGTTAGCAGGTAAGCCTCGGATACGAAGTCTTTACGCTTCTCAGCGTGACACAGGCGTTTCACCTCCCCGGAGAAGGCCTCGATGGCCTTCCGCTGGAAGTACATGAAGTTCAGAAGCTTGTTCACCTCTGGGGCCAGGACTTCCACCGTCTTCTCGTAGATCTCCACGCGATTGGGCTGCTCGTTGGACTTGGGTTGTGGAATGGCGCGGGAACAGCAACGCCAGGTGTAGAGCATGACTGCATGTTTCTGCCCCTCGTCCAGGAGCACATTCTGCGGGCAAAGAGGAGGGGGAACTTGTGAGTAATTTGTGTGATAAGACGAGTGCGCTAACTCACCAAGTTGGCGTGGGTGGTGGCCTCCTCGATGTACTTGGCAATTCCTGTAACAAATCCATTGCGGTCCTCGAAGTTCGTGTCGAAGTTTGCCTTGTAGATAATCGAACAGGGCTGTGCCTCGATGCAGGGCTGCTCGTCCGGCAGCGAAAGCTCGTCCAACACCTCCACATTGGACAGCGCGTCGGCTAGCGTAATCTTCTCCGTCATGCTGCGCTCCTTATCATGCCTCCAGCAGGTCGAATGAGGTAAAATTTAACAAGGCGGGGTCCAATCCAATCGACACATAAATTTTTTTCGCCACAAATACAACACGACTCATTGCCATTCCCATGGGTGCGTTGTCATGCCATATTTAGGGAATTTTTATAAGGTGGTTGTAGTCTGTGCTGTGTATTAGGTATAGGGCTGCAACGCTTGCATATTTCACCAGTGCGCAATAGTATTTTATTTTAAATGCTTTATTAGTATAAATATTAACCTGCGGATTCCTTACTTAGCTTATTTATGTTAGTTTAAAATACTTTAATACTTATGTAAAGGAAATGTTAAGTTAAAGCTTGCTTATGGAATTTATGTATTTATTTTCATACAAAGACCACAGATTGACTGTATTTTGAAGTAGTTTAAATAAAGGAAGCAATAGCCAAAAATCAAAAACAATTTGTATTATTAGGAATTGTATTTTAAATTGATATATAATAATTGGACTCTGGAAATAAATTTTTTTAAATTAATGGTATTTCATGGAAGTCAATTAGTATTTATGGTATTTTTATCGTTATCGGTGCGGTCGCGCTGTTTGTGGCACGTGCATTGACCAAAACAAATAAAAATAGCCAAAACACCTCTAGCCAAAAGCCCAAATAAACAACTATGAATAATTTCGAAATTCGGGAAATTCCCGGAAAGGTAAGTAATGTACTAGATCCCAAGCGCCCTTCATAACTTAAATACATATTTCCGCAGGGGAGGGCCATGATCGCGACCAAGAGCTTTGCAGCGGACGAGGTGATTTTTGAGGAGGAACCTTTTGTGTCCAGGCAATTTTCATGGAACGTGGCCTACGGCTACTCAGCCTGCGACCACTGCATGCGGCCCCTGGAGACGGTGCTGGAGAACGTGCGCCGGCTGGCCAGCGATCCAAAGGTGGAGGTACCTCTGTTGCAGCACGATCCCACGGCTCAGTGGGTGGCCCAGTTCACGCAGTGCCCGCGCTGCAAGGTGCGCTACTGCTCCGAGGACTGCCTGATGGAGGCCCAGAAGCGCTACCACCGAGAGACGTGCATGGGCGCTTTTCGTTCCGACGACACACATCCTATCAACGTGCTGAACGAGACCTGGAAGAAGATGCACTATCCGCCTGAGACAGGCAGCATCATGCTGATCGTCCGCCTGATGGCTCTGTACCAGCAGAGCGCCAAGAAGGCGGAGTTCCTCGAGCAGCTGCAATCCTTTCAGGCACTCATTGTTAATCGCGAGCAGAAGATCTACCACAAAATGCTGGGCGAGAACTTCGAGCAGCAAATGGAGCAGCTTTACCGCGCGTTTTGCAATGCCTTTCCCGGCGAAGAGTTCGCCATGGTATGCACTCCCTCGGAAAGGTAGTTAAATTGTTTCTATAAAATGTTCTTAACAGTTCACCACGCCAGATGCCTTCAAGACCCTGATGGGAATCATGGGCACCAACAGCCAGGGCATAGCCACCAGCGTGCTATCCCAGTGGGTGGCCAAGGTGTCTGACCTACCCCTGCCGGATTCGGACAAGGCGCAACTGGACACAGTCATCGACGGACTTTATGCCAAAGTCGGAGAATGTAACTAACCCTAGGGGCGTTTAATGAAATAATTATCTAAATGGAATGTTTTCCTCCCCAACAGTTGCTGGAGAATTCCTAAATAACGAGGGCTCTGGCCTGTACCTCCTGCAGAGCAAGATCAACCACAGCTGTGTGCCAAATGCCTGTTCCACGTTTCCCTATTCCAACGACATTGTTGTGATGAAGGCCTTGGCTCCGATCCAAGAGGGCGAGGAAATCTGCATATCCTACCTGGACGAATGCATGCTGGAGCGAAGCCGCCATTCGAGGCATAAGGTTCTGCGCGAAAACTACATATTCGTCTGCCAGTGCCCCAAGTGCCGGGCTCAGGCCTCCGATCCTGATGAGACCAGCGACGACGAGGACGACGATGATGAAATGGACGATTACGACGATGATGATGACATGAACTAGGCTTAGTCTCCTTTCTTTTTACAACGAAATTTGTTTATTCTATTAGTAAACTATTATGTACGTATAGATAGCTTGTAGAAGAATAAATATTCTTATTTCGAAGAAATGCTAGAGAGAATCTTCTTATACCCTTGAGAAGTTGGTAATTTCCAACCCTTTAAAGTATATATGTATATTCTTGATCAACATATGTGTATGTATATAGTAAAGAAGTAATAGTGAGTCATCCTCCCCTTCCTGCCACGGAGAACGTTGCCCAACACTTGGAAATTCCATAAGCTTTTTAATTGGGATCGGCTTTGTTTGACTTTCACCAAGCTGTGGAAAAACACTCATGTAAAGGTCTTCAGCCGGAAAGTGTTAATTATGGAGAAGAGGTTACTTTCCCTGGTGCTGGTCCTGTCCATTCTCCACAGTTCTTGTGGGCGGTTCCTCCTCATTCGGGAAAAGGAGCAAAAGTGCATTACCCAGACGAGGCTAGACGTCGATACTGATGTGATTGGTATAATTTAAAACATATGTATGTCTTAGCTTATCTAACTACTGTACCGTACCTTCTTTCAGTGGAATACAAGGTGGAGTATTTCAGTTCCGGCGGCTTAATCTCCTTGTCCCCCGGAATTGGGATGGATGTGGTGGTGCGGGACAGCAACGGAACGGTTATACTTTCCCGAACTTATAGCTCAGAGGCCAGTTTCAGGTTCACCACCTACCGGCCTGGCGACTACCAGATCTGCATGAACACAAACGGTTCCGCCGCAGGCGCCCTGCTGAATCTCTACGTGGATATTAAGACGGACGAGCGCACTAAATACTATGAAAGGAATTTGAGCGCGGAGTACCTGGAGAACATGCAGGTGATTGTGCGCATACCAAATGAACTTGATGGCCTCTACTCCGAAATGATTTTTGTTGGCATAGCCCTGGTCGTGGTTTCCATCTTTTTCATGATCGTCGCGTACCGTATTTTATTCGGGAAAAACTACTTGTACTTGGCTTACTGTAAAGCTCTCAGCGAAGAAGAGCTGGCCAGGGTAAGTGCTTGGAGAAGGGTCCTAGTTATTTAAAATTAATTAACGGTTTCCGATAAAAATTAGTTCAGGACACCAGAGGCGTACAGGGCACTCATGTCCATCCTGGGCCCCAAAGGACAGGGGCTTACCACCAGCGCCATTTCAAAATGGGTATCCCAGTTACAAGATCCGGAGTCAACAAATGAGAAAGAGCAACTAAGAATCAGTGAAAAGATTCAATCTAGAGTGGAAGAATGTAAGCTGAGTCGCTTTGCCTGTGTAGGTTTACTGATTACATAGCCCTTTTTATCAATACAGTTGCTGAAAAGTTCCTCAAAAAGCCAGCACTCGCAGTTCCGGAAAACCCAAAAGGCAGCTATTACGCAGCCAACGTCCAATTGACGAACCTCCTGGTGCACAACGAAATCGCAGGGCACTTGAAAGGCGACACCTTCTTACTGGTCTGCGATTGTAAAGATTGTAAGGCCAATGATCCAAATGAAGTGGATACGGAGGCATAAATTGAACCTTTAATACATCAGTCGTCAAGTGCAACGTTATGTTTTGTTCTTGTTATTTACTAACAGATCGCATCTAAATATAAATTTAATTTATAAATGGCTAACAAATCTCATCATGAGCTGGCTTCGCCGCCTGCGGAGACGGGCGTCAGATTAATCAGGTTGTTACTGCTCTCGGCCAGCTCGGCGATGGAAACGCGTCCGCGCTGCTTGATGAACTTGGCCACTGCCGAGAGCTCCTCCTCCGAAACGTAGATGAATTTGCCGCGATCGTCGATGACGCCGGTGAGAGTGCCATCGGCCTGCAGATCCTGAATGCGATCGATGGCCTGCTGGGTCTTCAGCTTGAAAGCCACAGCCAGATCTTCCAACACCACCACCTTATTGTCCCTTATGTACTGGATAAAGTCGGCCAGAAGGCTGTCCTGGTCGTCGGCGTCGCCCTCTTCAAAGCCCTCTTCTTCGACGCTAAAGGCGGCCTTCATCTTCAGGTACTCCTCGTGCTCCTTGCGCTCACGTTCCTCCTTGGCAAGGCGCTCGGCGTCCAGCCGTTTCCGCTCCACCTCCGCATCAAGATCCTCCTGCTGCTTTCGTTCGGCCTCTTCCTTGGCCTCCTTCACTTTGCGTTGTTCGCGATCGTGCAGCTCCTGTTCACGCTGCAGGCGTTTTTGCTCCTTGGCCTCCATCTTAGCCCTCTTCTTGGCGCCCATCTTCTCGTCCAGCACAGCACCCTGAGGCACACGAGCGCCATCGGCATCGACCAGGGCCTCATCTTCGTTGTCAGAGTCGCCGAGAGCCGCCGGAGCAACTGCAGCAGCAGGCGCAGCAGCCGCAGCTGGAGCATTCTGGCGCAGTCGGTTCCGCTGATTGCGGGCAATTTGCGCGCGGCGCGGTACTCCCTCCTGGGCGCGCTGGGGGACGCCACGTTGTGGAACTGCAGCTGGCTTTGTTTCTATTTTGGGGTCAATGTTAAGTCGCCTTTTCGGAGGAACATATAAATCTTTCCCGTCTCACCTGGGCTGGCATTCTTTTTCTGCAGTAGGTACAGTGTGATAATCACGACCAACAGGGCCGTGGCAATCCCCACGAGAATTATTAAATCCATTTTGAGGTCGGATGCGACTTGAGGTATTTTAACCTGGTGCGCAATGTTTTTGGCAAAAAAGTAAACGTCAACAAAATGAACATATGGCTCGTCAAGATAGCGGCGAAGAGTGCTGCCAAGTTAGCTTTTTTTTAGCCATATAGCTATTTTTAGAAGTGCACCTTTTAGGTCACTTCTCTGCAAACCCATTTTTCGAAAATTTGGAAAGTGTGTTACACCATTAAAACGACAAAAATGACGACCAAGTTGAATACATAGACTTTTTTAAAATAAAACCACAATCATTTAGAGATATAGCACTTTGAAATCGGATCTCTGCAAGAAAAGTTAGGGGCTGAGAAGAGCAGGTTTTTGGTCACTTTTCTGCAAAGCCATTTTTCGAACATTTCGAAAGGGGTTAGCTCATAAAAATGACGAAAAATCGACCCAAACTTACAAACCAAGCTGAAACACACAGTTTTTTAGAGAATTAAACCACGATCATTTAGAAGTATGTCACTTTAAAATCGGATATCTTTACGAAAAGTTATGGGCTTAGAAGTGCAGGTTTTTGGTCACTTTTCTGCAAAGCCATTTTTCGAAAATTTGGAAGACAGAAATGGCGAAAAATCGAATTTGAAATCGATTTTGAAGTATCGGATGTCTGTAAGAAAAATTATGGGCCTGGAAGTGCAGGTTTTTGCTCCCTTTTCGGAAAAACCATTTTTTGAAAATTTGGAAAGGGGTTAGCTCATAAAAATGACGAAAAATCGACCCAAAAATACAAACCAAGATAAAGATACAGCTTCTTAGAGAATTAAACCTCAATTAATTAGAAGTGTGCCACTTTGAAATCGGATCTCTGTAAGAAAAGTTATGGGCTTAGATGTGCATGTTTTAAGTCACTTAGGATAACACACCGCATTGAAACTTTCTCACTGACCAGTCGCAATCCAATAAAAAACATCCACCAAGACTTGTACTGTACTATCATATAATAATCAATTACATCGTTTAAAATTTAAAGACATTCTAATATAATTTGTTGTTTTGTTTTCGTTTCTTGTGTGTATATATAAACATCTTGTTAACAGCTTTTTGTTTTGCTTTTTTAGTTGCTTGTTGTAAAATACATAATAGTTCATAATTGTAATAATATATCCTTAACAACTATTAATATTCAAATATAATTTTCTCTGCTTTATCGTTATTGTTGTGTTTTGGGTTTTTAGTTCTTGTTTAGCAATTGTTTCTGTTGTTGCAGCTGTATCTGTTTAGCTTGTGTTTAAATTAAGGTTTTATTCACTAACCAACGCCATTTCTCGCGCCGCGGGCGTCAGTGACTGACCCAAAGCGGAGGCAGCTGACACGGCGCTGCTCAGCCCATCGTCGTCCTCATCTGTTGCTCTCGCAGCAGTAGCTGCGGATGCCTTTTTGCGCTCAATCTCCGCCAGCTCCTCCTGGACATCATCATCACAATTGCTGCGCTCGACCTGGTCGGCGGATTCTTCTTCATGCGCCTCATCCGCGAAGGACACTTCCACGGGACTGTTACTGCTATCACCATTAGCTGTCTGATCATGCTGATTGTTGTTGGCCTTATCCTCACTGGCGGACTTGTTGTTATCACTGTCAGCATCGTCACTTCTCGTCGGCGCCGGCTCCTCTTCGGGTATGTCCTCGATCAGGCTGCGGTTGCCGGATCCGGCCGACGGACTGCGAGGCGGGGGCGTTGTCGTCGTCGCTGTGGCAGGGATCTCCACCTCGGCCACCTTCCGCAGCAGAACGGGATCGGAGGCGCGAAGAGAGCTCTCCGAGCCGCCAACTCCCTCTCCGCTTGGTCGCAGAACCAGGTAGAGCAGGATATCCGACAAAGAAATGATGCCGATCACTTTTCGGTGCTCATCGACCACCACCAGTCTATGAACCTCCGCACGGACGATGCGCTCCATGATCGTGTACAGCGATTCGTCCAGATTGCACTTCTGCACGCCCTCGAACCACTCGTTGCGGTGCTCGTTCGCCTTGCGCAGGGACACATCGAGATCGTTATAGGTTTTCTCAGCGGCGAGATTCTGAATGAAAAAAAAAAAAGAAAATTGTAATCATTCTGACTTATTTGACAATTAGGAAATCCGAGGGATTTCTTTGTTAAAATCAGTGAAAACGCAACTTACAATCACATCAAACTTTGCGTAGATGTCGACGAGCCTTCCCTCGGCATCCACCAATGGCAGCGCTGAGACGCGTCGCTCTACGAATTTCTTGAGCGCTGTAATGATGCTCGTCGTCTCGTCGGCGGTCTCAATGTTGTTGTAAGTGCCAATCTTCAGTTCGCGCAAACTCCTTTGCATGTACGCGGGCTTTGGTAATTCATTAATCTGCGCATAGATATCACATGAGTATCATTGGAACGACGGTAAAAAAAAAGCTGATATAACTCACGTATAGGAAGAGGAACCTCAGTATGCGTTTGTGTGTCAGGATGTAGAGAACATTGCCGGTCGCCGGATCAATGACGGGCAGGCGATGTATGCGGCTGTGGATGAGAATTTTGATGGCATCGTATAGGGAGGCATCTGGACCGATGCTGACCAACGGCATCACCTGGTTGTGCAGCACACCTGAAAAGGGGAATACATTTAGCTGGGAATCTTGATACTGCCTATGTTTGGGTTCACTTACTTCGCCACGTGTCCAGTTTGTGCTCTTCCAGCTGCTCCATGGACGCATTTGGCGATTTGTAATACATTTGCAGGATCTTAATGAAGTCCGTGATGGTCAGCATACCCACGAACTGCTGCTTCTCCGAATCCCAGAGCGGTGCCGCCCTCACCCCGTTGTAGACCAGGGCGTAGAAGGCCTTCTTAACGAGGAGCTGGGTGTCAAAGACGACCAACTTGGCGGAGGTGGGTATCAGATCATAGCACTTGTGAAAACGGAAGAACTTCACGAAGATTTGTGAGTCGTCCTCCTCTGCAGAAACAAGAAAATAAAAAGGTTATATATTAATGCATATTTATTGGTAAGGCTATTTTTGTGTTGGTGATTCGGGATTAGGGATGGGCACCTTTCTTGAGCAGCTCGGATAGCAGACGCTTCCAGGCTTCGGAGATCTGTTCGAACTCTTTGATGCTCTCCAACGGGTAGCAAAGGACGTCGGCCGGGCGGCCGTTGCCACCTCCCAGCACCAGGCGACCCGCATGATTTGAGTAGAAGTGCAACTGTAACATGCGTTATGGGTTCTCTGAGTGCTCTAGTTTCACTTTTCACTCTATTTTGGGTGTTTATTGGTTTTTAGCGATCCTCAGTGTCGCATTACGCTAGTCTGATTCGATCCGATCTGATCCGGTCTTGTGTGTGAGGCCTGTGGGCGCTAGCAATTAACTGGGCTACTCGATTAGCTCTGCTAATTGTTTTGCCTAATTGGTCAACCAACAACCTAACAGGCTACTAACAGACCTCTAACAGCAGCGCCGCTCTACGCGCTTCTCAATACGTCTAGCTAAGGCAATGTAACTACATTGAAGTGATCTAATCGAAACTGAACCGAAAACAAGAACAATCCTCGGCAATAAGTTTTTGGGCGCACGCGTTTCGTTAAATTTAATTAAGACATTTTTAATTAAAATAAATTTAGCGTACGACAAAACCAACCGTAGGAGCCACAAACAACCAATCACACCAGAACAAAATATATCCACCAAATTGTTGAACAATAAATATTCTTTCAATTCTCATCGAGACAAAGAAAACGCAAGAGAGAGGGGTTGGATGTAGACGGCTCTAGCACAATGTAAACAAATAAATATTGAGGCGGGGCCAAAAGGTGTTAATCAAAAACTATATAAAAGCACACATATAATCACAGGGGCTGTAGATCGTTCTTGTCATGGGCCTGATAAATGCAAGCCAAACATACACCGATTCAGCATTTGTCAGAGCCATTATAGCGACACATAACAGATATTGGGACAGACAGTTGTGCCAAGAAATTAATTAACCGCAGCTAAGGCCTCAACACTGAAATTTCGAATGTCTGTGAGTTTCTCTGGCGAAATGCATTTGGAAATGTGTTTGCGAAATCTTTAATTTTTTTTTTTCAAAGCTCCAAAATTATTTTTGTTTTATATTGCCGGGTAACATTTCAGCAAGGAAGTTTTATTTGGCAGGGTCTTGGATCAAAGTAAAGATAAAATTTATTAAATAAGGAATAAATAAAGGAAAGTCGGAAAAAATTTAAACGGTCGTCCAATGTTAATTATTGCTAGCCAAATAAAAATGTAAAATTAATAATTATTATAAGTTATTATTATTATAAATAAAAAAATTAAACGAAAAAAATTGCGGTCTTAAGAAGTATTTCCTACAATTTATCCGGCTGTTGTCCACCGTAAAATAAGCAAAAAGACAAATAGAAAAATATTATAGAAAAGAAACCGAAGGCCAGATACAGCGGCAGGAAAAAATATCGAAATAGATTGTAAAATATTTGGAGCTATAAGCAAATGGTAAAAGATTTTCCGACTAAGCTGTGTAAACATTTAAATGTTGTTTAATAAATGGAATTTACTGCGGTTGCCGGGCGGCGAATATTTTGAATAGATAAAGAAAGTCGAAAGAAATCGAGATAAAAAGCTAGGAAAGATGGGTTAAGGTCTCTTCATTTTTTCGTACTTTTCGCTCCTTCTCAATATAATGGACAGGGTTTGTTGCTGATTTGATTGGTTGTCAATGCAAATATATATTCATATTTGAATGCAAAGGTATAAATGGGTTATCGATTTCGATTCTATACGTTTCTGCGTTTTGCGTTTCTTTTGACAGCGGGCCACGAGCCACACGAGTTAATTGAAATGCTCCTTGGCGTTGTTGGTTTTGTTGATTATTCTACTATTTCTTTTTCGCTGTGTGGGATCAAAACAATTGAAAACCCATTTCCACAGTGGGTGGCAATGGGCGGTGTGAGGGGGGCGGTTGTGATGGTTCAGTTGCTTTTGGCGTCGCGGCGCTATTCGAAAATTCTTGACGAGTGACTAAGAGAGAAGCGAAGACCTTCGATGGGTCGACTTTGGTTTGCAGTTGGTCGATTCGATTGTTGGGCTGGTAAG